TCTTTTTTCATCATATTTCGTTGTATAAAAGCCCCAAAAAGTATACATATAAACACACACAAAGACCACCCAGTGTACATATATCCTATTTTATATCTTTTCCCTTTTCTTTATTTATTCAACCAGGCGCAGGCCATGTCTATGTCTACGCAGGTATGCCCCGTTTATACGCATCATTGTATCCACATAAAACCAAAAAAAGGAGCCGGGGGGCGGAGAGGGGAATGCCAGACTGGACTGAGTTAGGAAGGGTGAGGTGCTTTGTAAAAATGAAATGCACTCGATGATCCGGGCGGGTGACGAAAGGTTCCGCAAGAGAATCGAGCTGGCTTTTGCTATGTTATTTTTTTTTCTATCGTATAGGTGTATAGAAGGCATATCTATCTACATTTGCTGCACATGCAGCTTTATTTGAGTACATAGTACATAGCTAGGGTTGAGGAATATTTTTTTTTTCCTCTACTAAAACTTTGGACAGATTTTTTTTTTTTTTTTTTTTTAGTTCTTTCTGATACAGTGAGGGCTGCGGGATGCCTTTTATCGCTCCAATCTGTCCCTATTGCCTATTTATTACTTCTGCTGATCAAAGATGGGCCATCGAATGGGAAGCATGGTAAAATAAAACCAAGTTAAATAACTAACTCCTCTCTATACTCCGTAATCTAACAACAAAAATCGATATATATAAAGAAATATTTGGGAAGGGAAATAGCAATTGTCTTGAAAAAAAAAAAAAAAAAAAAAGAGCTCTATATTATTACATAGATGCTAGTTACATCTACTTATTTCATATCCTAAGGCTTGATCGTTCCGTACTCATACAACACACAACAGGTACAGGGACGGGGACAGATACAGCACTTATAAATTCTGATCATGAAGAAGAAGCTATTGGGAGAAACACTTGGTTGGTTTGAAAAAAAAAGAGAAAAAACTCCTTTTATTGTCGCCCCTCGGTCCTTTTCTATATACGTATATTTTACAATTAGGAGCAGACAAACATTGAAGTCGAAAAGGAAATTTCCGCGAGATGTTTAGAAGGGCTAGAAAAGGAGAATCAAAGTACGTCAAGTCAGCGCTCAACTCCAAAATATATAGAGAGCAACCCCATATCTGAACAGACCCTGAAATAATCGGGCGAATATGGGGGAATGGAAGGCTAAATAATGATCATGGGGTGCGCTAAGAGGTAACGGATGTCGGATGCACTAACGTTATCTTCAGGAGGGATACTCCGTTCCCAGTATCCGCCAATGACGGGGATGTTCATCAAGATATCCTTCCGGACGCGGGGGACCTCCCCGAAGAAGAAAACAGCAAAGATGCCGGCGGTGGCGCCGAAAGCTGAGGCGATTGTGCCGCTGTATTTGTCGTAATAGGATAAGTTAGTTGTGTTACGATCGTATAATTGGAATAAGGGAGCTAGGGATATTGGGGTGTAAGAGAATGACAAGCCACTGCATAGGTAAAGACAACAGCAGGGAGCAGGAAGACGCGAACGGTGCGTGCATGTATAAGAAAAGGCTTACTATCGAGTAACAGTTTTTAGAGGAAAGCCGGCAAACTGAGGTTGTTTCTTGATTCTGCATGATAAACGCACGGCCCGTTAGCATTGTGGTCGCAAGAGAAACTTCTATCAATCAGCCCTGTACGGATATCATAAGAATCCATCCCGTATGGATGGAAGAAGTCCAATAGATCTGCAAAATTATTCCTCCCGTGGCCATGATGGTTTCATCACAATGTAGTGGAGTTACGATGGATGTTAATTTATCCCTCTATTCTTTCTCCTGGAAGGGTTGTGGAAAGCCACAGACCAACGATTTCATCCCTCCCCTTGGAAAATATTGTCCAATATCAAGTCCGCTCCATCACCGCATAATCCGATATCCCCCGGGTTCTCCAGTGCATTTTCAGCCAGCTTTCCGCGCACGATTTGTTCTCCTCCAGAATTTCCAGCAGCAGGCCCATCCACGTCACAAAGATAAAAAAACAAACAAGAAAACGAAGGTAATCCTCACCTCGATGCAAAAGGGCTGAACTGGGCCGTAGCAGCCGCATTGGCCGAGCGAGCGGACGTAGGCAATACCTATTACCAAAGAACCAGTCACATTAGCCAATAGCTCCATTATGCCCCCTTTCCAATCCTTTCCAAGAACTCTCAGTGTCATTTAGAAAAATGCAAAAGAAAGAACGAAAAGGACACAAGCAGGTACAGAAAAATCCTAGCGATTTTCCAAAAATTCAAAAGATCTTTTTGCCTCTCTTTCCCCCCTTCCCCCTTTCCCCCTTTCCCACGTAATTTGATTGGACCACAACGACGACGAAGGAAATCGGCAATGGGGATACCCGCGGTATGCGCTGGCATTTTCGATGTTAATTTGGATCCAGCAGCCAGCGCGGGGCAGCGCACACTGACCGACCCTAGCTCTCTTCAAGTCTTTGACATTCCGAATGCACGAAGTAATGTAGAATGGGGCCTTCTGCTAAAATTTGCCAATTGCAGAAAAAAAAAAAAATCTTGCGCGATTCCTTCCAGACGGATGGGCTTAACTCCACTCGTGCCAGGTTGCGGTTCTCTCTATGCCATCTTTCTCTTCATTTTCATCTTCATCTTCGTCGTCATCGTTCGTTCGTCGGAAAGGAAATAAGTTCCCGCATCCCCACCGAAATCCCTTCCATCTCGCTCTCCTCCTTCACCCCGTTCGCCAGGAAGGGCAAACCAGCAGAAAACAACCACACAAGCTCATCCCAGCACCAATAATCCCGATCCCAATCCGCCCATTCAATACCTCCCCCGAAAGTCTCACCACCTCAATTCGCTCAACATCCCGAGCCACATTATAAAAGAAAAAGGCCAAGTAAACACACAAACACAGACATACGTACCATCGTCAGAATAGAGAAGAAAAAGTAATATGAGGAAGCAAAAAACGGGACAGAAGCCGGCCAACGAAAAGAGTCCCCAGGAAAGGAAAGGAAAGGAAAGGGAAATAGGGTGGATAGGTAATGAATTGGCTTTTCTTTTCTTCGTTCGTTCGTTCGTTCGTCGTCGTCGTTTGTCGGGAGGAGCCGCTTGTTGCCCCATTTGGCAGCGTCACGTGGATGAATTCTATAGATCACGTGGTATAAAATCCGTTTTTCTCCGAAGCGAAGAACAAGTCCATGTTCAAAATCTACAAAAGGAAGAATGAGAAAGAGAAACCGAAAAAAAGAGGGAGGATAGAACTCATATCTTGAAATGTACCTCTATATTCATTCTCAGTTTTTATATACAGATGGTATAGTGATGAATAGTAACAATAGCCTAGGTGATATAGACAGTTGAAAGAACTAAGACACTGAACACTGAAAAAATGAATGAAAAAAATGACAAGACAGAGGGGGGTACTCCTTTTTTAATCAACTGATTGATTGATTGATCGATAGATCAGTCAGTCAGTCACAAAAGAACAAAAAAAAAACAAAGAGCACAACCAGAGAAATCAAAAGAAATATAAAAAACGGGGCAGAAAAAGCTTGTACAGTATGCATTTGATAAGAAATATATCAGAAATGAAAGAGAGAAAAAGACACAAAATGCGAAGTGAAAAACAAAATATAAACCCAACCACCCAAACCCATTGAAAAGGTCACACACACACACACACATATATATATGTATATCTAAAGAAGAAAAAACTTCCCTTTTCACCATTTAACCTTTTTTTGGTTCTCCCTTTATTTTTTAGTGGGGTAGATGTAGGTACACTTCCCATCTTCACATCTTCACATTTTGTTTTGGTGTCTATTGTTTCCCCCCATTTCTTCTTTTGTCGATGTCCCTTGCTCATTTTGTTCTCGTCGCGGTAGATAGATAGGCAGGTTAAGAGAGGGTTTATGAAGACAAAGGAATGGAGTCGGGCCGACATTGAAGCGAGGAATCCGGAGGAATATATATATAGTAATAAACACTCCTCTTGGTTTTGTTGATTTTGTGTGTGTGTGTGTGTGTTTTCTTTTTCTTTTTTGTTCTTGTTAAGATTGTTGTTGATATGCAAAGAGAAGCGAGCCAAAAATGAAGAAAAGAAAACGGAAACAAATCTGATGATGACAAACAAGCAGAACAGAGTGAAAAGGAAAAAACAAAAAAAAAGGTGAAAGGAACATTTAGCAATGCATAAGACAAAGGGAACATGAAAAGATAAAAACCACCAAGCCCTCCCAAACCACCCAAAAACCACAAAGCAAAATAATGCAAAGGGATGGAATCCTTTATGGGTGTGAAAGAGTGAGCGAGAAAATCTTGTACAATCTCAAATGAAAAAGAAAGAGGAAGAGAGAGCAAAGACACCAAAAACAGGAAAAGATGAAGGGGTCAAGCAGACTATGTACGTATGCAATTTCTTTCTTTGCTGGGGGTTTTTTCTTGCCCTAGTTATGAGGAAAAATGAAGACAGCCGTTAACATCAACATAATCTGGCATATGTAGCTTTCCTCCTCTTCTTCCTCCTCCTTTTCCTCCTTCATTCTCGTCCACATTTATCCCCCTTTTCCGCGAAACAACTGTGTATGTATGTATGTACGTGGGGATTTTTCTGAAGTGGAGGAGGAGCAAATCCCGATAACGAAAGAGCGGAGGGAGGGAAAATTGAATGAACGAATGCAATAACTTTTGTACTGAAGCAGAAAAATGAGCAAGAAAGAACAAGGAAGAATTTCTTTTTTAAGGGGGAGGAAGCCCACTCCTATGAAAAAAATATCAAAAAACAAATAATCACAAAAAAATAATAAAAAATGCTCCGTGTCTCCAAGTCTATAAATGCTAGATGTGTATTTGTGCGTGTCGTCCGATTTTTTGCCAGGAAATGAGATGTTGTGGAGGTCGCACCCCCGCGCCAGCGCTCTTGGATTGGTGCTGCCACTCGACGATGAGGGAATAGGCACAGAAAAAAAAAGAAAAGAAAACGTTGCGTTGCGTTGCGTTGCGTTGCGTAGCCTCTAGTAAAATGTCTGCAAAAAGAAAAGTTTTGATTTTCGGCCGTAAAGTGCTGTGCGTTTGGTTGTTTCGCATCGGTGTTTATTGTGTTTTTTTTGCCTGATTGGCTTGATTGATTGATTGCTTGCTTGGCGTTTTGCATCCAGAACGTAATGGAAGGGGGTAAAGCAGTAAAGTCGAACCCTAAAGCCGACCCTGTCATAATAAGTAATCATAGGAGGGATTCATCCTCGTAGCCCTCCTGTAGCCTTCGTAGTATTGCTGTAAGGGTCTGAACAATAACTTCATATCAAGCGAAAGGGCTGATTTCAGCTTAAGCTGCACGCAGTGTCGTCGCAAAGTAGCGGAATATTGGGTCCCTGAGGATCTAAAAGGCGGCTGACGGTTGAAAAGTCCATGGCGGTGGCGGCATCGGCATCTGCTAAACAAAACAGGAACACAAGACTCTGAAAATCTCCTCCCCGTTCCACCCAGCCATATCGATCCCGACTGGAAACGTCTCCCCACTCCCTTGTCAGGGGGCCACATCGTGAAGCCAAAACGATACCACGAAAGATTGATTGATTTTCGGTACCCGCAAGCCCAAGCAAAAACGGAAACGACGAATATGGCGAGCAAGTGAAGGTAATATAATATATATCAGGACTGTGTTGTGGCTCGTTACTCAAGGTAATCATGCCCAAAGGGAGTATATACTAGTATTCAACATGAAAATGAAGATTGGACTGGATCGATTCGATGTCACCAGCAGAACAACGGCTTGAGGAAAATCCCTGGATTCCACATTTGATCGAAGAATCTATATCTGTATCTGAAATAAGGTCTTGCAAGGTCAAGGTCGGTTCGTTAGGCTAGTTCGTTTTGGATGCGGGAGATTCGCAGTATGGCAACCTAGCAGCCTTGGATTGAGGCAGGCAAACTCCGAACAAAAATCGATTCCAACACCGTCGGAATAAAAAATAAACAGCTCCAATACAGCACATGGCAAGAAATGTTTATAAAAGGCCATCGTACGCATCTTCAAAAGAAAAGGGGGGAGAGAATTACAAGTGGCAATATATAAAAGTAGGAGGAGCGCCAAACATGGCCGTGGTAATTCGGATCGTAAGTGCGAGTTCGAGAAAAGAAATGTTTCACGTTATCGGCCGTCACCATCACCGTCAAACAAACATGCAGCAAAACCTGCGCGTTATTGGCGTGCAGGTTGAACGGTTCCTATAATCCAGAAGGAAAAACAGAAAAAAGTTAATGAGGTGGTCTGCTCCACGCTGCAGCAGCAGGCTATTCTGCGACATGTTAAAAAGTCCACAAAGGGATTATGGGGCGAGCGTACCGTCACCGCCCAGACTGGTGGATGCTAAATAAAGCCCATTCAAACCACCTTCAGGTTGCCCACTCGTTGCCGTCGGGTAAAACTTTCGATCGGTCTCAACTTGGGGGTGCATCGAGTCGGGAACCGGAGCCACTGAAGCTGGAAACATTGGTTGCATGTAGCCATCTTGAGTGCCGGCCTGGAACATGGACGTCCAGTCGATTTCGCCTGGCTGACCGGGGTTCGGTCCGGTAGGCATGCCAGGGCGTTTGCTATCAGGCATGTTGTTGGCAGATTTAGCTGCATCGATAGGGGGTAGGTCAACGTTCGACTGGCCAGTTGTGTCAGCTCCAGACTGTGCGAGATACGAACTCTGTTTGGATTCAGCCATCCAGGGAGCTCTCTGATGCGTCTGGTTTTGGGCGTATCCATGATCATCAACTTGACCACGGTTGATCCCGCCAACAGGCTGCATCGGAAAACCAAGGGGCCGTGGATCTGTAAATCCGGGGTTGTGGTGACCAGAGGCCATGCCAACCCCGTTCACGTGCCCTTCCCCAAACGGTGTTCCGACGATACCATTAGAAGCCGGGATGGAGCTACTGACATCTCCTGAAACAGGTTTGGGGACAATGCCCGCAGCCTGAGCTTTCTTCAAATGAGCGTGGGGGTGCGACAGGTGAGTAGCACCAGTCGGATTGCCGCGACGTAATGAACATTTTTGAAAGTGGCGTTTCAAAATATCGCTTCGGGAAAATGTGTCTTTGCACAAAAAACACATGTACGGGCGATCGCCAGTATCTATATTGAATAATAAAAGGATAAGACATCGAAATAATCCAAATATCAAAACAAACGTATTTTTCCCTTTTCAAGTAGGTGGGAAGGGCTGATCAAGGGCTAGAACTGAACTTACGCCTCAATAGATGCCGCTTAAGATGCTTTGCATGTAGATATGTTTTGTTGCAATGCGGGCAAGGGAACTTGCCATCCGCGTCTTTCGCAGGCATAGCAGCTTTTGTGGTGCCATTTGCTCCGTTAGTAATAGCAGCCGCCCGTCCTGGAACACTTGGAAGAATTCCCCTCCGACCTTGGGATCCGACTACCTGGGTGCGTGGCAGGTCCTTTGGAACGAAAGTTGCTGGGGAAGTAGGTAAGCTATTTGTTGTTGCCACTGCGAGTCCCTTTGGCCCTGTATCACTGAACGAACCGGAAGGTAATGTACCACCAAAATCTGTTCTTCTATCCCGAGGAGGAGCAGGCGCAATGGGCTGAGGATAGGCCTGGGAGGTAGTCGACGGAGGCAACAAGCCATGCGACGGATATTGTTGCTGGCTGTGATGATGGGTTAGGAACGAGGAAGGGGGCAAGCTGTTGACGGTAGTATGCGGCGGCATAGGAGCGGAGGACGCAGCATACACGTCGTTGGCGGACGTGGTTGGATACCGGGGCATCTCATGTCGGTATGGCTGTCCTAGATAGGAGGGATGTACAGGAGGATGGCTCTGTGGATGTTGGAGTGGGGGCAAGGTATGCGGCTGCGCCATTGAATAGTGTGGCTGCATCTGGTACTGATGCAGGTTGGACAGAGGCGGGGGTCCTGGAGGGGGAATATTTGCAGGAGGCCTCGAGGCTTGCGCTCTGATGTTGGGATCCATAGCGAAGGAAAGAAATAGAGGAAAAGTTCGAACCGTGACCTTGTAGGATCGTCCAAACCATCGATTGTGGGATTGTTATACACCCCGAAGACCTCTTTTTTTAATAAAAAAAGAAGGAAAAGAAAACGGAAAAGAAAAAGAAAAAGGAAAGAAGGGGAAAAAAAGAAAAAAGCGTTGTTCCTTGGGGGGGTGGGTCGTTGGGCCTGTTAGAAGGGAAAAACTACATGTTGTCAGCCGTCATTATCCTGTCAATGCGAATGCCACGCCCAATGCCACGGATCTGCTTCTTTGTTCTCATGTTTGAAGCATGCGCGCATCATCGTGCCCAAAACGGTGCTGCATTCCAGCTTGTTCATTGTGGGAATTCAAAAGGGAACAGGTACTAACCCGAAAGGAATGCAACAAATTCGCGAATGGTGTCGCGATTCGAACAACGACAGGTTAATTCCGGACGAAGGGCGCACGCTGGCTGGTAATTCCCCGGACAATGGGCCTGAAGAACTTGAGAGAATGTGTGTGCGTATATATATCTATATATATATATAGTGGGAGAGTCGTGGAGAGGAGTGTTTGTGTGAGTGAGTTAGTGTGTTGTTTTGGGTGTTTGTGAGAGAGAGAGAGAGACACGAGAGTTGACAACGCGGGTGGATCAGGAGACGGTCGAGGGTGAGATAGACTACGACCAGGGCTCCACCTTGGGACGGGAACACGAGTGGAGGCTCTTAAAAAAGACTGGGAGCACAACCCAACACAGTGGACAAGGGAGGGCGGAGGTAGCAGAGGATAATTGGGGATAGTTGGGGATAGGGCTCCACCAGCAGAAAACAATGGAGGAACAGAAGAAGGATTGAAGAATGGAAGAATGGAAGAGCAGAAGAATTGAGTCCTGGGTATGGATGAAGGAGCGACTCGAGACTCGGGATGGACGAGAGTCCGTGAGGATTAGAAGGAGAGAAGTGACAAATGGAGGGGAGGAGGAGTAACAGCAGTAATTTTTTTTTTTTTTTTTTCGGTGCAATGGATGGGATGGATGTACTTGTATTGTGGTTGTGGTGATGGTGGTGGTGGTGGATGGTGGTGGATGCTGGAGAAGAAAGGAAGAAAAAAAGAAAGAAGAAAAAGAAAAGAAGAGGGCAAGCCAATGGATATGCTTCGGGGCTAGGGGCGGGTGTGCACGATGAAGAAATATGAAATAATAAATAAATAATAAAAATAAAATAAAATAAAATAAAATAAACGAGGAGGGAGAAAAATATCAGAAAATGACAGAAAAATGACAGAAAAGAACGCAGCGGCGTGGCGGTGTGCCGTGGGTCGTTCGTTTCCTAGCCGTCCGTTGGCTGGTACTGTCCCGTACGGTGTACGGAGTACTCAGTACGATAACGCAAGACCAGCAGCCCTAGCAACTGGCAGCCCACAACGTAACTTGTCAACTTGTACCTGTACCCGGACCTGGACCTGTCCCGTTGTTCCTGGACCTGTGCGCACTCCCCCGATACTCCCCCGATACAGCGCGGTGCTGACCTGGCGATAAGTACTATACAGATTGATTACAGAGTACGGAGTACCTGGGTGCAGATTATTGCGACGAGCCTATCTCTACCCTGACTCGCTCGTCGAGTCGCCGCCGATCAATCCTGCAACGACGAAGTCCGGGCTCCTTCCTGCCTACCATCAAACCTTCTTCCACCGTTATGCGGTTTCTCCACTACTTGAACTATCTATTACGAATTCCGATAACGCTTAAATACTTATAGCAATATGAAGAATATGAAGAATATATCACCTGCTGTACGGCCCCGTCGTTCACCGTCCAGAGAATCCCTTACTTCCTGATACAGCCATCAAGGAGCAAGGGGGATTCTTCAGCGAAAAATGAACGGGAAAAAGTAAAAAAAAAGTCACTGGCCAATCATGTAAAGCGAATCAGAAAATCGAAGAGTAGAAAAATCCAAAAAAATCCAAAAATCATATGAACAAAGCTCTAAAAAGCGCTCTCGAAAACCTGGAACACCCCTTTTCCGGTATTTGGTTCTCGGAATCTTGGGACCTTTGGTTTCGGCCTTATAATTTTCTGAGCTTGGGATTTAGGGTTTCTTGTTGCGGGATTGGTCTATGGTTATAGCTATTCTGGTTCCGGGCGTCGGCCGTCTCAAGAACAACAGGGAGGGAAAAGAGAGAGTGTGTGAGTGAGTGAGTGAAAAAAGATGACTTCCACTCAACTCCCAAGACGACAAGGATAAAAGGCAAAAGCAAGTAAAGAAAGCATAAATTGCGTGACGAATTCTGGATATCTGCCGTTTTAAGAATAATGCTTTTGTTTCGCCCTCGAGTGGCAAAACAACCTAGCCCGCTGCCATAACAGGAAATGGTCGGAAATCTCAAGAAGCGAAAAAGGGAAGCAAAAAAAGGGAAGCAAAAAAAGGGAAGGAAAAAGCGAGCAAAGATCATAAGAGAGCCTTACACCTGCTTGGTTGAGGACGATGGAAGGTGGCCCCTTTTTACTTCGGATCTCGATGGATATGACGCCACGCTCCCTGTTCCGCGGTTTGGTACTTTGGAATATATTGATTGACTCGTGGTAGTGGCCTGCGGAACCAACCACGACAGGCACCGGAACGTGAGAAGATAATTGGCTTTTTGGACCAACTGCGACAAGGCGGAGGGAGCCTCTGGGAGGGGTGGGGACCAGCGGAAGCATGTGTGAGGCAGGGTGAATGTTTCCGGAATGGCAGAATGGTGTGGAGGGGTTGAGCGTTGCGCCAGCGGAGGAGCGGCGGGCGGGAAATCAGTAGAATAAGCAAAGCTTGGGTTGATTGATTGATTGGCAGCGGAACGATGCGACAGAGAGAGATATCCAAGCTGTTTTACTACGAACAGAACATTCCCCTTTTGGAAGCCTGTCCTGTCCCCCTTGCGAGTCAGGTGTCCAAGGCCACATTGAGTATTCGCTTCTACATAGTACACCCCTGATACCTACGAATAATCCCCGCCAAACACTCCGATCGCGGAATCCCACAGACAACCCAGACAAACCACACGCGCCCACGCACGGCCAAACGCACGGCCACGCACGCATGCATGCTCACCGAATGGCAAAACCCCCCGTAACAAATCATACACAACCGACCGTACTCGCGATAACAAGGGACGAAATTATATACTGCTTGATATTACTTGCTCTTACCTGGGAACGGTACAACTTTGAGAATAACTGCCTTCCAAAAACAGGGTCTTGGCAAATCTCGGTACCATTGAAAACAAAACCCTCTCCTTTCCTGAGCCTGAAACCTAGTTTAGACGAGAAACTTTAAAAATCACATCATGCGATGGATGGTAACATGAATAATATGATTCTTATCATTACGAGTTAACGTTATTACTCTTAAGTTGACTAGTTAGTTGGTTAGTTAGTTAGTGAACTACTCTGATTATTAGTTATGTACTGTTACATGACCCCCCGGACTAGCGCACCACCCACGATCATGCTCATCTAACTAGCATGTGTGCTACGGAGTAGTTATTTTCTGAAAACATTTCAGAAAAGCTGACCGTGGCGAGGGGCTTTTGCGAACCACGATGGTCTTTGGCCCATGCCATTTCAAGGTTGGAGCAATGATCAACTCTACCAACGCTAATGTCATCCCCGTCTAGAATACCTACAACCCATACACGCGGATTTATTTATCTCTCATCAACCCCTTGAACTTTCTAGAGGTAGGATATAGTAAGAATTGGAGGTTAGATTTGAAGATTAGATGAGGGAGCTGGTTAGTGGAATTAGACCCCGAGAAACAGCGGAGAGAAGTCTCTCCCTCTTCCACCTTCTCTGGAAGTAGAAATATCACTAGTGTGTTGAGTTCTATTATTGTTCTTATTCTCAGATCTTTTGAATTCAGAATCCCCACCAGGCTCTCAGGGCAACACCCTCATGTGATATCAAACTCTATTTTAACATGGGTCTACAAGCAAAAATAACCATCCCCTTACGCAGTACAGCTAGGTTTTCACCCGCTCAAAAATCTCTCATTGGTAGCTCAAGAGCCAATTCACAACTCACAATCGAATACCATTGTTTTTAGCTAATAGCCGCCCAGAACGGAGCTTCTTAATTGCCCCATCTGGCTGTACTACATGTAACTAACTGCAGTCCTGCCATTGCTAACTATGTATGTAAACTTCATTTCATGCCCACAAGGTCCCCATGTTGTCGCTGCTTAATCATCACGTCATCACCCTCTCCATACACAGGACGGGTTACCATACCGGTATGCAGGTATGCAGGCGTGTTCGCGGTATCCCAGAACTCCGACGCTGTGATACCGTCGGGCTGCCCAGCCGCTTCCAGACTCCAATAGCACGCACGCAACTTCTGTTGCAAAAACCAAATTTCAAACAGGAAGACCAAAAAAGAAAAGAAAAGAAAAGAAAAGAAACGAAAAGTAAAGAAAATCAAAATCAAAATCAAAATCAAACCCAAACCCAAAACCAAAAGCCCTTTGTACCTGAAATTGAACCATGGGTCAAACAAAAGATCTCAAAAAGGGCTTTTAAAAACAAGTAAGAAAGGAGGCAAATAACAACTTCCACCGGAAAAAAATAACCTTTTTTTTTTTAATTTTTCTCTTTTCTCTCCTGGCGGAATTTTCGTTTCTCTCTATTTTATATAGACTTTCTTGGCATGTATTGTAAAACACATTCGCCCCCCCGGGCACTGAATCTCGGGAAGACTGAAATATGCATTGGGGACAAACAAGCTGTTCGCTATACACTTGCATTCGCATTATTTTTGAAAATAATAAAGTTGAAGTTGTCTTAGCAAAAGTTAGTAATTTTATAAGGAAAGGCTGTGTTAAAGAAACGGGATGCTCTGCGAGCATACAATAATACATCAGCAAAACCAAAACTTTCTAGGGGTCCGATACGAAAAAAAATATGCATTTTCTTTTCTTTTCTTTTTTTTTTTTAATTTTTTAATTTTTTAATGTTACCCACCACGTGGCGGCAAGCCCCATAACCAGCTCTCATGGCGGCATGGCCAGGGAAAATAAAAAATAAAATAAAATAAAATAAAATAAGATAAAGGCTAAAAAATAGTCCCCTATTTTGTCTTCTATCTTCTCCCCCAGCCAAAAACCAAGCAGATGGAAGCGAGGTGGCATCGTAAAAACCATTCAAGGTACTGATTATCTAGGCTTGGCCCGCGTACCCGCCGCTGGGTCCTGGCTCCGGGCTCCGGGCTCCTGGCTCCGGGCTCCTGGAGGATGGAGCGATCGCAGCCTCCGAAGACCCCAGACCCCAGGGATCAATACCGCTCCAGCTCCAAGGTGGGCCTTAAGGTGGATAGATGGGTGTACCCACAAAATACACACAGCTCCAAGATATTCCATGCCACTGGCACACCCCAGCTGGCCGCTGTGGGGAGCGGGAGGGATAATCATTCATTCCTCTAGGCTTCGCGAACAACTTTCTCTTTTTAGGGTTTGGGATTGCTGGTTGAAGAGAGGAAAGTTACATATACCGTATACGCACGCATGTGCGAAGACTAGTATGAATGAATAGCATTATCCGTCCTGTGCCGCCTGCGGGGGACATTTATATCAGCTTCCATCGTCGAATTTTTCCGCAAAAACAATCGCAGGAACAAGATGCAAAAAAAGAAGACGCAGCGAGCCGTTCTCTGCGTTCTCCACACCCAGCAATATAATGCCGAGGCATAGGACGCTAGGGCTGGAAATCCCTTCCTTCGCCCCTCATGTTTCTCCTCCTCCCCCTCAACCACCACCACTCCTCTTAACTCGTGAGTGACGGGCATATGGAAGGATTTGGGACCTTTCTCCACCATTCCATCCTCTATTCTTCTATCCGACCCGAGAGCCTGCAGACAACAGCCATAACTTGGAAAGGCCCCAAGAATCCCCCCTTACCACGCGAAGTCTGGGGCTGAGTCTGCCAAGCCAAGCCAGGTTCAAAATCTAGCTCGAAAACCCCCCGGAGTCCCACCCACTTCGGCAATTCTCGAAAGGTTTGGCAGGTTTGAAGACGACGAAAGGGCCCAGCAGCAGCCGGTCAAAGGTGTAGTGTTAGTACATGTAATGTACTATCTCTGTATATATAAAAGTCAAGCAAGATTTTTTTTTTTTAATTCTAGTTCCTCATTCATTATTCCTGCGTTACTGTGAAGCCACTGCCCGCCAGGTTTTCTGTTTATTGTTTTCTCCCGTCTGGATATCCCAAAACCAAATCTGAAACCACGAACCAGCCAATAACGGGGGACCCCTCCCATCCTCATCGGCTTCTGGATATCCTGCTTGCTGGGGGATCCACAATATGCAAGTTATCCAATTCTACCCGGCGGCGCGGGCACCACATAGATTATAATGGTGGTGTTGGTGTTCCGCCATCGGGATCAGTCCGCTTATGATTATTCCGTACATGTTGTCTTTTTTACGCTTGGGCTTGGAGCCACTGATTGCCAAGCTAGGGGTTGGTTTTATGGAGATGATGATCGACACAGTCTGAAGCTTCATAATAATACCTTTCTTTATCTGAAGGGGGGATAAGTGAAGCAAAAAAGTTTGGCAAACTGTGGACCTACGATTGAATTACATACTCTATCTGTATGATTCTTCCTGGAGTTAGACCACTCAATTGGCCCTCATGCGTCCCGGACTGAAAACACAGAATTGTTGTTTCTACACAAGCGCATCCCTGGCGTCGAGCCGAAACAAATACGCGTGTTCAGGCCAGTGAGTGTCTACTAGTGCAACAGAAAAGCCATGGAGAAAAAGAATTTTGAGTTTGCCTGAGTCATGCACGAAATAATAATGCCCACCAATTATTCTTCAAAGCAACAGCCCCCTTCCCTCCCCTTCCAGGCATAACAATCAACTGTTCGTTGGCAAACACTTTGTTTGTTTACTGGTCAGAAATGGCCACAATGGACAGAAACTATTTCTCCCAACCTGACCAACGGGGCCAATTGGTTCTTCTGATATGGCAAGGCATGGCATGGCACATGCTTATGCTTTTTTCTGCTTGTCTGCTTTTGTCTGAAATCCTGTGAACCAAGCATCTGGCATCCCTCCCGAAACCAAACACTTCGCACAGACATGCAACGAATCAACGAACATCGCCGACACTACGGAGCACTGGCCGCGACCTGGCCAAGAAATGAGCAATTCACTGTACATTGACGGGATACCCTAGTTCGGCCTTCCCGGCCAATGGAAGCCAGCAGGTATGGAGGGCAATTTTTTTTTTCAAAATATAAAACCTGTCGAAAACCCGATAGTGGCAGATCCAACCCCGGCAATCCTTCCTTGGATCGCTCATATGGAAATAATGCACAAGCTTGACAGCCCATTTTTGACTCGTCGGCTGCTGGCTTGGCAGTTTCCCCCGGCGGTTAGCGCTGGCTGGGCTTGGTGATAGGACTGTAACTAATGCTGGCGCTTTGATGATATGACGTAAGCTGTAGTATCCTGAAACCCAACGGCATCGTCATTCGTTAGGCCGAGAGGACGCGGGATGGTTAGGGTTGACTTCGTTGAAAAGGCATAAAGAGGTGAAAAGTGGGCTGAATGCCGAGATATGCCGAACACGGAGTAGGCTAGCCAAGACATTGGGTCTGGCGTTCCTGGGTATCCTCAACTGAAATTTAGTCCAAGCACAGGGGGACAGTAGATATCGCCCCTAGTCAGAGAGACGCATTATTGACACACTGAAAACGGCTTGGTCCGGGTTGGACTCAAATTGGTACTTTCCGCATCAGCCCTTTTGAAAGCGAATGTTGAAATCCACGGGTGAATACGATTAACTAACCGTTCCGCGAAACACACAGGAAAACCCAAAGTGGTGAGCCTACCTCACCAGGAGTCACACTTCGTGGCGCCCAGCAACTTGGCAGCAGTTCAAATCTGCAGGACGCAATGCACCAGAGCTCGCGCCAATCCACGTTCAACCGTCCCAGCGCCCAAAAGCTGTTTGCAGCATCGAACGGCCCACGAACTACGGATCCCCTACCACTGCCTTGGGTGTCAGAGGACGATTCGTCAGCTCTCAACACATAAGGTTTAGTTGTTTTGTCTGAGCGCGCCTTTTTTTTTTTTTTTTTTTGTCGCTGGGCCGTGATTATGTTACTGCCACGCGTGTGGTGCAAACCCGTGATGTTGCTGTGTAGTATCATATTTTCGGACATTCCCACGGCAAGCTGATTTGACTCTCCATATCCAAGAATGTTTGTTCAACCTGTTCTGCCTGTCACAGCAGAGATCTCACTCTCCGTGGGAGGAACGCTCTCGTCCAAGGATTTAGGAATAGCGTTGACACGCGGAGCACAAGGACGCAGGGTGATGAAAGGCCATGAAGTCTCATCACCAGGCCCAGCTAATGAACCGGCGGCAGGCCCCTCTCATCTCGGGGAAGGGAAGGCGAGAGCATAAACGCGGTTCAGCACACCAGCCTCTGTTTAGTTACATCCGTACTCGTAGAACTCTCAACAAAATCTCACAGCCCCAATCAATACCTTCGGCCTCTGATCCTAGCCTTCACACAACATGTTGTTATTCACAGTAAGAGATGGATAAATGGACAGGGCTCACATCAACCGCCATCCATTGATCCGCAACTGGTGATAACTTCAGTGTCTCAGCTGTATCGCGAACCAGTGCCAATTTAGCAACATCAAGCCAAAATGTGATCCTTCCTTGACTCTCTGATGTATAGGTGCATGTGCATAACAGAAGGTGCTTAATGGTACACCTGCACGGGGCAATGTGCAGAAGAATTCTGTTACATATTTGCAAGCACACATCCTCTGTAGATACATGTATGTACAGTACAGTACATCTGCTTTTACAACTTACATTTTTGTCCCTGCCAGAGTCCTCATGTTTCATCGTTGCTGCTCCTTTGCTCAAAAAGGAAAAGCAAAAATGCAGACATTTAAAATAAGCTCCCACCCCCCGGGATAATTGTGGGTAACCTAAGCAATCGAGGAAGACCCAGTGCCCCACGACTCCACGATGGGGATGGATGGGAGTTCTCAACTTCTGAAGAATCTACAATAAGGAATAAAATTTGACATGGGGGCCCCCTCCTCCTTCATGCCCAGCTCAGGCCGTCTGGGTGTCTCTCCATTTTGTCTCCTACAAGGCTTTTTCTCAACAAGCATCCCAGGAAATAATGGAGCAGCCGAAGTTAAAAAATCTAAGCAGATAGTTAATGACACCGCATTTACCTGATTCAGCAAGGTGGAAAAGGAAAAGAGATGGCTGGGCACTGCAAAACAAGCTTCACGACGTTCTTGACCTCGAGGAAGAAACATCGAAAAAATAAAATATAAAAAAACCATAATTTTAAATGCTTTGTTTGAGCTTTTTAATCATAAGAAAACTAGTTAACAAATTTCACAACTTTACATTCAATAAGCTTTGTATCTTTTTTAAAAAATAAACAAAACAGAGTTGAATTGACTTCCAAATTTGGCGAGAAATTTTTTTTAAGATTTCTTTTTTAAATTTTTCTCAAAAATTTTCAAATTTAAAAGTTTAAAAAATATATATATTCTTCATATCGGTACCATGGTAATACCCTCGCTCATTACGAAACTTCCAGGTGTTTGGTGTTTGGTATTCTGACACAAAACAGCATTCCCCGATCTTTTCCCCTCGATGACACAATTTGTGTCGTTTTATTATTAACCATCGAAGGGTTCTGGAAGAAATGAGAAATGAGGCTCATGCCCAGATCTCGGTGGCCCTGGGATCCATGGAATGGATTCCAGCATCACAAGTCACACAAAACTCTCCATGCATTCATTCGAGATGGAAGTAGTTAGTTAGTTACCAACTAGTAAAGAATGATAAATAAACATCCTCCATTCTATCTCCCTGTTCGCAGCTCAAAACCGCCAAGTCTGCACATGTTGACTAACCGGAAATGCGCAGTTGACCAGTTCTTTTGCCCGAGGCACTTACTCTTGTATGCGTCGGTTCTGCTCAAGAAGGAGACATGGGCATGGGTTTGGTCCAATGAATAGTTTATATAGAGTTCTGCACGGTGGTCAACGAACTACAGAACAGTTCTAACATTCTTTGTTCCCGACATTTCAAATATCTTTTTCCTTTTGATCATGTATTTTTCCAAAAAAAAAGAGAAAAAAAAAGAAAAAAAAAGAAGAGAAGAGAAAACGGAGAGGATGTTCGTTGTGGTTCCATTCCCGCTGCACAAGGCCAGAGCCAACTATAGTTAGCATACGCAATTATTAATAAAGCATGGAGTGGAAATAGATCCGCTCTCAACCCGTGTTGCTGCTCGATATCAGAAATCAATCAAGAAATCGCCTTTATCTCGGGCCCAACCCCGAGCTTACACCTTGCACGAAGGTCCGAACTGGATTGCCGAGACCACCTTTCGCGCCAAGAAAATTCCAGCAATGGCGGGAATTCGGCACCGACGGGGAACAAAAAAGACAACAAGGCAAACATTGCAAACATTGCATGTAGGAGCCGAGATGCTCAAGCATTAGCATGCTCGTCATCCGGCAATATATGTACCTTGCGGGACGCCACGCAGTACAGTAGCTTTCCTCCTACTCTCGGATGGTTGTTGGAGTTGCCTGAGCAGTTCAAAGAACAAAAATTCATTCATTCGACGCGAAAAAGTTGGTCTGTCCACGGGAACTTGAAGAGCGGGAAGGACTGTCCATAGGCGCGGCCCATCTTCCGCGTTCATTGATGGTTTGGTAACGACAGAAAACTCTGATACGCGACTTGGGAATCGCTTGTCAAAACCGAACCTGGAGTCTGGAAGGGGAAAGAAACGTTTTTCCCCCTCTCTGGTCACAAATGGGGCAAGAAAGAATCAATCATAAGAGGGAGAAATCACCAAAACCGTCCCCAAGATGTTTGTTCGGTGCCGATTTTCGGAGCTCTGCGTCAAATCGCGCCATCTTGGAATCAGATAACCCCTTGCCTTCCTAGCCTGGTTCTAAGCCAACCTGGTGATCCTGAGATATTGCCGGCTGAGCCCTGGCCACCCCGACATACGCAGACCCACTCGGCCGGTACTGGGCCACAAGGCCAACGGGGATGTTCGGCTGCAACTCAAGCTCTTCCCCCTTTTATGATTCTGTCCTGAGAGGACTCGTGCAAGCGTTGCATTTTTGTTTGTGAGTGGCTGCCACCTACCTAGGTGGTGTCGCATGGTTTTCAATGCACCAATCAGCGTCGGGGGACCAGACAGGAATAGGTGAGACATTCATTCCCCTTTCATCCAAAGTTCAGCATCCTACCTCCCTATTCTTAGCAATGATATTAAGACGAGAATGGACGAGCTGTTTCGGCTCCGACGGACAGCCGGTGTTGGCAATGTCAGGGTAAAGAAAGGTCTAAGCGAAGTCGCGGTGCACTCTGGTTTCTCAATCAACACTCATAGAAAATCATCTTGAACATGCCCAGAATACGATCTCTTTGATACCTTCTCCTCATCTTGTCTTTCTTGAGGTTGAAACTAGGTATTTTTAATTTTACCCACCCACCCTGGTATGCCCTATCTTCGCGCTTCGGCACCTGTCATAGTCTGGTGGAGAACTGGAGTTTACAGCCATACTTGAAGCGCGAACATGGGTGCTAGGTTGGGGTTTTTATCGCCGTGGATTCTTAGTTGGGGAAGTTTTTCACATCCCATTTTGATCAAGTACTCTATGATTCCAATGGCTGTATAAAAGTTCACTGGATATTCCGCTGATGAAACAGAATTCGGAACTGTCGTTATATCTAAATTCTCCTCCCCATGGGATATTTTTTATTTTATTTTTAGTTTAATTTAATTTTTTTTCCCCCGTCGAAAGCTAGCCGTGTGACATCAGTGCCCCATAGCTGGTTTAGTGTGGGCTACTCAAATCCCTTCCATGCTGTGACAATATCAGACTTATCTATTGGGGCTGGCAATGTCTGTGCCAGCTAACCGTTGTATATCAGCTGAAGTATCTCTCCATACCTAACCATCTCTCGTCAGGGCTAATATACAAGTCTCTAGGGGTGGAGCTGACGGTTTGTGTCTGTTGACTAAGAGTTTCAATATCTCTGACCATCCAAAGAAAAAAAAGTAGTCGAAGTTGTTTTCAAAAAGGGATACCTACCATATTCAGCCACAGATTATTGTCCCCTTCATCTGAAGAGACTACAACGATCCTGATCAACCCTTTACTCTTAAGTAAAGAAGAGTTAATCAAGCACTTTCCATACACATAAATTACCAATGCATGTGGCATGGTCCACGGGGATCCACCAAGACTCTGATTGGGTTCATCGATCATCAAGCAAAAGCTCTTGAGGATCAGAAAGTATGTGACATCAATTCCAGTAGGATGTCCCCCGACCTTTTGCTTGGGCTATAGAAAATCGTTCTGGCATGATTTTACATAGAAACTTTTTACAGAATTCTCAACAGCCCGTGTATCAAGACGAAAAATATCCCACGGCCGTTGAAACAATCGCGATTTGAGCTTCGCGAGGGATTTCTTTCCTTTTTTTTCATTTCTTTTCCTTTTTCGCAATGACAATTTGCTGGCGAGCCTTACATTGGCCCAGTCAACAAGCCCTTGGATTCGTCCCCCATTGAAAACAGATTCTTTGCACTACTGCGTTGTTTGCAAGGACTACGCAGTTTAGGCATTGGGCATGCAACTTTATTCTTCCCGTGGCACACTCCTCGCCAGATACTGACTGATGCGGAAGTTATTTGTCAACGATATTTTTGAAGATGATGATCATGGCAAGAGCTTTGGAACCTCTGCCTCCTAAGATATTGGCGCAATAGTTTTGAATTGCGATCAAATGGACGGATCTTCTCGGGCGTTGTTCTTGGCCTTGCTGTTCCCCGCCCCGCCCCCCACCCCCACTCCCGGGCTCTTGAAGGATGTGTCGCTGGATCCATGGGCCTACCGGGAACGCCCCGCATAACTGGGGGATTCCGGGGGTCTTGAGGTCCGGCCTGGGGGAAGGACCAAAGAAGGAAATTTTCGAAGCAAAAAGCAAGAAGAGTTCCAGGCGGAGGAGGTCAGTACTAAAGGCTGCGGACTCCAATCAGATACCGCACAATATGCCTTAAAGAATTACCCAAATTCCTAATTAAGTTGATCTGCAAATTGAAGCTCTGTATCGTTGGATACGGGCAATATTACCCTTTTTTCCCACCAGTGGTTAACCAGTGGAAGATAAGCAACATAGGACTCAAGAGGGGAACAGGGATCTGTTTCCGGATATTCAGGAAGATGAAGAAGTTGCTAATTTTGGAAAACAATATTTAAAGTATAATATTTTTTCTTTTGCTGATCTACTATCGACGAAGCTAGAAAGCATACAGGAAATACGTTTGATTTTTGATGTCTCAAACACATGGCAACATTTCCCCTCCCCCTGCTCTGAGAAAGGTTCTCAGCAGCATTGACAGGAATGCCCCACACACAAACGGAACTCTTGCAGACCGAAAATGTCGTGGGGAAGCTCTTGGGATCTTGTGGAGATAGTTTTCGCTTTTATGTTCTAAGCCCGAATCATTCCAGCGATCTCGATGATTCCAAGTCGGTTCATGAAAAACAAAAAAACCTCCCATCGCCTCAGCAAAAGCATGAGAAGATCACTCTCCTATACGGCTTGTGTTTAGTGTGTGTTTAAAGTTCAATAATGGAGAATTATTGAGCATTATCCAAGATGCAGCTCAAACATATATGTAATGGTGGCGAATACTGAACTGAGTCCGATCAAATCCGAAACGATATATCCGCATCCACAAGAGTACTAAGAATTTTCCTGGAAATTATGAAGTCTTTCATTGCTGTGTCAACGACAAATGATGTACAGAATGCAAAGAAGAACCGCTAGAATAGTTGCTCAACTAGGACTTGCCGCATCAGCTCCCTCTCCCGCCTTCATCACACTGCTCTCCCAGGGACTATTATGTCTGCTCTAGCATATTGTTTGATATTTACTACGTTATTTGTCAGTAATTACCAGTGGCTGATTTATTTAGCAATAGTGTCGCAAAAGCGCTCTCTTAAATTAATGTTTACTTTCTTGCCACCCCCTAATGAAATAGGACCAAAGGAAGAGATGAGACGGAAAGAGATATGTTAATCTGGGGTCTATGTCAGCAAAAATTGACACGGTGGTAGAGTGGTTAATACGTGAGACTTGAACCCGCTGTGTGTTCTACCAGCAAATGGTTTCGACATCTCATACCTTCGGGTGCGCAAGTTCGAATCTTGTCCGTGTCGAATTTCTTTTCTTTTTTTTTTTCCCTCACCTTCTCTTCCCCACAGGATAGATATGAGACAACTTATCAAGTCCATTCTCTCTCTGTATGATATGATGTACAGTACAATGTTAGCATTAAAACTTTGTACTCCGCAGTGTGCTACTACTACTCCTACTCTTGAGCGCAGGTAACAAGCAAATGACACTATGGTAGTGAGGTACCACACTTTCTATTGGAAATTTTCATCGTCATCCTCACATAGGAGTAACCTCCAAAAGGCAGAACCCATGGAAAACAAAGACAAAGAGAGAATAAGAGAGCCAAGGGTGAAAGATGAAACAAACCTTACGAAATGAATCTCGGAGTCCCCGCAATAACCAACAAGGAATTGGAATGACATTTTCCTTTTGCAGATCCATCATCCCTGCCTTTGCAATCAGGGAGGAATTCACGCCCGCGAATCATAATTACCATTCCACGACAAACTTCGCAAGGATAGAGCCTGTGAGAAACGAGGCGCACCCTTGCTTGCGGATGGGATAATCTGCCAATCCACCGACTTTTCTCACCACGTGATCGTGCGTCAGTCGCACTCGACTCTTCTACCTTGTAATTGGTAGATTTGGGCCTCTCAATCTAGCTTTTGAAGCTGTGTTGATTCATTTAAATGCTGTGGGTGGAGCATTATTTCATATATTTGGAATTGAGCTGATCAGGACGAGGAAATCAAGTGTTGTTCTGTTTCCCTTTTTTTTTCGGGTTCAATTTTGATGTCTTGCCGGGATTTTTGTCGTCTCAGCTGCAAGTAAACCATAAGGTTTTTCTTTGCTTTTTCCACGACTGGTTTTCTGGTTTTTTGCGGCATGAGAGTTGAAGCGACAAAAAGTGGTTAAGACAGCCATGTTTGAAACTGGGCTCGCATGATTGGTAAGAGATCACGAGGATTTGCCTGTTCCCTGGCTATTGAAGAGGAAGAGAGAGTGCTCACACTTTTTTACAGCGCTTTACTGAGGTTTCATGCATTTTTAGCGTAAGGAAGGTCAGTTCGTTAACTGGTTTTATGTTTTTTGTTTTTTTTTTGCCACTCGCTGATCATATTTTATTCAGAGAATTGAGATATTCGATATAAGATCTCGCCTGGTATGAGGCGCAGTTTCATTTCGTTGCTTACCCATCCATACAATATTGGTCTTCCTTGTTGGCCCTGCCCTCTGAACCTCGTATTTCAGAATAGAACCTCAACCTTGTTAAGACTATGAACCGAATTGATTCCTTGGTTGGATGAAAAATCAGCCCATATATTTCCGCAGTCACGAAGACGTGGAATGTGAAAACCGCAGGCAAATACAGCAGCGCCTTTCGAGGAAGCACGTTCTCGCACTGGGACATTCGATGGTTTTCATTTTTACAAGTTGTCATTTACGAAGGCCCTGATGATCAACTATTTTTGAAGGGACGTTGATAAATCTGTAACTGAAAATTATATCAGCCTATTAGATTCCACGATCAACATACTAGCGTGGGGGTGAACTGTTGAACTGCGCTTCCGGCTGGAGATGCATATGTGTTCGCTGATGACGACCTAAGGTAAATATATTTGAGTTTTGGCAACTGTTGTTGGCGGGTATCAAAAAGTGATTTGTTGGCTTTTTCATGGACTGTGTGCTTTTCACTATTTTGCTTTTGCTTCAATTTGTTTTCTCTTCTGATATTGAATTGTCATACCCCACCCATCTTGAGGTTGAAGGTTTCACGGAGAAATTTCGGTATACATGTCTTTGGTGTGTTTGGAACGGAGTAATGATGGCAATGTAAGGGGTGATAGATCCTGAATCGCTGGAAGGGATCCAGAATCTCTGGTTACTGATCACTTCCTCCGTTTCCCAACCTGAATGAAGCAAAAGTCCAGAATAGATAGAAGTAAATTAGTGGCGATTGGACTGGCGGAATAATAGTGAGTCAATAGACTACATTCGTGGTATAGAACTAAATATCCTTATTTTTAGCAAGAAACCATATGAACATGAATACATATCCATATACCTTTCAATACCGGTTCCTATGCGCTGGTAGAGGAGAGAATATATTGTCGGACAACTTATCTGGCTGCCAATCTGAGTTGATATTCATCTTTCCCAGTCTAGAAGCATCGCATTTCTCTGCTCCAGGCCATCAGATGAATGTTGTGAAAGGTTTATAGAGCCATGCCCTTTATGTATGGTTCAGCAAAGCAGAACACAGTATGTCCTCTTACGGACTTAAAGTGAGATGGTCTAAAACATGAAAAACAAAATATTCCCTAGGGTCGCTGGCCAAAGCGGAAACCACTGACGATGATCGTGGGAAAAGCGATCTCATGTCGCCCCATCATTTCTACAGGCACTAAGACAAATAAGCCGTAGATGCGCATGCGATTACTACTATCAGGCCACCATGTGAACGTATCCAACAGGTCAACATCGGCTCGGGGGTCGTGGGAGGCGTATCATTCTGTCCTCAAAAATCACCAAGTAATTAAGCCTCATCCATTGGTGTCAGCAATAAGGGCAGAAACCAAATGGGTAAATAATCGGGTTCCCTCACGGACTTGACCGCCACAGAAGTTCCACCACGGAGGGAAGTAAGCCGCGCCGGTGAATCCTTGTGATGAGAAGTAGCCATTGATATGGAAGGAAATCATATCAGTACGTTCTCTTGGGCATATGAATGATTCTCCACTGCATGTATGTACAGTACATCTTTAGCCTCCAAGCCTCTCGATGGCGGTCTCCAGGTTTTAGACTGGAAGATGAACCGTTCAGGTCTCCATGGCGATGAATATATCAGAATATAGTAGCCATTGAATGACCCAAAGCATACTTTATAGAGACTGAAAGATGGCCCAGTGTTGGAAGCGCATTCAGATGTTAGAACCACCCGTTCTAGTAAGTGCCTCTCTTGGGGTGGACAAGAAGTTAGCTTCTCGTAGGTAGAGACATGGATGTCACTCCATGTTCAAATGGCATTGCGCAATTGCAAAATGAAGTAGAATGGATGGATTTCGCCTTCCAGCAAGGTTGGCATTATAAACATCCGCCATTATGGAGACAGTAATATGCGCAACAGCAGGAGGAATTTGACTCGCTAAGGTCTCCATCAATGGTACAGTGGATGGACTGACACGGAATGAGAAATTGCTTGTATTGTGAACGAGACAGCGCTCAAGGGAATTTCCACCCATGTAGAATTCCAATTTCGGTCTCATCCACTCTATGGAGTATCTCATTGACATTGGGCACAATTGGATTCGACATGAGTCATGTCGACATAAGGTATATCAACAAATTCATTCCTATGGAATTTCTAACAGCTGGGAATTGCCAAATTGGTGACAATATAGTTCGAACTTTGGAGAGTTATATTTGGCCCGATGGGGCCACGAAAACGAAATTCTGTTCTTCCACCAAATGTAATCCAAGAGCCTGGAGGAGGGCGTTGAGGCAACAGAGAGAAGACGCGAGGCATCAGATCTAGTCATCTGCAACGGTAGAGCATAGTTTAAATTGCCTGAAGCTTTTGCCATTAGATCTGAGGCTTCTAGAAGGACAGGAACCCCGTTCTACGGCAACAGGAGGCTGTAGAACTTTCATGAACCTAGAGCTGAAAGATTTCAAATATATCTTCGTGTAAGATCATAGGCTTACCCGCTATATTGCAAGAGAAGGGCTCCCTTTGTCGAGAGATCCTGGGATATTCTCGTCGGGGTGCACACCGAATATCCCATCCACATGGTCGCCGATGGAGCATTTGACAGATCTTGCTTTCGCCAACTGGTAATGAATGGCCTCGCACTTGGGATTTCATATCCTGGAATGGCTGTATGAATAAAACCATTGTGTCGATTGAAAGTTATCATGTACTACTTTCCAGAACTGTGGTGTTGCCAAAAAAAAAAAAAAAAAAGCCCTCTGGAAGGGCCATGCACACCTTTCTTAAGACCCAAATAAGCGGTTGGAGTAAGGACTATTTCTATCGGTGATAGGAATGGCTCTGGAAAGAGGGCATCTGTGAACGACAATGATTTGATGCTGTGATAAAGAATATCACGGTGAAAAATATTTCCGTCACCGGCATGGCTGACCTCAAAGCAGAGCTCCAGAAATGACCTTCCAGCATCGAATTTCTATTTTCAGGGAGACAGCGTGTGATATCACACATTGCAGCGTTAATTAGGCCCGGAACACCCATTGGACCATATACCGTGTAAGTGCGTTATTTGATATTATGTCCTGTCTTAATTGTCTGTGATATTGCGTCCTTGCGCTCGACCGCATCCTTGGTAGTTTTCATCGGTCTAACCTCGCTCAAAAGCCACTATGATGAGATGAAGGAGGCTAATCTTGAGAAGCTGACTGTTTTGATTACCATTTTGCTTTAACATACGTTGCTCTACCTTTTAGTTTATTCTAACTTTGGTTAAATTACTGTCGTCTCATGGAATAAATATTGGGCGAGATGTTAACCCTTTAACAGCACTCTCGTTTACATTCGGACAATTTGGCACATCGTCAATGGCAATTCGATAGCGCATATTTCTGGCCGTATTACCAATGATACCCGGTGGTAATGGCCGCCTTCCGCGGTCTCCGCTCCTAATCCTAGGAGCGATGTCTCGCAGTGGTGCGCCCCATGCCTCCCGATGTTCCATTGCAGCACGGTTTAGTCGAAGCCCCGCGGTATGCAGGTCAAATTTGCCTTTTGGCTCAAGGAGCATATCTTCAACTTCGTCATCTTCTCCAATACGTGACGCTGGCGCAGAAGCCGCGAAGCCTCCAGGTGGAAAAGTGAAGAGATATTTTCTCGGAACATCAATCGTTTTTCTCCTCTGGGCCGGATATCTATATTCGACTGACACCCGGGCGAGTGCCCATCGGTGGATTGTTCCGCGCCTCATTAGGTGGTATTATCCAGATGCGGAAGATGCTCATCATGCTGGCGTGGACTGGATGAAATTTCTCTATCGGCTTGGCCTCCATCCTCGAGAAAGGGGAAATCCAGATGGGGACGGTAAACTTGTTACTGAGGTGATATGCCATTTCTGAGCCCTCCTTTTTGTTTGAGAGATAAGGATTTTTAATGATTGAAATCAGGTATTTGGCTATACCCTTTGCAACCCGATTGGGATATCTGGTGGCCTTGATAAGGACGCAGATATCCCGTCAGCCCTGTTTGAACTGGGACCTGCCATCGTTGAGGTTGGAGGAACTACACCGCGTCCTCAGGAAGGAAACCTTAGAAGTCGAGTGTTTCGCATCGTGTCACAGAATGCTTTGATAAATCGTTATGGGCTTAACTCCAAAGGAGCAGATCATATGGCAGCCGTTCTCAAGCAGCGGGTTCGTGAGTTCGCCTACTCTCACGGCTTTGGTTCGAGTGAATTTGCAGAACAGTGGGTGCTAGATGGGGGAGCGGGTGTCCCACCCGGCAGTCTTATCGAAGGTAAACTTCTCGCTGTCCAGATTGCAAAAAATAAAGACACGCCGGAGACGGACATCGAAGCCGTCAAGAAGGATTATGTTTACTGCGTGGACCTGCTGGGGAAATATGCGGATATCCTTGTTGTGAACGTGTCCAGTCCAAACACCCCTGGTCTTCGAACGCTTCAGGAGTCAGGACCCCTTACCACACTTCTAACGAGTGTAGTCAATGCTGCGAAACACACGAGCCGGAAGACAAAACCATACGTGATGGTTAAAGTAAGCCCAGATGAAGATACCGATGAGCAGATTTCTGGGATCTGCGAGGCCGTCCGCGCATCTGGCGTGGACGGAGTTATCGTGGGAAACACAACTAAAACGAGGCCCGAAGCATTGCCCAGAGGTTACAAGCTCTCAGCCCGCGAGGAAGAGACGCTAAAAGAGACGGGAGGATTTTCGGGCCCACATTTGTTCAACAAAACCGTTTCCCTCGTCACCAGATATCGGGCGCAACTTGACAAAATGGTCGTATCCGACGACACTGGTGACAGCACATCACCGTCTGAAACCGACACCATGACATCACAAATGAAATCCCACATGGTCCCAAAAGTGATTTTTGCATCTGGTGGAATTACGAATGGAGAACAGGCTGCGAAAGCTCTGAAAGCTGGGGCTGACTTAGCGATGCTCTACACGGGGTTGGTCTACGGGGGCAGCGGGACAATTACTAGAATTAAAGCAGAAATGCGAGAAATTGTGGACGGGGTAGAGAAGTAATTGGATTGTTTTGGGTCTTGGAACAATATTTTACTGTCTGACATCTATCAACATATAGTGCCTTCTGGGTAGTGAAAGAGGAAAGTTAGAAAAATACGCTTTAGAGACGGAAAATAGAGGAAGTCGTGTCGCCTACGCAACCGTGCAGTTTTCATCCCTTCTTCCCGACTTTGATCGGAATAACGCCTTGTCCGTATATGTGGTTTTCAAAAGTCGAAACGCTCGTCTATATACATAAAAAATAAATGTGGAAGAATCATGATCATGGGGAATTTTGGCGCATTTACGTTAGCAAGGGAAAAGAAGGAGATGAATCGACCCCCTTTGCTTGAGCATTCAAATAATGTAGATGTTTAAATTACATATATAAAAAAGAGACCTTCCAGAGACAACTCTAACAAGCAAATTTGGCCTCATACTCTGCAAGAACTTTCGCCTTGCCCGCGGAGGCACTTCCGGCATCAAAGCGGTAGGTCAGCCAGTCGCCAGCCAGCTTCTTCGCCAGCTCGATGCCAATAACCATAACCCCCCGGCCAAAACAGAGCACCTGGGCATCGTTGCTGAGAACTCATCTCTCTATGGAGAATGGATTCGTGGGCGGCAACGGCGCGGATGGCCGTGATCTTATTGGCGCGCAACCGCCACACCAAGGCCAGTTCCACAGATCAGAAGGGCGCGATTCGCTTTTCCTCCCTTGATGAGTTGGGTGGCCTGGATGGCAATGAGTGGGTAGGTAGTCTATCAGCCGTGGAGGGAATGCCAACGTCCGTGATGGAGGAAACGAGAAGTTTATTTGAGAGATGGACTTTTTAGGGCCTCGTTGCAGCTGTGGCCCGCTTTCATCGCAGGCCATGACGATGCGGAGAGTTGCGAGCGACATTTTGGCAGGGTTTTAGTTGTAGATATTTTGTGGTAGTAAACAGGATGGGTTTCAAAAGGAGACTCTTATCAAGGAGCAGAGATATTGTTTATGGAGAAAGATGCAAACGGATATGAAGAATTGGGAAGTAGGATCATGAGCATAGGCTGTTACTTTCCTCAAGATATCCAGTTTCGAGAATTTGAGCCGCTACCAATCGTTTGTTGGGATCAGGCTGAAGTACTAGAGCAAGAAACTGAATGTCCTCCGCAGCAACTCCGCTTTCAAACATCGAGTTCGCCCACATATACGCCGTGTCTGGCTGCGGTTGTGGCAGAAGCTTGGAAATCCGCTCATCTTGAGCGTAGTATGGGACGGAGTGCAAATCGAAATCAATAGCCAATGCATCACGGATAGCCTTGGCTTTTTCCTCTAGTGAACCGGCACTTATGTTGTCATACATCCCCGGTTTATTAAAATCAACCCGTGCTAGGAACAGCTGCGCCAGCTAGTGACCGAGTCAGGAACAAGCTCAGCGAAGTTTAGTGATATTAGAAGCAATACCTACAATTATTCCCCAAGACCAAATATCACACGATTGATTCCAGGGCTTCCCAAAGTGAATTTCAGGGCTACGATATGTCAACGAGGTAACTTCTCTCTGTGATGGCTTGCTGACTGTAAAAACCCAAGTCAGAAAAAAGAGGATCAAACATGCAAAGAAACAAGTAAGAGAAGCGTTTCCTTACTCGCGCCACAATCTGATAGTCTAACTATCAAGTTTCGTATGTTTTCATTTGGTCTATCGTTCTCAAATCCTTGCATCCCGACGTTTTCCATTTTCAAGTCTAAAGAGAAAATCCGATAGGTCAACATGGATAAGTATTCAACGGAGCAAGCATACTATTCTCACCAGTATACACAAGATCCTTCATATGGACTGTGTAAAGGCCAAGCAGTACACCCTTCATTATCCATTTGATTTCCGGCACACTGAAAGTACGAGTATTTCTCGCTTCCCATAGCGTTTGTTCGAATGGCTTCAGAATCATCAGTGGTCCACCAGGCTCCGAGCTGGGAACGAAATCAACCATTGGCCGAATCATCTGATCATCCTTGAATAGCTTTTGCATTTCCACCTCGTGCATAAAGGCTGAAGCAGTGGTATCTTTGCCATCTTTAGAAAGCAATGGCCCCTTTGCCACATACTCTGCCTTCTTCTCTGAATCCTTCACAGCCACCCATGTGTTTGCTCGATAGCCGGGAAGCTGGGTTCCTAAGGGCCGAACAAGTTCATACTTTCCACCACTCTCACCGATGCAAGTCAAACCCGGAGTAAGTATTGTCGAATAGCTGGCGACCGTATAACCAAAACTGAGTTTGAGTGGATGAGGAAGAGAATGAGTAAACAAAGGTTTTAGTGGAAATTTTGAGCAAAATAATGGCAGCGCCATGACGGGAACAACAGGTGTGTGGTTGAGGTGAGCGCGTAACAAGATATTCTTAATCTCAATTCTGTAACAACTGCGATAGATTAGCACTTATTAGTAGTCAACTTACACAATCAACCCTCTTATTATTCATTTGCTCACTCACATACTCATATACTTCTATGAGAATTCTTCTTCTCACAATTCTGTCTCATAATTATAGCATTCTTCATTTCATACTTTATTATTTGAAAGTGCTCCATCTCCTCCTTGCATGTTGTCACAATACTTCTCAATCCAGTCGAAAATCAAACCAGAGTTTCTGCAGATATGATGATCCTTCTGGGTTATTGTGCAACAAGAGCTGTTAAACTGCTGTGAAGCTCAACATCATTTTGTGCTAGCTCAAAAATTTGATTAACCTTCCCCAAGCAGAGCTGGGCTCGGATCACTTTGACAAATTCCAGGAATTAGTATACCTTAACCTGGTGCCATCCTCGAAACCAAGGCTCTAAAAGCTAGAGAACTTAGGCCACTTTGCAAACAACTTACATTTTGATATGCATCATGACTTTACTTGACTGCGATGGTCATTCTGTGGGCACATTTCAGGCCATGCCACTCAATAAAGAACAATTGCATATATAGTTTAAACAAAGTAAGATCAAACAAGAAAACAAGAAAACAAGATTAATTTACTGACTTCCATTATTTTTTTTTAGCACCGCTGCTGCTTCTTCAGCTGTAAAGATTTTCTGGACTTTGGAGAAGTGGACTCTGCTTGCTTTCTTACCCTAGACCCTGCTTGCCAGCCCAGTGTCCAGCTTCTCCATGTATTGCTTGTGCGTCTGGAGCAGCATTTGCAACATCATCCTCTAATCACCAAATGGGCATCCACAGGAAAAATTCAAGGCGCGCACCCCTAGCCTCGCGATATAGTAGTACATGAGGGCTGTTCACATCTTACTCAAGGCGGCGGGACATGGGAATCCTCCGAAGGTTTGTCCCTGGGTATTCCAAACTCCCCAGCTTGTGCGAGCTTATCACCAAAGGGATTTGGTTCGGTGATCACCAGTTGAAGATGTGACAGGGGAATTAGAAACCGGGAACAATCCCACCAAGAAGACCTGAAAAAGCCGGCTGTGCTGATCGACAAAATGCTGAATGTGGTAAAAAGCTGTGGAGGAAAAGCGGTTGCAAGATATGATGATCAGATGGACAAGTTGATAATTTGAAAAGAAGGTGGTAAAAATATGTTGCCAGCTGACCTGTGTTTCAATGGGATGATGGTGAAACCCTCAAATCTGCCATCATAGAAGATGACTGGGCCAAGGGAGTAGCGGCCACTGAAGAAGACTGTTATTTGAATCGGGGATGTCAATTATGATGTTGACATGGTATCAAAAATACTGTACTTGACAGCTTTTGTCAACTTTCAGACCAAGGCCCAATCTAAATCATCAGAGTTTGCTCACTGATCTATCCCTCTCTTTGCTGAAGCTCTTAGAGATGGCTTGAATTGGGCTATCGCCAATGGTTTTGATGTCTTCCCCCCGACCTTTCCGAGCATCACACGGTGTGTGAACATACGACTTTCTTCTTCTACTACTACTACTACTACTACTACTACTACTACTACTACTACTACTACTACTACTACTACTACTACTACTACTACTACTACTACTACTACTACTACTACTACTGAGCTTCTCTACTTATTCCAGCCCGAGCTCGAAGGCGGGCCCCAGCCCGGACCCGATTTTTGAAACGTCCAGTGACGCTGCGTACGCTGATGATCAATCCACCCGCCGGAGCACAATAACCTGTACACTCTCTTTTCATACAAAATTACCAGCGAGCGAATGTCTTCACTATTTCATCGCAAAGAAAACTCCAAGACAATACAACTAGAACGATGCAACAACAAATACCCCTGCCCCAAGCTCTACATCTAAACCCTCAATCCTGCTAAATCATACCCGGATCGCTCAAGATATGGTCAATTCAGGCATGCCCCTGCGCCAGGGGGACGGTTCCGACTCTTAGTGCTAATACTAATATTTTCGAACGAACAAGTCTGTTAGTGTATTTGCGCTCGTAAGACCAACAGCCTGTATTGTTGTTGGCGTGGTGAACAACGCCGGCCTGTAGCAGGTCGGCGCCGGTGACGTAGATTCCCCAGTGATACTCCGTCAAATTGACGGAAAGAATAACGTAAATTCCGCTGGGTTCCATGATATCTTATGGACCAATCTGTGGAGACCGCCGATTGAAAAAAGGATTAAATTCAGCTTATTATTGGACTTTCTTTGAACTGAACATTCGTTGGAAAACCAGGGGAAAAACTTCCAAAGCCGTGTAAATTTCGTAGTCTAAATCCCCGCTTGTGGATCAAGTATTAAGAAACAAATGTTGGTCCCCCGAGTGCACCATGCTTTAGACACAAAGAAACACCATGTACAATAATGCAGGTCATAAGGGACAGGTATGATCTCGGAGTATCTGTTCAGCGTTCAGTTCGTCAGAGTATTCAGGAAATGCACTTTTCATTGTCTCCAACCAAAGTGTCCAAATGCACACAATATAGCACGCCTTGGTGAAATCCCAATACTCGGGATACCATCCTGCAAACTCCCAATCCACTAACCCGGATAATCTCCCATTGTGTACCAACACATTTCCTGGGTTGAGGTCCGCATGCGCAAAGAAGACACGGTATGAGTGAAAGCGAGAATGCACATCTGCAATCATACCTCTGTTGGCAGCATCTGGAACCGGACCACACATATCCATCAGATGCTGGTTGAAATCCGCGATGTTGTCATAGAGTCCTGCATTGCTGTCCTCAGTGTCAACTCAACAATCCAGACATTCTCTGTCGAGCGAGCTGCAGATAAGATGGGGATATGGATTTGGAATGAACTGAATCTGCTCAACATAATTCCTAAAGTTGATACTGAACTGATGCAGCTGATAGGTGTTCATTATCTTGAGGTATTTCTCAGCAATGTGGCCCTCAATGTGAGTAGTCAGCAGTCAACCTTTGCTTATCCAACCTTCATTTTTCGCTGGTAACTCTATGAGATTGAAAACCCGCGGCGCATGAGCTTCATATTGGGCACGAAGAAGCCGGAAATGTTTGAGATATAGATTAAAGGGTAACCGTTGGACATTGGGGACATGGTAGGTCCCCTTGCTATAGAGGTGCTCGCCAATTGGGAGGAGAAGGCGATAAAAGAGAAGACGGATGGGTTGTGCGATTAGATGGTAGAGTCGAAGTAGCATTGCGGGCAGCTACGGCAACAAACTGAAATCAGCAAGGGTGATGTATTTTGAGTGTAAAGGGAGAATTTCGCTGGTTGAGGTTGGATGCTTTGAATTAGATAGACTGCATGTTATGCTCCATTCCAAATTGTCAGTCCAATGCGACTATTGCTCAACTGAATCTTTCACAGTTTTATTTGTCTTTGGTAGTCCTTGGGTGATTTATAGATTGAAAGAGGGAAGTAGTTGGTCTGTACGGCAGCCTATAGTGACAAATGTGTCTGACAGTCAGTTGCAGCACTAAATTTGGACTAATGAGTTTTTACCATTTGCTCAGTTGAAACTTGATGGTGGCCAATTCCAATTCATATTTATGTTTAAAATGTAGTTCTGACTATTGGTGTATACAACAAACCAGGGGAGCCGTTTTTGATGCTTCACTCTGCCAATTCTGGCTCCCCTAAGTGAGGGTGAAAGAGAGTCATAGCACAAGTACCCAAATGCTGTGACCACAGCTATTGATCCACATGGTTGTCAAGGGACGGTGGTTAGCGGGAGGCCAAAAATGGTAGCAAAAACCCCCATTGTCGGCAACTGCTTGCACTGCTTGCAGTCAACCATCTGCTAGCTATAGATTCTTGAGACTGATTATATGATTATTTCTTAGCCAATGAATCTTAAGCTGTGCCCCATATTCATAACATATATATAATGAAATCAAGTAAGTCAATTTGATATTGGTTCATTGCTTATACTGCTGACAGTGATCGAATCATATACGAAGTTCAATATCACATAATAAGACTTAACTAGAATGTGAGGGAGAACTGATTAAAGGAGCTGTAGTTGACTTGTGTGAGAAGATAGCACTATGGCCACTAGGTTATCCATAGCAAAAAGCCAATGTAGCTATTTGTCAAATGGTTGCGCTCATAGTGATATTTATACCCGGGGGCGTGGCCACTCGTCCCACCACCCTTACACTGCAACCGCCAGTCACAGCATAGTGTGGGAACCACATTTGCACATCTAACCAGACTTTCAAATACCACCCAATTGGCTACGCCGGCACAAAACCCATTTGTCTTATTGCATCCTCCCCGTTTTGACGTAGTTCCTCAACTTGGAGGAGATATGTATCGCCAGGGTTTCTTCCGTTAAGTATGGCGGTACCAAATATTTGGGCTCGGGTAATCTGAATTACTTGTCTGGGGTTACCAGACGGTATAGGAAATATAGGCTGTGCATGCGGTAAGTTATTATGATATATTCATTACTTTGGTACAAGGATAAACCATTAAAATTCCGTGCTGACAGATAGGAGAAAACAGTTCTCACCTCAGTTTGTAGCAACATAGCATTTCCCGATTGATCTCTTCCATGAATCTCTATGTCACCCTTGACTCTTCCCCCCGATAGCTTTGCCCATTTGATGAGAAATACAAGCTGAACGTGAGGCCTCCCACCTATTAACCACAAATCCTTGTCGTTATTTAGCCGGGCGCAGGACTCTGTCCAGCCGCTTTCTACGACAATGGTGGGGAAGGGTAACATATCAGGTAAAAAACACGAGTCGGGTTGTTTAGCAGACGAGAGGTATGGGCTAGAGAAACGTTCAAAAGCTGCATGCTGTCAATATGACATGAGGTGACGAAGGGGAAAACTGAGGGGAGATATTCTGCTGCTTGCAAACAAGAAAGTAATGAATCATTCGACGCAAATCAAAATTCAACTCACTTGTGCCGACACGAAGCTTGATCAACCTTGCCTCTGCAAGGGACAGGAAGCCAGCCATGCGCATTTGGCTAAGCTCAAAGCAAAGCCATTCTTGATGGCAATCATAGATGTGAGTCGGCATGATTCGAGCAGTTAATACCCGGGTCACAGAATTGTAAGAAAGTCTGGATTTATATTAGTTGTCACGCATTATGGTAATATGTCATGTTGACCTGGTGAGATGAGCAACAGCGGGAAACCTACCTAGGAAGTCTGCGCTCTATGTCTGGGTCTTCAGCGAGGGAAGCTACCATCGGGGACCCTGATGTTGGGGCGATGTTTTGAAAGGCTAAGTCGATGGAGTGGTTTGTGTCCAGAATGCTCCTGCGAATGGTATTGAACAACGTCTGCGCGGTGGGCTCGTCAGGAAGCAACGTGTTACTCTGTAAGGAGCGCGTTGGTTCGCCCATTTTCAGTTATGATTCTCTCAGAATATTTGTGGAAAGGTTTCCGGCCTCGGATTAGACGTGACTTTAGTATAGTAAAAAGAGCTTTCGATAAGATCGAGAGAAAGAAATTCAAGGAATGATTGTAGAAAGGATTAACGATGCTGAAAGAAGTGGAGAAGCAGACCGTTTGACGTCAGAGAATCCCAACTGAGCGGTTTGATATTCGAGAGTTTTGACGTTTTGCCATGTAGAGTCTCAACCTTCTTTTTTTGCCACTTCTAAATTGTAAGTTACATCAATGCACCAACTATGCTGATTTCATTGATTTCTCAGCTACAACCGTTTTGGTCGCTTGTTGTTATCCGGTATGAATCGCCGTATAACATCCCAACAAATTCGCGGGTGGGTTGAGGGGCTTGATGCCAAAAACTCAACACGCCTGTTAACTGGTATCAAGACCAGTATACAATAACATCTACCATCAAACTGGTTGAGATAACTATCCATTACTTAAGTATGAGCGGAAAACTGGGCCTCGAGGCGAGGTATTAGGGCTGGTTCAATGTTGCACCCCTTTAATCGGGGGTGTATCCTTTTATTCAGGGTATTCATCAACCCGCGAATTCGTAGGTTGAATGCTCTCAAATTATCAGCAGCCCCGCGTATCACGTTCTCCTGCAATGCTTTCAGAGATCATGCATGTCGAGTACGGGTAAAATCGGCAGCAAAACGAGTGTACCGTTGAAACATAGAGATTACCGCCCGGAAGATTTGCCATCAGCGGTGCGAACTGATTGCCGATATTCTGCAGAGTTTCGGACCATTTTTGCGAGTGCGTCTCCGATGCAGGTTTCAAAATTCGAGACGGCAATTGGTATTGCGAGGCGAGCCACATTTGTAGGCTTCCCAGGAGTCGGACTTGGCTGGAGACATGATGGGGTATACTGCAAAAAAAGATCACATACGTCCCTGTATAGATTGATTAAATATGTACTAATGTTAGGTAGGGCCTTCCAGCTGGCAGAATAGGCTATTGCCTGAGTTTCCATCAACACACGTTATTGCAGCTTGAGACGGTTAGACAGGAAAATAAGGGACGTGTCAAACATGTTCGCTTTACTGCAATTCCCTCATAGTGAATGATATAAGAAAATTATAGGACTCGTATCCGATCCGCATCCTTGAGCTGGGATACACTTAGCCTATATAATCTCTTTGGAAAACTGCGGGTTCATGGATTCACAAATCTCTGCCCACTTCAAGTTGATCCACCAGAGTTATGCATGTTGAATGATTCGGTTGGAGCTAGTTGGTCCTGTTACGGATGAGACATTCACATTATATCCCCATGCCAGAGCTCGCGCATTTTGGATATATTTTGGTAAGAAGTTAGAATGATTCAATCAGCAAATATCTCACATCTGACTGGGCTAAGCACTGACTGCGGCAAAGTGCGGCAATCTTTATGCTTGATCAGGTCGCTTTGGCCATTCAGCCTTCCTTCTCTCAATGGTTCAGGAGCTGACAGTGCAGATCTTTAGGATACAACAAGGCCACGAAAAAGGCAGTGTTTTTTTCTCGCCGATGTCTTTGGGTCTGATGCAATTGCAGAGCTTAATCTCATTGCACAGCCGAGTTGCCGAAGCTCGGAAAAGATGTTTGTTCCTGCTCACTGGAAACTGTGCAAGCTATGGCAAAGCTAGGCCATTCATTCTGGCTGATTGGCCAACACTCTGAGTCCCCGAGAGAGGCATTGGGTCCCGAAGAACTCGATATATTAACTGTGCTAGGTCATCTTAAAAGTAACACTAGGTTCATGACACAGATATGAGAGCAAAACTCTGCATGAGCGCGTTTTCAACACTAAGATGCACATTTTAAGCGAGATGAATCCAGATACGCTAATGGCAATGAGCAATTTGGTGATGGTCCTGTTAGATCCTAGGCAAGGAGAACATGCACGTCGAATGATGCATAAAGTGCACGCATCGCGTGAGGAAAGGGTTGGTAACGAACATCCGTACACCTTGTAATGCACTCTGTTACCTTACAAAGGCCCAAGTGGAGCTAGGAAACCTCGAGGAAGCGGAGGATAGGCTCGTGGGCGGTATCGCCGCAGCCAAACAAATGGCTTGGTGATGAGCATCTCGATGAAGCTCTGATGGGATGCACGGAGCTTGGACGGGTATACGCACGACAAGACCACGTATGCGAGGCTGAGGAACTCATTCTAGGCATATTCCAAAGAATCAAAGAACCTCGCGGTAACGACCACTATTATTATACTTGCGGGGAGTGGAAGGTCGGTTAGCCCCTTGAGCTCACGAGAGAAAAGCCCAATAGTAACTACATATCGATAGTATTCGAGGACACAGAAACACGCTAACACGCTTGGCCCAGCAAATCAAGCCACAGATAATTACTGAGGGGGCTTTTTGGCAGAACATGACAAGATCAATTGCAATTCTTTGTCCACAATCTCTATAGTACTCGTATTAACTTTCTTTCAAATGTTGTTGGGATTTCCTCAATTGTAAACTAACTTGTCCATTTTCAGATTAATGTAATGCTGCTCGGTTTTTCAGGGCTGATAAATGTCTATCTTAAAGCAGCAGCTCCTCTGGTCGATCAAGGGCTAGCGGCAATTTCCATATCAAAGTGCCTCAGATTGTGTCAAAGCGCCTCAAAGCGGCTTGCAGTCTTCTATTTCGCCATTGCTATATTTGCTGTTCTTGAGCCATTCATTTTCAACATTGTTTGTTTTTTTTCTTTTTGGGAGGAAATACCCGCAGTTGACCTTCCTAGTCACCCACATGACTTCACATCAGTAACCACTAACCTTTATATACCTACGTTCATTATTTACACATCTAGACATTCGACTTGAAGTAGCTATTCCACTACATGACCGTCGAATAGACCCCGATTTGTCTGAACACCTCAAAATACCAAATGGCATATGAATTAAAATCCAAAGGCAATGAGCGTTTCAAGGATGGTGACTTCGCCGGGGCTGAGGACTTTTACTCCCAAGCGTATGTTTACTTCCGTTTGTCCACCAGCATCTAGCGGGGCATTTAGATGCACTACATCTATTTACTCCTACTGGAGGTTATATATTGATTCTAAATCGACCGGTGCATCTTTTCGTAGCATCCAGAAAAACCCCAACGATCCTTCTTTCTTCAATAACCGCGCCCTTGTTCGAATCAAGCTCGAACAGTGGGAGGGCGCCGAACACGATGCGCGCATCGCCATAGATCTCTTCGGCCCAAAGAACTCCACGGCTATCAAATCAAACTACTACCTTTCCCAAGCCCTTCTCGGACTGCAGCGACCAGCTGAAGCACTCGACGTGGCCTTAGCAGCGTACAAAGCGAGCATAGAAATCAAGAACCCTAATGCGGAACCATTGTCGAGGGTCATACTGCGCGCCAAGCAAGCTATATGGGCGGCAAGCGAGACGACGCGATTGCGGAATCAAGATGAGACGCTGAGGAAATGGGAGGAGCTGCTTCAAGCGGATTATGAAAAGGAGCTAAGTGAATTGCGCGCAAGCTTAGCGGTGGGTGAGATTGGGCAGATTGGATTTGAAGAGGATAAGAAGGATTTGTTGGACGAGATGCAGAGGAGGTTGGGTATTATGAGGAATATGTTTGCTGCTTCGAAGGGCGCAGATATGAAAGAACGGGTCTGTATATCCTGCTCCCCTCCCCTCGCAGTTGCTTATATCCAATTCTGGATTCCGCATGTCTATTTCAAACTCAGTGCTTAGACCAATTTCACCATCCTAGGTCGTCCCTGATTATCTCATAGACAGCATCTCCTTTGAGATAATGCATGATCCTGTCGTCACCCCATCGGGCCACTCTTTCGAACGCACCAGCCTCCTAAAACATATGCAACACTCCCCCTTCGACCCCATTACCCGTGTACCCATGACCATCCACGACATTCGCCCAAACTATGCCCTGAAAGCAGCTTGTGATGATTTCTTAACCAAAAACGGCTGGGCCGTTGATTGGTGAGCGTGACTCACGTTGAAACGCATTTTCCTCTCTTTCCTTTTGCTTTTCGTTTTAATTGCATGATATCATATTCTTTAACATTGATATGATACATAGACTCGCTTCCTTTCTTATTCTCTTTTGCGGTAAAAGTCCAAGTACGGGGGATCCCATTTTTCGGATTCATGCATCACCATTGCTGATCATCGAATTTTACAACGTCAAGCGTTTCCTCTTTTATTCCTAAATTTAAACATCTTTTACTTTATTTTGTTTCCTTCCTATATGCTTCATGCTCTACGAATTTAACCATCCTACTGGTTTTTCCTATATTTATTTTTGGCAAAAGTCTGCTTGCTCTGTATCCTGCAAGCGTTTTTATGCATCGTTCGTTGTATAATGATCCACTTTGTTTTGATATTCCTATAGTGCGCGGCGTTTCAGCTATAACCTCCCAGACATTTTGTCCTTTTCTTTTCTGATTCTACTTCTCATGCATTATGAAATAAAGTTACCTAAATTCCTTGTGCCTGGTTGTAGTTACGACTTGAACATTCCCCTTTTTATTTGATTTTGACCCTCAAATTGGCTGTGGAAAATAATAATAATAAATAGATTATTGATCGCCACAGTTTTGATCCTGTCCAAAAACCAGACAACTCTTGTAGCTTGAAGGGCGGCGTGGAACTGAAGTTCATGCACACGCTAGAAGTATAGAATACCTCAATCTCTGATGGCTGAATGAATGCGGCTGCACTTCCACCCAAGTGGCTCAGCCTGTAGTTATAGCTGCTTACTCAGCTCAGTTCCCCGCTCATTGGGACCCCGCCGAAAAGTCAACATGCTTGATGTTGAAGTTGCTTTTACTTGTCTTAATTTCAAGTTATTAAATATCTGGGTATTTCTTATTCTGACCTTTATTTTCTTTTTCTCCAGGAACCCGCTAGCCGTGAGTGTCTGCTAAAAGTGCTAGAATTCATTCCTCATCCTTGAGTTTTCCATGCACGTTTTGTCATCAGCAGTAGAATTTGCACTTCATGGGTGGATGCATGCTGCACCACTAGATAAAGTACGGAAGCTTACACAACCTCTTAACACAGAAAATCACAACATATTGCTTCTTTGCTTTTGCACTTCGAAAGAAATCTTACAAGCAACAGGAGAGCGGATTCCGTTACGAAAATCTCCTTTCCCCTTACCACGGCTTCCAAAAAAACTATTCCTCCCGCGCCGTAATACCACTTCGTCAGTAAAGATAATGCCCGTTCCAAAGACTCCCGAGTTCGAAGCCGCTGTCGTGGCGAGCCGGAAACTGGTTTCTAAGCCTAGTGATGATGAATTGTTGGAGGTTCGTTTTATCAATCCGCGAGGTTGCGAATTCTGGCTTTGTTTGATCGAGAGCAGTCTCTGCCGAGGGGATGAGGGATGAAAAGAGAAAGTAGAGAAGGAGGTGGAGTGCAAGATAATAATCGCGTCGGTATTTTGGCTAATTTCAAGTGACATCGAATTTTTATATAGATGTATGCGCTGTTTAAACAAGGAACCCAGGATCCTCCCTTCGAGGAAGCTCCCAAGCCTGGAACCTTTGACTTTAAGGTATGGAAATCGATGGCTCTAGAATACCTTACCACATATATACACATTCCTTGCTCTGCCCAAGACCAAAAGGAGAGAATGCGCTAACGGATCATTTTACTTAACCGCCTTTTCACGTTCCTTAGGGTAAATACAAGCACAGCTCATGGAAAAAACTCGTTGACGAGGGCCTCTCCCCGGAAGATGCGCAAATAAAATACGTTGAGCTCATCGAGAAGCTCAAGGAGAAGTACGGATACGATGAAGGGAAGGAGCCGGAGCAAGTTGGAGGGAAATAGAAGAGTATAAACTAGAAATAGACTGGATGTTTGCTAGCATCTTGCGGGCGCTCCTGAGAAGAGCCAGGCTGCTGAACTACCTAGTAGATCATATAAGACGATATGAGGTAGGCTAGATGGGTTTCTAACATGCGGAATGTGTGCCGGCAGTCATTTTCTACATGAAGTTAAACAACTAAACTTCCTAGCCCCTGCCATTGTTTTATTTATTAGTAAAGGCATTAGCCACCGTTCTCAATGATGGGATTTCAATCTATATTCGTTGCCAGTTCATTCCCCACCACCCGCGGCCTACAATCGGTCACTCATGAGAATCCCAACATTCCCTAGGAGTAAAAAAATAAACATAGAATCTTGGAAGTGCGATCTGGTAAATGGATGGTATTAATGTATACGGCGCTAAATTTGGCTAGTTGGGTGTTAGTTATGATGTAACTATGCCTTTTAGTTAGCCCAGCCGCACCTCAACTTCATATTCTAAACACTAGTGGATTGTTCATATTGAGGATATTATTTGTCAACCAGCCTCATCCTTGGAGCTGCATGCCCTTCCTCTCCTCTCCCATTGTGGAGTAGCAAGATGAGATATATTCTTCTTCCTTAACCACGCTGCTTCTGGTAACCTCATGCCAAAGGGACGAGTCAAGAGCACGAGGGGAAATCTTTCTCCTGATCAAGGAGTATCAGAGTGAATTGTTGGTTTAGGAAGTTTGAGCAATTTACTATGCATCATGGGTTTGAGCCAGAGGACAGTTTTATATACCTCAGCAACTCTGTTGCAGGATGACTTCGAGGGATCAACAACCTCATTCAACAGCCAAACCACTCTACACCATAGGGCTCCATCGCAATTGATATTCATGAACATGCTACATACACAAAGCAGAATGGACATCAAATTTAATATGATCTCCAAGGATAGGCTGTCTACATGCGTGTCTCTAACCAATTGCTTTCCAGCGATAGACGGTCAGCTGCCGTCGCGAGACACAGGATGGTAATTAATGTTGCATCTCACAGGCCGTCCGTCCGACTGTAAAAGTCGATATGCAGCGTGTGAGGGGCTCGAGGATTTGCCACATATTTGCATATATCTGGACATATCTCTTCAGCCCTGGATTTCTCCATGTCCATATCCACTCTTCGAGAAGCAGTGCATGGAAACACACCATATGTCTCGATTAAACCATGCCCACTGCCAAAACGCAACGGTCCCTCAAGGCGATAGGGCCCAAGTCGCTTCCGTGCTACCTAAAAGCGACGTTCCCGTCAAGCATGCAATGGGCGCTGATGAGCGTGCCCTAATTTCTCTCGGATATAGACAAGAATTCAATCGCGAGTTTTCCCTCTGGACAACCTTCTGTGTTAGTTTTTCAGTTCTCGGGCTTTTACCATCATTTGCTAGTACGCTATGGTACGGTATGTTCGTCCTATTCCCGTTTCCTAGTTCACTGGTAGCTACGGGACGACGATTACATCCTAGATAGTTTAAAACCTATGTCTTGGTAATCTAAACTGGGATTAACTGCAGGTATGGGATATGCGGGTACAGCGGGAATGGTCTGGGGGTGGCCTATCGCAATGGCTTTTATCCAATGCGTTGCCATGAGTATGGCTGAACTCTGTTCTGCCATGCCCACGAGGTATTTCGACCACCAGGTTTTCTGAGATTTCATTTGAATTTGATGTCGGATTAATCATTAGCTAACTTTAGACGATTACTCTAGTGGTGGCCTTTACTATGCGTCGGCAGTTCTAGCGCCGCCCAAGTACGGCCCTTTCGCTGCTTGGTTTACAGGCTGGTCCAACTGGATAGCCCAGGTCACGGCAGCTCCATCTGTGAACTATGGGGTAGCAGCCATGATTCTGGCTGCGGTCTCAATGAGCAAACCCGGTTACATTCCGACGGATTATCAAACATTCTTGCTCACGACCTCGATCATGATCCTTCATGCGGTTCTTAGTAGTATGCCAACGAAATGGATTGCCAACTTAAATTCTCACAGTTCGATTCTCAACATCATCGCGCTTACCACAGTCCTCATTGCTATTCCCGTGGGCACGACTAACTCTCCCAAGTTTACGCCATCCTCAGTGGTCTGGGGGGCAATATACGAAGGTACCTCATTTCCAAAAGGTCTCTCGGTCCTAATGTCCTTCGTGAGCGTGATCTGGGCGATGTCAGGATACGATGCCCCATTCCACCTCAGCGAGGAATGCTCGAATGCCAACCTCGCATGTCCCCGCGCCATAGTGATCACTTCCGGTGTTGGAGGGCTTATGGGCTGGTTCCTTCAGCTTGTCGTCGCCTACACAGTGACAGATATCACAGCAGTGCTAAAATCAAACCTTGGCCAGCCGTGGGCATCATATTTGTTCCAAGTCATGTCGGATAAACTGGCCGTCTCTATTCTCGTCCTGACAATTATCTGCGGCTTCTCAATGGGCCAGGGATGCATGATCACAGCGTCCCGCGTCACATATGCATATGCTCGTGATGACTGCTTTCCCTTGTCTAAAATCTGGAAGAAAGTAAACCCTTATACGCACACACCAGTCAATGCCGTTTGGTTTAACTGTGCCATTGGGATGCTATCTTGCCTGCTCATACTGGCAGGAAAAATTGCGACTGGCGCTCTATTTTCTATTGGCGCCATCGCTTCATTCACTGCTTTCGCGATCCCCATCGCCATTCGAATTCTAGTTGTGGGGGACCGCTTTCGACCGGGGCCATGGAATCTGGGGAAATATAGCACTCTAATAGGTGCTACGGGGGTCCTTTTTGTTGTGTTGATGGTTCCGATCCTGTGTCTTCCGACAACGACTGGTTCGGAACTCAGGTGAGAGTGTCTACCCCAGGAGCCCGCTGATTTAGTTGTCCTTTTTCCATGCACACTGACCCATCTCGCTCTCATGAACCAGCCCCAAGGACATGAACTGGACCTGTATCGCATACGGCGGCCCAATGCTTCTAGTAACCATCTGGTGGTTTGTTGATGCGCATAGGTGGTTCAAAGGCCCCAAGGTTAACATTGAGCATATCCTGCAGAGTCACGAGGAGGAACCATCCGATGCTGAAGGTATTATAGCTTACAAAGGGAGTAGAGAAATTAAGAACTCCTCCGCTGAAACGAAGGATGTTGGTTGTTGTTGAGATAAGCAAAAATATATTCTCATTTTGCCCTTCCCCCACACTATTCATTGTAAGTCATATGGTTGTTTTCGTGTCGTGTGTCTATGGAAAGGGGGATGAAAGCATATGAAATGGATATATAGAGACTTTGGGGCGGATTTGGGATTATTGGATTTCTGGGGGTTTCTTGTTTCCTTCCGCTTGCCCAGTGTGCTTCGCGTATCGGAGTACGCATGATCGTTGGAACCGATTATCAGCCTACATGGAGGGTATTGAATGCCCATGCTTTATTTGAATGGTGGGTGTGAGAGGGCAGCAGCTCCTATATCCTATATTTTGGGTCCATTGTCTTCCTCTCAAGGAAGAATCGTTTAGCCACTCCTTCTATTTTACACCCTTCAAAAAGTAAAAGCTAATGCCAGATTGTAAAGGGAGGAGTAAAATAACTTCTGACATTGCATTTCCATTGCTCTGGTATACAAAAATTGAAATACAAGCCGATAGATAATTGTTACTCGAATTCTGATGCAGAGGACATATGCCAGGTTACACACATTTACATGCATTGTAACCATTTATTTATTTTCGTCGTCCATACTCTCTGTATTTCCTTTTCCTTGTGTTGTCTTCTTCTGCCGTGACAATGACCCACTCTTGTGCTTTCTGACTTTATTTAATTTCCCTCTTTCCAATAAAACGGTTGAAAAGCTAGAGCCTCCTTCTGCCATGCTGTGACTGAAATTCCGATTCAACACTTACTTTTACACCACTGAAGATATCTTTAAAAAAAAGGAAGAAACAAAAAAGGTAACAAAATGTAGGGAAACGAAAAAAATATATAAATATAAAAACAAAGATAAATAAACGATAAAAAGATGTAGGGCGCAATTGGAGAGAATCCAAGGCCATGTTCGGTAAGGAAAAATATAATATTAATATAGCAACCTAAAGGAGAAAAACAACCAGACAAAAAATAGAATCAGTCCTACATGAAGATGAGAAGTTATTGCCGGAAATGAGAAAACATGAAGAAAAATAAAGAAGTTCATGAAATTTCAATAAAATGGGGGAGAAAATATAGTAAAACAAGAGCAAAACAAGGAAGAAAAGTAAGAGCTAGCGAAAGCTAGTCGACCTTCCCTGACCCATTTCCACCACCGAGTAACCCTTCCTTTCCATCAAGGTGGAAGAATCCAGCCCCTGAGCTACCAGTGACTGCACCAAGTAGACCTGCAGGACCTCGATTTCTTCTATGTCTACCCTTCATGAAGAGGTAGGCAAATATCAGAGCAACGAAGAACAGGGCAATGGAAAGGACAGGGTGCTTGTGGAAAAAAGAGCGGGTGCGAAAGTACATGCTTTCGAAAATGCCGACGGTGGATTTCGCCTTGAGTCTCGAGGAGGGCGAGATGACCTGACTGATGGTTTCGAGGATGGAGGTCCGGCTTGGCATTATGTAGGCACCGCTAGGGGAGGTATCCCAGTATCGACGGTTCTGTACCGTTTGAAAGAAAAGGAGTCAGTTCTGGGAGGTTTAACGGACACTTCGAGATTTGATACGGGAGTATTGCATATGAATTTTCAATGATGGAAGAGGGGAAATGGAGAGTAAAAACTTACGTCTTCGTCAATGATGATAACACGTTCACCGTTTTTCACGTCAATTCCGTACGTTGTCCGAATCCATCGATCCCAGAAGATACCGTCCACCCATGCGAAAACGACCTGCTTTTTGTCGCTCTCGCGGATGGTAATTTGTCTATTTTTTGCCGCACGGAGTGCCCGTTGGTCATTCCTGTCTTCTGCTTCTTCGATACGTAGTTCTTTCGCGTCCCGAAGTTCCTGCCTCTCAAGCTGGAACAATTTTGTTTGTTTATCCATCCACTCAAGTGCTGCATTTTTCAGCTCCTTCTTGTCCTGGATGAATTCGTCTGAGCGCAGACGGCTGAGAATACCAAGCACTACGTATTTGCCAACGAGAATCTCGCGAGCATTAGCAGCGGTGAGCTCTGGAACTATGGGTAACCAAACACTTTCCATCCAAGAGAGCACCTGTCGGAAATCTCGCATATCTTTAGGGGCAAGTGCGCTGTAATAACTGGCCTTTCCGTCCCTCGAGACGAGAAGGCGAGGCCATGTGGAAATTTTGAATCTCTGAGCAAGAGCATCGCTGTCAGTCTTGACTAGCTTTGCACGCCCAACCAAGCTCAGAGTCAAGCGGTCCAGAGCCGCAAAGTCCTCTGATGTAGTTGCCTTGTCGAAGAAGTATAAGAAAATAACCTCCTCAGTTTCTTCCATTTTCTTGAAAGCGGCAGCGTCAACGTATTGAACACCATTGCCAACAACATCCACGGCTTTCCTAGCATAGCTGATCAGGTCGCCCAAACCCCTGAGTCCGTTGTATTCAACACGCTCCCCACCTCTGAAAAAATAGATAGTAGGGAAAGATTCTACGCGAGCATCTTTGCACAAGCGTCGTTCTGTCTCACAATTAACTTCACCAACATTTAGGACGCCTTTCATGTCTTTGGCCATCTGTTGCCACGACGCAGCCATGGCCTGACAATGACTACACCAAGGTGCATAGAACTTGATAAACCATGGAACTTGAGTGTTTGTGACGAGTTTCTGAAAACTTTCAGCTGTGAGCGGTATCGATGTGCCTTGAGGATTGGGCAGGGTTCCATTGGGTCTTTTTGGTTTCATATGAAAGGCCTTCTCCTGCGTTGGTTCGGTCTTTGTTTCCGGTTTATCTTCTGGTTTAGCTTGTGGTTTGGTTTCTGGTTTACCTACTTCCTCAGCAGTGGCTATGGTGCCAACCTTAGTGTCGCCAGGCTTCGGTAGCTGTAGGCCATTGAGAGGTCTTGAGCCAGGCTTAATTTTTTCAAGTTTCGCTTCGATAAACTTGCTCAGCCCTGCAATCGACTTTTTGCCTGTAAATGTCTCTACCTGTTCCCCCTTGTAGTAGAGTGTGAACATAGGGAACGCATTGATTCCGAGGCTCTGGCACTTATCCGCGTTGGCAATGCAGTCCATAGCTGCGAAATTGAAATCGTAGAAACGTTGAAAGGAGTTAAGGGACGAAGCGGTGTCTTGCGTTTGTTTAGATGTCGACGTTGAGAGGGGGTTTGAGGTCTATTTGCAATCAGTAATCCTATTCTTTGGGAGACTAACGTTGTATAATACTAACATAGTAGAATTCATATAATGTTTGCCATGTTGGTGCGACAGATATACAATACCTACAATAAGGAGAAAAATGCTTCACAAACCTACAGCCGTGTCAGACGCTGATATTTGTATATATATCCAAGAGAGCAATAACGAAAATTGAAATAACACAAAAAAGGCCCAAAACGTACCAGTAACCTTCCTTAATAGTTTCATCAAAATTAGATTCCGTGAGTTGCTTCATTGGCGGCACTTCGATTCCGTTAAAAACCGTAGGGCTTTCATCTAGGGCAATCGGTTTCTCTGCCCTGGAGAGCACTCGTGACTCTGGTATCGGCCCAGATTTCCCCGCCGAAGTAGAGATAACAGGTTTTAGCAGCAAGGAAAATAATGACCACGTAAGGAGTGAGGCCTTCATTTTAGGCGGCTGAAGGCCAAATGGGCCCCAGTACCAGAGCTTAATCTATCCCCAGATCACTGTCGAAACTGGCGAATATTTAGGTCTTGTTCAAAAGAGAGTTATTGCTGTCAATAGGTAGTTGTTTTATTAACGGAAAGAGTTGAAGGATGTAAGATTGGGGCTGGAATATGGCTGAGATGGGTGGTCTGGCTTCGTCCAAGATGGTCGGGGGGGCGGCCATGTACTTGGCGACGCGACAATAACCGACCGAGCAGCTAGAGTCGTGACACAGGCTCGCGATGGGTACAGTTGCTGAGTTGAGGTGCAGCGGACGAAGCCTTGCCTGGGATTGTTCGTTCGTCGTCGTCCAATAAGTATTTCCCCTTAAGACGTTTGAAGTTGTTTGAGCCGCATATTACATGGTTTCTTTTTTCGGAAGCACCCCGGAAGCGGAACAACAAATCCTCCAGACTCCGTTATTGTCACTTTGGGGCGCAGAAGCTGGAGACCGACACCATCATTCACAAGACGAACTGCTGGGCACGCTGTTTTCAACAGCAATTGGGCAGCTTTTCTCTTTTCGTTGGCATTGCCCTCTTATACACTCCAATCATGAGGTCCACTCTACGGTTATTGGCCAACGTCAAGTCTGCCAGATACCTCCAACCTCATGCACCCACTGGTCTCACCGGCCTCACAACCCACCCAAGACCACGACAAGCCCTCCTCATTCTATATACTACCACCTTGAACAAACTCCAGAATATCCCTGAGTCATCGGTTTACCGCCAAGCCACAGAAGCCCTCACGAAGCACAGGTTGAAGATCATCGAATCCACCAAACCCCCAGGCTACGATAAATGGCAGCAGGAAGTACAACAGAAAGTGGCAGCAAACCCGGACCTGGTCAAAGTCATCTCTACACCAAGTGGCGATCTGGCGGGGGTATACTCTCTATTAGGTGGTCGGGTGTCAAACCTTGAAAAGCGACATTATGCCGAGAACATGGAGAATGCGTTGCGCCAAATAGCGGAGGAAAAAGAGCAGTTCGAGAAGTTGCCTGAGGACCTGAAGCCTGCTGTGGCACAGTGGTCGAGAGCAAAAGAGGAAAGCGAACGACTTCAACGTGAAGAGGAGCCTGTCGCGACAAAATCTAGGATTGATTTGTATGAAGAACCGGCTTTGGAAGCGACACAGTATGATTTATCCAGTAAACTTTTCATTATTTCGTCTCTTTTTATTTTAGATCTCCTGTTCTGATGTCGAGTTTACAGGATCTCCGAAATCGAACACCAGATCGGAGCGGGCCTGATAGAGGAAGTTATTGAAGTTGCCGAGGGAGAGTTAAAACTCGTGGATGACATGATCAAATTCAAAGTGTAAGCCCGCTCCTCCAGGAACCGAAATACACCGGGAAATATTCCTTCGCTGATTCTCAATTTGTTATAGATGGGAAGAGCTGGTAGAAAAGCCGAAGCCCGGCCAATGGACATATTTTGGCAGGGACAGAGGCAGTGCCGCGAACTAGAGCCCGGGCCGATTGGCATGTTGGACATTTCCATTTATCGATCTAGTCCTTAATAAGGTGTTTAGAGAACTTTTAATCTCTTTGTTCCTAATGAAATTCACGTTGATTCTTGTAAATACTAGTATATCAACACTCCATAAACTTAATTTTTTCCACCTTCGCACTACTCAAAACATCCAAATCCGATTCATCGTTTTGTTTTGTGGGAAAGCATATGGCGGGAAATACCTGTGTTTCCCACAATTGTGCGATATCTTATTACAAACTAATGCAAATCGTCAATAACTATATAGTATATGCCAGATTTGCCCTAGATATTTCCTTTTTATTGATCATTGTAACAACTTGAATCCAAAATCCGATGTTGTGTGGCGCTAACCATCTTGGGATAGCTGGTGGGACCAGTGACAATTGATTGATACGGACAGTTTGCAACTCACCAGACTAAACACATCCGATTCAACCACCATTACCCGCTCTGTTGTCCTACGGACACATTGAACTAGCAGCATACTGTTCGGTTAGCCCCAGCGATTGAGGATATACCCTGATCGCCGGGTTCCTCCTTGTTACAAGGCCGCTCGTGGCCCGCACACTTATCTATCACCACACACACCCTCGCGAAAGTTGCCCACAATGCGGTTGGATGTGAAGGTGCGTGGAACGCTGGTCTTTTCGAGTTCCTGCCTATTATCTGGCTTGCGAGGGGATTGTTTTTCATTTTATGACTTGGAACTGACTTGATCTTCTGTACCAGCGACAACTATTCGCCCGATCGGAGAGAGTCAAGGGCATTGACTTTCACCCGACTGAGCCATGGGTAAGTTTGCGACACTTCCTACGCATGCCAGTGCACGTTTCTCTAACTTATTTTTCATTAGATCTTAACTACATTGTATAGCGGTACGCTATTGTTTCCTGGGCGGGCAGTAGAAGGCCTTCATTACTGATGCGCTGGGTGAACAAACAGGTCATGTTTATATATGGTCTTATGAAACCCAGGTAAGCACGTTTTCCACGTAAAAATCTGTTTCCAGTGATTCTAACCTCCTGTGTAGTCGATTATCAAGACATTTGAGCTTACTGATGTCCCTGTCCGAGCCGGCCGATTCATTGCCCGAAAAAATTGGATTGTCTGCGGTTCCGATGACTTTCAACTCCGCGTCTACAACTATAACACCTCCGAGAAGATCACATCTTTTGAAGCGCATCCAGATTACATCCGGTCTATCGTTGTCCACCCGTCGCAGCCGTTCGTCCTCACAGCTTCCGACGACATGACAATTAAGCTGTGGGATTGGGACAAGGCCTGGAAATGTGTACAGATTTTTGAAGGACACAACCATTATGTCATGGGTCTGGCCATCAACCCCAAAGACACAAATACATTTGCTTCCGCCTGTCTTGACCGGACAGTTAAAATATGGAGCCTAGGCTCGCCGCATGCGAATTTCACACTTGAAGCTCATGAGGCGAAGGGTGTTAACCACGTTGATTATTACCCACAGGCGGACAAACCGTATCTATTGACGACTTCCGACGATAAGACTGTAAAAGTTTGGGATTACACAACAAAGGCACTCATAGCTACTTTAGAAGGTCATACTAGCAATGTTTCCTTCGCCTGCTACCACCCAGAGTTGCCTGTGATCATCTCCGGCTCTGAAGATGGAACCATCAAAATTTGGCATGCCAACACATATCGACTAGAGCAATCTCTAAGCTATGGTCTGGAGCGTGCATGGTGTGTCAGCTACCAGCGTGGCAAACAAGGCATTGCCATGGGTTTTGACGATGGAGCTGTTGTCGTCAAAATGGGCCGTGAGGAACCCGCAGTTTCTATGGACGGGTCTGGAAAGCTGGTTTGGGCGAGACACAACGAAGTTGTGTCGACGGTAATCAAGGGTGGTGACTCAACTCTTAAGGATGGTGCTCCCCTTTCACTTCCGACGAAGGAGCTTGGTTCCTGCGAGATATACCCACAAACACTTACTCACTCTTCGAACGGACGATTCGTCTCGGTCTGCGGAGATGGTGAATATATTATCTACACGGCACTTGCGTGGAGGAATAAAGCCTTTGGACAGGCCTTAGACTTCTCATGGGGCTCAAAGGATAACAGTAACGATTATGCGATTCGGGAGTCGAGTACAAGCGTCAAGATCTTCCGCAACTTCAAAGAGAAGAGTGGAGGGCTCGATGTGGGATTCCAAGCTGAAGGTCTAACTGGTGGTGTTCTTCTAGGAGTCAAGGGCCAAGGCGGTATCGGTATGTTTGACTGGGACACTGGTTTACTCGTGAGGAGAATAGAAGTCGATCCTCGAGCTGTAAGTTTCTTGAACCTCTTAAGTTAAGATTTCTTGATGACACGATCATCTAACATTATCTATCTCCAGGTATACTGGTCTGAATCGGGAGAACTAGTTACTCTTGCTTGCGATGATACGTTCTACGTCCTCAGATTCTCCCGCGAGAATTACATCGCAGGCCTCAACAACGGCGAAGTAGACGAGGATGGGGTCGAAGCTGCTTTTGAAGTAGTCACAGACGTCAACGAATCCGTCAGGACAGGCGAATGGGTTGGCGACTGCTTCATCTACACCAACTCTACCAACCGCCTAAACTATCTCGTCGGTGACCAAACCTATACAATCTCCCACTTCGATCAACCAATGTATCTCCTCGGCTACCTGCCACGGGACGGACGCATCTACCTGGCCGACAAAGACGTCAACGTAGTCTCCTTCTCCCTCTCCCTCTCTGTCGTCGAATACCAAACTCTCGTCCTTCGCGGCGACATGGACTCCGCCGCAGATCTCCTCCAAGACATACCCGCTGACCAAATGAACAAAATCGCCCGCTTCCTTGAAGGACAGGGTAACAAAGAACTAGCCCTCAAGGTCGCCACAGACCAGGAACACCGTTTTGAGCTCGCGCTATCACTCAATATGCTCGACATCGCTCTCGAAATCGCCCGCACCGCTGACGTCGAGCACAAATGGAAAATCGTCGGTGACGCAGCCATGGCTGCTTGGGATCTCTCCCTTGCTCAAGAATGCTTCTCTAACTCCAAGGACCTGGGCTCATTGCTGCTCCTGCACACTGCCAGCTGCAACACGGACGGTCTTCGTCGGCTATCTGAGCAAGCCAGCGAAGCAGGCTCGCATAATGTCGCCTTCTCCGCGCTCTGGCAACTAGGCGATGTCGATGCGTGCATCGATCTTCTGGTCCGGACGAACCGGGTAGCGGAAGCTGTTCTATTTGCGCAAACGTATAAGCCCAGTCGAGCAGCTAAGCTCGCGGGTAAATGGAAAGAAAGTTTAGAGAAAGGGGGTAAGACGAAGGTGGCGAGGATTATTGGGATTCCTCCCGGGGCTGGGATTGAAGGAGTTGAAACCGATGATGAGTTGTTTCCGGAATGGGATGAATTTTTGAGATTAGAGACGGAGGGTGGTGTTAAGTCTGCGGATTTGATTGATATTAATGGTGATGATGGTGAGGCGGGAGCGGAGGTCAATGGCGTTTCGGAATAGAAAGAGTAACGAACAAATTGTTGCAGCTCCATTGGTGGGGCCAATGAGATGGAAACGTCTTTTACTTCTCTTTTTATTTCTCCCCTTTTCGTTTTCTAATTTTTTATTAGCTCAGTCTCGCCCTGTCTCGTTTTTATTTTACTATTTCCAGTTTTGCTACTCTTTGATTCATTCTGTCTATCACAGCTAAGACGAACGATAAGTAAAATTAAAAAGAGGTAACTTATATATTTACATTTTCATTTTCGTCATGCTCATTCTCATCCTTTGTATAAATTCTATGTTTCCCTGCTCTTTTCTTGACTTTCTATTATTTTTAAATCGTCAAGGGTCCATCCAGAAAACTTAGGTAGCATCTTGAAAATCATATCTTTCTCCTCACACCCTCCATTCTTCATCCCTGCCAACCCCTTTGATGCATTATGCATTTCAACCCTCCCATCATCCACCAGCCAAGTTCACTGTAGAAGCAAAGGCACAACCAGAAAATCATTCTCAGTTAGACTTTACCAATGTGAGATAATCTCCACGTAGAGTTTAAAATTGAGTGACACGGAACGGGATATCACTGGTACCTATCTACCCATTCTTCTATTTTTGATCTATTGTAAGCCCTGTTACTGTAAATGCATGCAAACTGTTTCAATGGATGTTGGATTTAATCAAGGAGTAAAGTCCTCACAAACTAGTCGGAAGAATCGCTTTCACAGCTTTACTAGGACGAAGTACGGCAGTCTGTGTCTTCATATGTGCAGGTTGAATTTGATGCCTGAATCTTTCTTATTTAAAACCTTTTCAATAATGACAAAGAAAAGCGTCGAAAGAAAAGGTGCATGGAGACAAGCCAGAACAGGCCAGGACAGGAGCACCAGCTAAATACAGCTGTAGAGTAAATGAGCAGACAGAAGAGAAAAAGAAGCAAGAAAATGATAGTGGAAACTAACCAGACAGAAACAGACAGAGGTAGAAAAAATCCCATCTGACTTTGTAAATATATCACAGAATATATTGGTTGTTCAGATAGTTTTGATTTCTGGTGGCTCAGCCGCGATGGTATATTTGCCAAACACGGTTGCAAAAAATGAAAATGAAAATGAAAATGGGCAGAGAATAACTAGGAATAGATCTCAAACAGATAAATGTGAACACAACTCGCTCAAGTGCCTTGTGTATTTGCAGAGATCAATCAAGGGAAACCGAAGGGAACAATATGCAGGGAGGTGTATGCCGCTTGTATACTGGGCAGCCGTGGGGAAATGATAGATATCAGGGTTGAAAAAAGGATCCAGAAATCTAGATTCGGACCTGGAACGAAATGAAAATGAAGGTTGAAAACTGGAATGGAAATTGAAGCAACAGAGAACTGGTGAGGTACTTTCAACGCAATGAGAGAGCAATGAACATAAAATGGGAAGTGGGTGAAAGTTTGACAAATGAATAGCGAAAAAAAAAAAAGAGAGAGAGGGGGGGGGAGGAGACAAATGGACGGGACCAGCAGAAAAGCAGGAAACGAGTGAAAACAATCCAGTCAAAGGAAAACCATAGGAGATTCGTTAAAGTTGTTTGAGCTTCCAGCGTCAAAGGAATTCTAGCGGAGCAGACGGGAGTTGGGGAAATGAAATCGAAGATCTCCTCTTCTTTCATCAGGCCAACATCGAAGCAGCTGAAAATATAAAAGTATCATTCAGGGATACTTCCGAAAGATGGGTCCTTTATGCTTCCTCCGGCGTCGCTAAGGCCAGCAACTGGTCGAGTGTAGGACCAGCCTTCGAACTGTCGTTGCATGGTTTGAGAAAGAACAGACCCCTCCACACGCGAGTCTACAGGAGCCTCGCGCGTGAATTCTTCAGAGAAATTTACGGTATCGTCGGCATCAACCTATGGTGTTCAATTAGAAATTATGTCAGATAAAATGAGATTTGAATATGTCAAGATACTCCAAAATGAAACATACCACATGAGGACGAAAGCTCGGCTCATATTTTCTCTGCAGGAGCTTGCGCCAATCAATGTTGGAAAAGAAGTGATGTGCTTTGATTTCAGCGGCACCATTTGCCCCAAGTCGGCGGTCTGGATCACGCTCAAGGAGCCTAGTAAGAAGATCTCTAGCCGCGCCAGGAACAATATCTTGGCTTGGGAAAGTAAGCGGTTCTTGGAGGATTTTGCGGTACATCTCATTCGTATTCTCATCGTAAAATGGTGGAAGTCCTGTCAACATTTCGTACAAGAGGACTCCGAGCGTCCACCAATCCACAGACTTTGTGTATCCCTCCCCAAGTAAAAGCTCGGGAGCGAGATATTCAGGAGTACCACAAAACGCTAGCAGGAAATCAGTACCAGTCTTAATTTAAATTATCTCGACTAGCAATCACTTACTATTCGTCCGGTCTTCATCTTTCATATCGCGCTTACACAATCCAAAATCGCACAGGGCAATATGGCCAGTGTAATCCAGCAGAATATTTTCTGGTTTAAGATCACGATAGATAACTTTAAAACCGTGGAGGCACTCTAGAGCACAGATCAATTCGGCTGTGTAAAAACGGGCCCTGTTGATATCGAAACGTTGTTCCTTTTGGAGATGATAGAACAGTTCACCGCCGTTGACAAAGGCCAAAACGAGATATAGCTTTTCTGGGGATTGGAACGAGAATTTGAGAGGGACGATGAAGGGGTTATTTATCTGAGAGAGCACTGATCTCTCAGCCAATGTATGCGCCACTTCGGACCGAGAAATGATATGGGCTTTGCGTAGAGTTTTCATCGCATAGATACGACCGGTATCGCGTTTCCTTGAATAATGATATTGTTAGACTACCGTTTAGCGTGAGAGTTGTGGAAATGAGGAGCTAGGCTCACCTGACTTGCATGACTCTTCCAAAACTTCCTCTGCCCACGACTTTCAGAAGTTCAAAGTCTTCAATTTTAAGGCTTCTCTGCTGGTTTTCAACAAACGACACACCAATTTTGATGGCACCGGTACCGAATTGCAAGTTTGTCCATTCCGTGCCTGCCTGTCCCATTTGACGCTCCTGTTCTGCGTGTGCTGCTGCAGCCTTTTCGCGGTCCTTCTTACTTGCCTTCGGATCCTCCACAAATGGATGAACTTCTTCGAATCTCGGGTTAATTCTGCAAGCACCCAAAAATACATCTTCATTTCTGCCAGCACCTGGCCTAGCGGCAGGGTTCCGAAGATAGAGTTGAATGTTGAGATCAGTGACACGAGAGACATCAAACTTGAAAGAGGTATTGTCACCAGCCCAAAGAGGGTTTTCTGGAGTCCCTGATACAGCATCGACGAAAACCTGCTGCTTGTCAAAATCCAAAAGAGCATACGGAAGGTATTTGGCGGAATATCGACCATGGATTGTAGGTGCAGCATTGATACCGCCACTCGTCGACTGAGGTCGGTTGGGTTGTGCATAAGAGCTAGTGACTGTCCCCTGAGTAGAATGGGATGAGGATGAGGTGGGTCTGATAGAAGTAGGTCCCGCGAAGCTATTGTTGCCTGAGATTGAATTTTGGAAATGGGAATTGAACACCTGTTGGTAGTGTGGTGAGAGCGAAAAGCCCTTCCCCTCGTGTAACGTAATAATGAGAATACCGGGCTTAGCTGGAGCAACAGGAGGAGAGACTAGAGCCTCTGAGGCAGCTAAATTGCAGAATTACCATATTAGCGACACATTGTGGTATATACAAATCGCAATGATATGAAAAGAAGGGCGCTCACCAATGCCATTCAGGCTTGGAGAAAGCGCGACAGGAGTTTGGGCGTTGTCTTCTGCAGGAGCAGCATCAGGTTTAATGGTGGAGGTCGAGGATGACCTCCCAAACGAGTTGGCTAGAGGTGCGAGATGCGTCTCCTTAAGCTCTTGCAGGGGAGAAGGTCAGTAACTCAGCAAATTCGAGAGGCAAATAATAATTCCAATGGGGAAAATGTCATGCATACTCTTGGTGAGTTTCCACGACATGATGATACACTTGGGAAGTTAAGACGGAATGAAGAATTGCAAGTGCTGGCAAAGCGGCAGGTTAGAAATTCGAAAAAAGCTTTCTAGAGCCTTTAATGAATATATAAGGGTGAAGTTGGGTGGGAAGAGAGGTCAAAGAGGGAGCCGTGATATTCTTGTTCTAAGTGTCTAAATGAGGTAATGAAACTCCGACAAGTGGGTCTAGGGAGAGACAGAATTCGGCAGCCGGACTAGGAAGGAGAGGAGAGTTAGGATGATAAAGCAGAGTCCTTCCCAGGTGTTTGGGATTACCCGTAAGATGGCTGCTGCTGTAGGTCGTGTGAAGCGGAAACAGAGAGAGTCGCCGTGGTGATGGCGCAGGTGGTGATGGTCCGAAATTGTTTCGCAGCCAGCAAGAACGCAGAGGGGATGAGGGTCGCCAAGCCTGCTCAGTCAGCAGCGGCTGATCAACGGGTTTCGAGCACAGGCTGAAACGCGTCGTGAGGCTTCCTGAGGCTTCCTCTGGAGCGTGGCTGAGTCCGACTTCTACGCAGCCCTTGAGCGTTGGGCGGTTCCCCAGCACGGTGGCAGCACTGGAAGGTGGACACCTTATTTAGAAGGCAGTCAGTTGAGTTGACTTAGTTAGCTATTATTAAGTCATTCCTCACCCTTCAATAACTATATTCAGCCACACTTGGAACGCGCTTGGACGGAAGGCACTAAACCTAAAAAGGTGACTTTTAATGTCACATGACTTTAGCGGCGGCTGGCGGCTGGCGGAAAATTATGTTTCCGATCCCAACAGCTGCCGTCTTATCAAACAGCGCGGCCCGTGGTGAACCCTGGAATGCTTCATCCTCTCTTCGAATATCTCACCTTCCCACTAGACAGTTTTCGGTTCAATTTCATGTCGCGTAGAGGCTATTTCCAGCCATCAGGCCAGTTACCGATCATTCCAGGACCCGACAAACTGAATGGCTTAACACATACCCACGCGCATCCTCGATAAGCAATAGAAATACAGTCGATACTTGTTGCCTCTTCCTAGCGGCCTACCAACTTATCGCTTCACCCACACTTTAGACGGACACTCAGGAAAAGGCAATTCCAAGTTGATTCACTCGATGGGCGTCATACGGAAGAAAACTGCAGCGCGCGGGACAGAAGGTGGAACAAAATACCATTGCGACGTCTGTTCTGTAGATGTCACCTCGACGGTATGTACGAAGTGCTTATGCTCCGCGTCACCCAAAACTGATATCGTGGGGGGAATGCAATTAGGTGCGCATTGCTTGCGCGCATAATGCCTGTCATGAATATGATATGTGCGTCCCATGCTTCTCCGCCGGCGAAAGCTCAAAGAATCACGATCCACGAACACACCCATACTACGTCATCGAACAAAACTCTGTTCCTATTTACCAACCCGACTGGGGCGCAGATGAGGAACTCTTGCTGTTAGAAGGTGCGGAAATCTACGGTCTAGGATCATGGGCAGACATAGCGGATCATATCGGCGGTTTCCGAACCAAGGAAGAAGTGCGCGACCATTACATCGAAACATACATCAATAGTTCCAAATTTCCTCTCCCCGAACGCGCTGATCCTGATGACAAGACCCTACAAGAGCAAATATCGAAAGAGGAGTTCCAGGCACGTAAAAAGCGACGAATCGAGGCCCGTAAAGAGGCAGCCCGGGCCGCCCCTCCCGCAACGCCGAAACAAAAACCCACAGCCTCTGTGCCAGCCTGCCATGAAGTGCAGGGGTATATGCCGGGCCGCCTCGAATTCGAAACGGAATTCGCAAATGAGGCTGAGGAAGCTGTACAGCACATGTCATTTGAACCAGGCGATGGGCTCAACGCGAACGGGGAGATGGACCCTGAGATGGAACTTAAAATGACCGTGAAAGACATCTATAACTCCCGGCTCACCGCCCGGACAGAACGCAAGAAAATAATATTCGAACACAATCTATTAGAATACCGCAAAAACACTGCCCAGGACAAGAAACGAACAAAGGAAGAACGCGAATTGCTCAACAAAGCTAAACCCTTCGCGCGAATGATGAACCATGAAGATTTCGAAGAGTTCACGAAGGGCCTCGAATACGAACATAATCTCCAGCTCGCAATAGCTCAGCTGCAAGAATGGCGAACGATGGGAATCGGTGATTTGAAAAGCGGAGAGAAGTACGAACAAGAAAAGCAGCAGAGGGCCCAACGCGCAATTCCACAAGGGGCTTTTGATAGAATGGCCGGCACAAGGCCCAAACCATCACAGATACCCGATGCGCCTTCGGCTGCCACCCAATTAACAATGCCGGAGCTACCTTTGCGCCTTCAACGCAGCGGAGCCCAACAAAAACAAGCAGCCCCCGTACCCGCCTCCGCAGCTCTCGAACCTGCACGAGCTCTACCCATGAATGATTTCGATAAGATGTTCGCTAGTACCGAGATGAACGGGACATCGACTCCAAAGCCACCTGCAAAGACGAAATACGTCATCCCCCCAATAAACGGACTTTCGCCGTGGAAATTGGAAAACGACATCGCGCCGGACCTGCACTTGTTGACGAGGGAGGAAGTGGAACTTTGTAATATTCTTCATCTACAACCTAAACCGTATCTTGTCATTAAGGAGCATATGATTAAAGAAGCGATGAAGCAAGGCGGGAGCTTGAAAAAGAAAGACGCCAGGACGCTGTGTAAGGTGAGATTCTCACTTGCCCCTCAACTTCCCCAGATTCCCTGCCCAGGGAACTACTCTCGATTCCTCCTGCTTTTTATTCTTCTTTTTCTTTTTTTGACTGCGGCGCCGCTCCGCTCGCAATAATCAACCATTTGTATTGACATGGCTTTATCTATAGATCGACGTCGCCAAATCTTCACGAATATACGACTTTATGGTACATAGCGGGTGGATAACGAAGGCATAATGAAATCGGAGGAACAAAACGGAGATTGAGGAAAAGAAGAAAATACACGAATGTCATCACCCGCAATATCACTAATATTACCACCCTTCTCACCTTCACCTTCACCGTCACCATCACCATCACCATCATTTCTCCCTCTCCTCCGTCTCCTTAGGCAAGCCCCCAACCGCCCATTCCTCAATTTCATCATTACATAAAAATATCTTCTTTTCCTCGACCTTCACTTCGATTTTGATAAATAGTCAAAAGATTTAATTGCCCACTCGAACAGCCATTGATTTTTCCACCTGCGAGATGCGTAATTACCCTGAGGTTTTCATTATTTATCTATCCATCGATCTATTCATTCCCTGGTTTAGGTTAGAGGAACAGCCTCAGGCTGACACTGAAATTTCGTGTATGTTGAGTCCTTCCTCGACTAGTAGTACAGTCGACTGAGTTAGGGCCCCCGAATCCTTTTTTTTTTTTTTCTTTTTTTGAGAACATGTAGAATCCATTGCAGGAAATGTTTACCATGTTTAAATCACGTAACCTACCTGTGAAATCTACTGGTTGGCTATTGGCGCCTACATACATAGCTCAAATTATTTCGACTGTAGAATCAATGAATCACTTGAGTAAGGTTATAAGTAATGTAATTAGAAAGAAAAAAGGCCCAAGGTTAATGGGATAATTCTTATAACTAACTAACTATCCGCCCAGATGCTTGAACTAGTTATTTAACTGAGCTGCACCCCCCGCTTTATCGGCATCAGCCCCTTGTGCTTCCCCAGGAACAACATTGTTAACTACCCCGGATCTTGGCGTGGGACGTGCATGTTAGTGTCAATGTCCTGCGTATGAAGAAAAGCAGCTGGAACAAGAACACGATGTAAATTGTAATATACATAATAATATTAACTAACTAACTATTCTCCTCACAGCTCAGCATCGCCTGTCACCTGCGTTTTTCTAAAAAAAAAAAAATTTGCAGTGGAGTGTTGGATATTAAGCGCTTCAACCGTACTGACACCCCAATACTGACAATCCCTGTCAAACGAATCTCAATCTCAATAGCTGGCCGGTGTAGATTGGAAAGGATGAACCAGTTGGGCAAGAAACGATAACCCAAAACACGCACAGATTTAAAAAGCGGTGATAATAGGAGAGGAACGCGCAATCAATCGCCCAGCCGCTCGGCCCATGTCCATAGGCTTTTTGGCTTTTGTTTTCTGACCATTCGCGCTCTTTGGATATCTGTGGAAACGGGAACTGATAGTATGGGTTGCAACGCCTTTGTTTCAAAAAAAGAAATAAAAAGGGTGGGTGTCGGAGTTGGGAGTGGAGTTTTGTTAAGGCTGCAGATGAAACAGAAGGGAAAAAAAGAAAATTATCAATCCTTGCTAGTTTTAAATAACTAAGGAACTCATCTCATGAAAAACTCCTTTTTCCTTTTTGCCCTCCGCTCATCCCGAGGAGAAAAATATGAAAATGAAAAATGAACTCAAGGAAAAACCGAACTAACTAGCCGCAAGTATTTCAGTGCGTACAGATAAGTTGAAATATCTCCGCCTGCCACGCCCATACCCATCACACACACCCACACACACCATATGCTAAATTCAAAATGAATAAAAAAAATTGTTAAAAAAGAAAGAACAAAAAATATAAAAGGGAAGGGGAAAAGGGCAATTCACAAAGCCAAGCCAGCCCTCCTCTTCCATTTCTTCTCATGCCCGAAATGATGCGATGACGACAACGCCTTTTTCAACTTTCCCTTCCCACGACCACCACCCGTAGAACTCGACCCGGACCCCCACCCACGTCCAAACCCAAGCCCGAACCCTAGCCCCAGCTTCCCAGAATTCAACTTCTTGTCCATGTCCTCCTTGAACTTCTTCCAGCTGCGCTCGCGCTCCTCCCAATCCGCCATCTGCGCTAACATGAAATCCCACGTCTTCGATTCCAGGGCGCAGAGCGCGTCGTCGTCTAAGAGATGTCTTGTTGGCATTGTGGTGGTGGTGGTGGTGGTGGTGGTGGTGGTGGTGGCGGATGGAGTACTTGTGGACTGTTGGCGTTGCGTGCCGCTTCCGGTCGTAATTTGGCTTTCGAGGTATTGCTGCGGTGGCTGTGGCTGTGATTGTGGTTGTGATTGTGGTTGAGAGCATGTGTCAGGTTCCGGCTGTACAGCGACCACCTCAGACGGACTGGGGGCAGTTGACGGTCTACTATTCTGTTGTTGGCTGTCTGGAGAGGAATTAGCTACGTCTGCGAGGGCGATGAGGGAGCTGTATTGGTGGGTTCGTCCCATCTGGGGTCCCTGTCGGTAGGGCCGACCAGTGAGCGGGGAGACAGTTTGCGCCTCAAGGTTATGGTTTTCTTGCTGCTGGCGAGTGATATAGAGGCGCCGCGAACGGAACATTGCTGCTGCTGCTTCACCGACTAGATCAGGGTCCTCATGAGGAGAGATGGGCAGTTGATCAGCAAGGTCAGCTTGGCTGGCAACCGTTCCTGCGACTTCACTGGAAGTCGTCTGGAGGGGCGAGTGCGAACGAGGATTCACAACGCTTTCCTCGTGCAAACTAGCCAAAATGCTAGGGGATGAATTCCGATGACCATAGCCCGCCATGTCCGCCCTTAGAGGAGGTGAAGAGAGCGCGGAAGAAGAGGCTGCGTCGGGTTCGCTCACACCATTCATAGTCTCAGATATCGCCTGGAATAAAGGCGGGAATATACATCTCGCTAAATTGTCATACTGAGAAGCCGCTGACGCCCTCCGCTTTGCCACATTGTGGTAGTGGCGTGCCTGCAGCCCGCCCGCAACAGGAACCCAGTCTGAAACATTATAAAGAGAATGCAAATGGGAATTGGTCAGGTGGCTCTGCTGACGGCGGAGACCTCCAACAGACGAACTTGCTGTTACGCCCCCGAATCCCGGAGCATGATGCTGGGAGGAAAGGAGGCCGGACGATTGGGTTGGGGTATTAGAGGACGCTTGGTTTCTTCCCGCAACGTTGGTATTGGGTACTAGTAATGTGCCAGATTCACTCTCTCTGTTGTATGTTGGATGATGTCCAGAATGATATGAAGGAGCCGCAGAGACGTAGGACGGGGCGTTAGAACGGATGGAGGAGGTTTCGGGGTCGAAAGAGACGGTTTGGCGAGGAGTATATGGGGGCAGCGGTTCCGGATATGGGTGCAGCAAAGATCGAGCGGGACGAAAAGCCATGACGTTGAGCGCCAGCTAGTCCCTCCTGCAGATTTCCGCAAGCTGGTTGGCGAGATAGAATTGTATACGAATATTGTAGCAATTGCGTTGTGTGTTCGTTCACTGTTGAGATGATGAGACAGGAAACAGGAAACAGGAGAGGTTTAAGATGCTCTCAAGGCTTTTCCTCGGGAACAACACCGGTCGCGTGTGGAGTGTGGAGCAACTAGACAGTGATGATTCCTACCCCGCAGGCACAACGATGGCTGATATCAATGATGTGTCTAGCCCTTGCGGTGATGGAAGGGACCAGGGTGGCAAGTAGACTTAGGCGCATGCAGGCCCCGGCACACGTTTTTCCTGCCGTTTAACCGTCACAGTGACGCACAGCCTGCGGGGAAGCGACTGGTACAGGCAGAATAGAGGTGAGATGGGGGAAGGGGACACAGTTGGCCCAGAAAGGGATGCGTATATATATATATTTATACCTAATTAAAATATATATCTATATATATCTATTAGTATCTATCTATATGCGTGTGTGCGTGTGCGCGTGTGTGTGGATTCTATATATACTACACTTCGCGGCGGCGGCGGGATCCAAGCAAGGACCCTTAGATGACTCATCCACGATTCACATGTATCTTGTTTACGGCGCCGGTGCGAGCATCCTTCCTATCATTCACCGGATCATCACACCAGAGTTGGAGTTTAGAGATCCGATACGCCAGTCCATCCCCAAGGATCTTGAGAACCCCCAAGACCCAAAAACCATGCGTTCTCTGTATCTGCCCTCGATTTTTAGCCAATCAGCCGTTGCAGGATGAGGTCTTGAACCCATGTGGGTGGTGATCTCCTCTCTTTGCCTTCTGTTCCTCAGGCACTTCAGATTTAATGACGTTGATGTTGTCAGGGGGAATAAAAGGAAACGGCCTCAGTCTACAACCGGTTCTCCGGCAAACTCTGGGCAATCTTCATCTCGACACTCTGTAAACCTACGGCAAAGGTTGGCTGCTTCAATAGGAGCAAAGGTGTTGGTTCATCTAGACAGCCTGGTGGTGGCCATGGAAGTCGGAATCAGCTAAGCAGTGTGTAACAACTCTCATCTATTCCTGCCAACAATAAGTTCTGGAGAACACTACAGATATTTTGGTCTGATGATCGCATTCAACAATGGAAGCCAGCCATTTTTACGGAGAATAAGACTGAGGGTTGCCATAACCTCACCACATTTGCTCCTGAAGTTCATTTATGTTAGGAGAGAGCACTATCCGCCCCAAAGCGTCTTGATGTCGCTGAGGATACAAAAGCCAATGCAAGTTCAGTTTTCTGGCTCCGCAAGTACCCCAGAAGGTCATATCAGTCAATGCCTACCCGACCAGAATTACCTATGACCCTCGATGGAGACTTCGGAAATGTGAAGCTTTCAACTGTGAAACTGAGGAAAACTTTTATTCAGGTACCATCTTAACACTGCGGGCGCAGATGACCCGGAGACCAAACCTCTTCTCGGCACTGCATTGCTTGAGATTGCAGTGGATTCCGCATCGACTCACTGCTCTCAGTGGCGCTGCAGATATTTTCTCCCCTGGATTTTGATGAGCATATCGACAACTCTATAGTGTTCTTCGATCTTGACGTGTCGGATGAAAATCGTCTCTAGGGGAAGAAGAAGATTGATTGAATATACTACAGTGATGATTCAGATGGATTTCTAGATGTTGGCATATCAGCCGAAGAGGATATCTTCGTCACAAAAACTCTCCGATGAATGCTAATTTCAACTCAACTACGCCGCGTATATCTACAGAGACTGCATTTTAGTATGTATTAATATTCTTTTTTTTCGTGTCTTTTCGGTTTCTTTTCGTTTCGTTATTTATGAATAGGCCCCAGCCTGCTTTCTTTTGCTTTTATTTACCTCCCACTTTCCATAGCAAACCGGGAAGCGGGAAGCGGGAAGGTTGGGGGGGGAGGGGGAGGGGGAGGCGCAATCTTGCTTTCCATATACCTCGTTTCCTTTCCTTTTTGTATGAATAAGGTTTCAATATGTATTCTTATGATCGATGTTAAAAGGAACTACGGAAAGGGGAAAAAGCGGAAGTGAAGAAAAGAGAAGGAATTATTGATGAAACGAAAAAGGGGTAGGGATTAGAAGTCACGTTTTCATTCTTATTACTGTAGCTATTTTAATGAATGGATCACTAGCACCCTGCCTTAGCTGACAAAAAAGGGAGAGGGAGAATAACTATTTTGCTACCTGTGCTCCTAGGAATTCCTTGCCCCGTCCCGCCCTATCATTGTTTCCGAGAGAAAGGACACCCCTTCCCTTCCCTAACAAATAGTACTTTTGCAGCTTGGTACCCAGTGCTCTGTTTCCATATTTTCTTTCCCTCAGCGGTTGTCCTTCACACGCAATGGGGGGGCCCCCCGCGGAAAGATACATTGTAGTTTTGAAGAAAAGAAAAGAAAAGAAAAGAAAAGAAAAGAAAAAAAGTAAAAGAAAGAAAGGTTCCGATGAACGAAATCTAGTCTATTTCGCTTCCTTCTGGACCTTGTCGACCTTCTCCAGCACGCGAGAATACAGAGGATGCTCCTTCTCAAGCCCCGTAAGTTTCGTAGTGGCGTCCGCGGCAGAATTTTCCTTCAAGATCTTGAAAAGCTCAAAGCTCTCCTCGTCATCGGGCACATTCTGGAACTTCAGCGCTTGCTCAACGGCGTCCATCAGCGCGGTGACCGTGTGGCCCCGCTCAGCGAGCTGTGAGGCGGGCCCGATGAAGCGTTCCTTGCGAGATAGTTTGCGGAGCGGCGCGCGGCCGACGCGCTGCACGACGTCTTCGAGATGAGGGTTGGAGATGCGGGTGATGATCGAGCTGACGTACCTCGCCTGTTCTTCGGGCGAGATGCCGTGTTTCTCCACGATCAGTCTTGAGGTTTCTGCCAGTGCCGCATTGACCTCTTTGCGGATCCTGTCATCGCGCAGGGCGTCATGGATTGTCTTCTTCCCGGCTGAATAGCCGTAGTAGGCCGCGGTTGCGTGGCCGGTGTTGACGGTGAATAGCTTGCGCTCGATGTAGGGTTCCAATTTATCAACCCAGTGGATAGCCTTGATGTCTGGGTGTCCGACGTCACCGAAGGGTGTTTTCTCCACGACCCATTCGTAGAATTTCTCGATCTTGACGTTGAGGCCAGACCCAGGGTCCTGGGTGGGCACGATGCGGTCGATGGCGGAGTTAGCGAATTGGGCACGGCTGTACAGCGACGCAAGACGGGCTTCATCCGTGTTCTCCTTGATGAAGCCATGGAGAGTGTCTGTGGCTCCAATAGCGTTTTCGCAGGCAATGACAGCTAGTGGTTTGGACAGTGTTCTGGTGTCGATACCCTTGGCGATCGGTGGGGCGATGAACTTGAGGATGTTAGGGCCAACAGCGCAGGTGACGACATCGGCCGTAGATATCTCCTTGATGACGTCGTCGAGGTTGTGTTTGGAGTTTATGGCGCGGTAGTTGGTGATAACCTTCTGCTGCTCACCTTCCTCGCTGATCTCAGTGACGGTGTAGGATGAGTTCTTGTTCAGGGCATCAATAACATTATCCATCACATCCACGAAGACAACCTCATAGCCAGACTCGTGGAGGAACTCGCCCACGAAGCCACGGCCGATATTGCCGCCACCAAAATGAACAGCCTTCTTTCCCATGGTGATGTAGGTGGTTAGCGGGGTAGATATGAAGGGGGTCTGTGTATGTATGTCGATATCTATCACTTCTGAGTTTTAGCAAGTCGCTAGAATGGAGAGGGAAGAGCAAAGAGAGGTCCAAGGAGAGGAGACGAGAGGAGGCACTGGAGAGGGTAAGTGAATTGGCTGGAGTTAATTGACTTTGAGGGTGAAAATAGAGGAAAGGAGAAAAGAGGATAATGTGTTCTATTTATGACTTCCGGATTGGGCACACCCGCACAACTTGGTGGCGGGGCTTTTGGTTTGGAGATGAACACAACAAAAGGAATTGAGTTGCACAAACGCCAATGGACCTTGTTCTGGGCACCTCTTGTGAGCCCATAGAACTGGCTAGAGAGCTGGAGAAACAATCTTCACAAGGCACAACCATGCACCAACGCCGCAGCAGTCTTCCAAGTGGACGCTTGCGGCCAATTCGCTGCTGGGTGGGCTCCAATTGCACTGACGCGCCGCCAGAATATTTAGTACGCGGGAGATACACCACAACCGGCCAATTGTGGTATGGGGAGGGGGGTACCCGCCAGGTACCCCACCCCCGCTGGCAAGACGTCACAAACTGCCCAAAACAGGTTTAGTCAGATGAGGCTGTGGCTGCGAAGCCGACATTTGTCTTGAGTCTTGACGTTGACTGACTGTCTAACTTTGTCTTCAGCAACTTCAACGACTATGCAGTGATAAACGGTTGGGGTAGCGTCTCTCTGCGTTGCGCTCTAGCACGGCTGTTGTGGTTACCCATAGCCCTGGCCATACCTTGAACTGGAACTGGGTGTCGTTGGCCACGTCGTCTATCGCTCCGTTTGCAAGTGGAGGATTTCAGGGTCGGGATATATCTCGTGTCAGATCCCCTAGCGCCCTGGCCCGGTTAGTTGGCTTCTTGACGAAACAATCTAGCCCAGGATCCTCGGCCTCCATGGAAGTGGCGTTACGCTATGTCATTAAACCAAATGAAAATCATGCCCCAGCTTTCCAGATTCATCACTGCAACACTCGCTTTCAGTATCGAGAAGGGTGCATCGTTTCTTATGACCATTGATGGGATATAAAGGTCAATCTTGCAATATCTGAAGAAACGTCGTTCATTCGCAAATTTGAGCGTGCCGTCTCCTTTCACGATTATTGGCTGCAGAAGCAAACCTTTCGACAAGCTTTCTTTACGCGCTCCTGCTATGGTACAGGCACAAACCCTGCTTGCCCTCTACCCCGAGAGACTTCACGCACTCCAGGGGTGGTCAACAGGGTCTTTGCTTGGAAGTAATGCATCACCATGAGCCCAACTGATGCCCGAAACATTTATCATTTGCTCCAGAGGGTGTAACGGCGGAGAAGATCGTTCCTCCATATTGATTTTGACAAATGCAGATACTTTGATTCTATGGAAGCAAAATTGGCTCTGGATTACCACTCTTGTCACTACAACGTAATAGCAACGATATCGGTTCCGCTCTGAGGGGGGAAATGGATGTGGATGCAATATCCTTGGGGTAGACATTTCCAATTATGCATGCAACAGGCATGGGATAAAGGAATATGAAGCGGCCAAAGATATCCACCTGCTCGCTGGTCACGCATCAGATGGGAACCTATTGTTAGAACAAAAAGCACATGCCTGGTATCAGAAATGGTATGCAGTCATGACCGGGAATTAAAGACATTCGCCGCTGAAGAACGATCAGCGAAACAGTTAAGATATGCTATTTATGGCGCCATTTCATTGGCTTCAATCTCGTGGTCGGGTAACATCACAACAGCCCACAGATGTGGCTTTTGGCATGTGAAGGTAACATGGGAGAGATCTACCATCCTCGCCTAGACCAATTTGATATGATGACATTATCTCGCTGGCTCGAAGAATTGTTTCCAATCGAAAGAGCACGCAAGGGCCACCTTGTGCACGGTCGCCTAAAATGATTAATGCGTCAAATTTATTTTTTAGCATCGCAAGAACAAAAACATATGTATTCTTTCCTTGACCCCTTCAACTCGAGCCATTCTATGTCCATCTGAGAAAAGAAGAGAAGAGAGCAAGAGAGAAGAAATGAAATTGGATGATGCCAAACCAGCTGAAGTTGTCTTTAAGAATCGGCCTTTTGTCTCAGAGGAATTCTCCATGATAATTGCTGCAGTTCACAAACAGCAATGGATGTATGTATCATGAAAGTGGTGAGCGATGGCTAACCAGGGCATCTAAATTGCTATGCATAGCTATGTAGTACGCATCTAACTAATCATGAATGACAGCATTATAGATGAGGCTCACCACGATATTGTGAAGGAAAAATATTGAGAGCTGGACATCCACGCCTTTTATCTAGCCGCATATCGTTACTTGAAGGAAGGAAGGGCATGAAAACAGTGGAATTGGTCCCTTAATGCTTCGTCACCATGGTCAAGTTTTATCCAGAGCTACGCCAGCTTTCCCTGGACAAGTTTCTCAGTGATGAGTACTGCCCCAGTGTCTTCTTTTGGAGTATCCCAAATCTTTCAGATGCATCACCTACACAATTGTACTGCAGCTCGGATGAATAGCTTTCTGATGGGCATCCGTGAAATACATAGAGCGTGGTGACTCGAGGCTCAAAAACCATGCTCCCCCTCAAGGACGGATCCTGGGCATGTTGTTTGGATTGATTTTGATCAGGGGATAACCTATTATAAGTGCCGGATCACATATATAGAGACAGATTCTCTCAGCCGGGAAAGAAGAAGATACAATTGCAGATCTCAGAAAATGTTAAACTGTGTGGTTGGTTGTTCAGTTCATTCCGAATCCCACCGTCCACCCTTTACATAGCTGACCTTACACCCTTAGAGAAACTCAAACAAGAGTATATATTCTACAGCATATGGCGGGTTCCCCTCTCATTCATTCCTTAACTTACCGAAAAACGACACATCAACGGGCGCATAACAAAGAATGGACAATCGATACCCCATGTCCTAACTTGGGTGTCTTGCTCCAGTCATGCAATTGCTTCCTCACATGTCTACCCCCCATACCCGCTGTGGTTTATTCGGTTGCATTGTGGGGTTAAATTATTCACCATCAAAGAGTGTATGCAACGGCAAGCCTCCGAAACTGTTGCGTAGTTTCAAAGCATGCTTAAATGTAAGCTATTTTGATTCAGCGTGCGTTCTATCGCATCTACTCAAACAGCCCTTGGTGTTGCGCGGCTTCGAATACCAATAGCTCATTTCTTTTTTTTCCCCCTTGAACTCAAGGCATACGCTAGATAGTTCAGATGGACACTGCTGTATATTACTAGGCCCAAGTTTCCTAGTCAAGTTTGGTATTATCAACATAAATAAATTAGTTAATTAAGAAGATGAGATCCAGCCCCATTTCCTGAATGAATCTATCTATATCAACTGGGAGGAAATGAAACATCACACAACACGGATATATCTTACAATCATACCTAAAACATACCTGAAGGGCAACACCGGCGGGGCCTCATATGAATAAATGGGATAGGAAAGAAATGGGGATATGATGTGTATAGAGCACATGATAAATGGAAAGGCCCAAGACATTTCCAAAACAACTAGAGAGAAAAGGACGGATCTAAAAGTACAATATGTGTACTGTACATGTACATGTACAAACATAAGCCAATTCATGGGCGGTGAATCAATCAAACATGGGATACCAGGTACCACGAGAAACGGAAATTGGAATTGCAAATAAGGACAGCTAAGAGCTGCGGCGCATAATTTAATATACTGTTCCGCGTAACAGCTAGAAGATGAAAAGCCTTCGTCTTTACCGATTTGGACTGAGTATGTCTTTCAGACGCTTGTTTTCGGTTTCCAGCACACTCCGCTCTTCAGCGCTAAGAGTCTTCTCCTTATGGGCGAGCTCATTTAGCTGTTTGGCCTGTTTCAGGATATAAACCGATTCCTCAAAGGCAGGTAAATAGGGACGAGAGAATGGCCAACAGCCCTCAGAAACTCGGTCTGATGCAGCCTTGACCCTTTCCCCCTCGTCCGCGTCTTTGCCATGCTTAGAAAGCGTCGCGTAGGCGAGTAATGATATCAGTTTGTCAACCTGCGGCCGCAGTGCGTCAATAGCGTTCAATATTCTCGTCTTGAACACCATATCAGAAGTCTTCGTATCAGACACACGCGCCAGGATGGGAACGGATTCCCTGATGCTTTCTTCCGAGATGCCGTACCTGACAAGTTCCAGGTACTTGGAGAGAATCTCAGGCTCCGGCTGCATGAGAACTGTATCCATAAGCCCAATCAGCTCGCCAGCTGTTTCGAGAACGTGTGGATTCTTTCGATCGCGAGAGCAACAGCTGATCGCGATGACGAAGGTTTTGCGCGCAACCATGCCGGGTCTAGGTAACATATTTTTAATAATGCGAAGAGCTTCAGTGCTGGAGCGAGCAACCCGCAGAAGACGCAGATATTCGTGGAATGAATGTGTATCTGGCTTTATCATGGATTGTTTAGGTCCAGATGTGAAAAGTTCCCAATACGCCCGGCCAATGGCAATTCCGTTTGGTGTTGTTCGGCAAGCTGATAAAACCAAGGACAATTCATCGTTCGTAGGGATAGGGAGAGTGATTTGTAAACGGCGTGATTTCGTTCTCGTTCTCGTTTGCGCATTTTTGTGGATCTGCGAGAGGTCTACCGGCTTGAATAGGTATTTGAACTCTTCGGTTTCTGATAATGGTTCCGGCTCTTCATTTAACTGTTCGACTTCTTCGGCTGGAAGTCCTAATTCTTCAGATGCCAGTTCCTGCTTTTCGGGCAATGGTTCCGGCTCCTCCTTCAGAGCACGGCTCATTTCATCATTGCCCATTGACACCCTCTCCAGCTCGGAACTTTCAGCACTAGACTCTTGTTTCCCCTCCGCCAACTCTTGCGCTGTCATTTTATTTTGCTCTCTAGTTCTGGGTGCTTCAAGCTGCGTATCCACACCTTCAAGCAAAGGAACATCCATTGTTTGGTGCAGTAAGGCGAACACGTCAAGGCAATCACGTTTTCGTCGGCCGAAAAGAAGCAAACGCCCCATTGCAGATACAAGAGGTTGATCGACAATGAAGTCGCCCGCTCTCCATCGGCGTACCACATCAGCCCATATTCTTTTCCCTTCCCGCACTGCCAATGCTTTCTTCTCCGCAATGCCATCTACTTGGCTGCGAGGATTAAGGTTCTTGGTTTCGTTAGCTGTATGTGCCTGAAGGCCGTTGAGAACAATGGTAAAAGTCCTTGAGTCAGGAGCTCCGTCACCACGTTCAGGAAGCGACCCAGCCACTTCCCATAAGGCATCCATATTGCCATGCCGGGAGCACACGCCCAAAACCGCATTGACATGTAGGACAGATGGCTTAACGCCGGAATTGGGTGAGCACAAGCTTTTGTAAATCGACAGTGCTATCTGTACTGATTTTTGAGAACTGCTGCGCGCTAGGCCCCGAAACATAATAGTATAAGTGTAAGAGTTCGGTTTCCGGCCTCTTTTTTTCATCTACATCTAGTATTAGATTTTGGGGAAATTTTGAAAAAATGGAAGCAGAGGATCCTCACATCGTTATAAAGCTTGAAAGCCGCAACCGGTCTGTCATTTTTCATCTCATGGTCAAATAGCTCGTTCCAAGCAACCATACAATCATAGCCTCTCGACTGTGCGGTTCGCACTAACGCAACCGCCTTCTCGAGGTCTCCTTTGTTGAGGATCTGTGCCACTCGCTTTGACAAAACTACCCGATCCCTTGCCCACTCCAATTCAATGTCGATTGCCTTCTTCGACACCGTAGGTCTCCACACTCTTTTCTCTTCCGGCTTTAGTTTCCCTTCAACACCTATCCCTGAGTCCCCAACGAGTTCTGCTTCAACGAGTTCCTCCTCTTTTCCGCCAGGCTTCAAGTAGCCAGTCGTCTTCAAGGATGGGGTACGAGGTCTGGAGTCTGATCTTGATCGCGTAGCACGTCCTCCACCACCCGGTGAACGTTTATCGAACCTTGAGGTGGAAATACTTCTACATTTGGATCCATTCCCAGTAATATTCTGCGCCAGGAAAGCTCCCGAGAGTCTGCCACATAGCATCGAACCCCTGTTGCCAACCAATCTGGTAGCTAATGTGCTACAGGCACAGACATTTCTGCACCGAAGCATTTAAACAATACCTCTTCCGTAGCTTTTAATCGTCGTGCACCGTTTCCTCGAGTCTTTGCCAATAGAATAAACGGGGTCTAAACCTAGAAGAAATCGTCAACTACTAGTATCACTCAGAGCAAATAAATTTGTAGGAAGCTGCTCTACAAACTGGGACGAGGCGGGAAACTTACCACAATTTGGCACTTTTATCACAAAATCCCTCAACAGCTAGCTACCTTATTATATGAGGGGATAGCAGCTCAAAAATCAGACGGCTGAGTTCCAATTCGTGTGATAAAAATGCCTTCTGTCGACTGCGACGCGCCCAATGAGATTTTCTTTGGCTTCCGATGATTAGCCGGATGAACTAAATTCCGCCGAGAGCTCAACTGGGCACGCCCTGAAGAGTTCAAGTACTCGATGGACAAAATACTACTGGTAAGAGAATATCGTGCATAGATATATATTCATGTCCTCCTATCCCTTTATACAGATCGGTTAGGTTATATTGAATCTCTAAAAACATCCACCCGTATATAAGCGCGCAATCCCTCAACTGCCTAAACATCAAACACCCCGCCAAACCCTATTAACCAATTAGTCTGTAGCGCTTTGTACATGCCAGTGTACATCTGTAACAATCTGTTAGTTCAATCATAACCTACACCAATAATATGTCTCTTTTCTAACATTTGTGTTGGCCAAAAAGCTGCTGGGTCCGGAAATCAGATGCCACTCTATGCGTTTGGTTCGAACGGCTCTGGTCAGTTAGGGATCGGGCACTTGGATGATGTTCCAGTCCCTTCTCGGTGCCTCTTTGAGCAGGAGACCAAAGAAAATGGTCCAAAAGACATCGATATTGCCTGTGCATCAGATGAGCCCGTCCAAATCGCCGCTGGGGGGAACCATACTCTAGTTCTTTTCAAGTCCGGTGCTGTTTATGCCGCTGGGTCTAACCAGAACGGCAGGTGTGCCCATGATCCCAATAGAATTACATCATTACTACATTTCAGTAGAGTGGGTTTTGCTAGAGGGGACGGCAGTTGCGTTAATCGCTTCAAGGCTATTTTTGCAACATGGGAGGCGTCCTTTTTTGTGGACGCTGACCGGGGTCATCTCTACGTCTGTGGAGTGGGCAACAAGGGTGAACTGGGACTGGGGGAAAATTATGTGGAGGCCAATAGCCCCACGCGGATTCGCGAATTTCCACCAACAGGGTCGGAAATAACATCCATTTCCAGCAGTGTTTCGCATACAGCGGCGACGCTCTCGAATGGTGAAGTTTATGGATGGGGGATTTCAAGGAAAGGTCAGCTTGGTGAAGAGAATATAAAGAAGAAAATCTTATGGGTACCGCAGAAGATCGAGGGTGTCTCGTTCTTTGCTTGTCAGGTTGCTTGTGGGAGGGAATTTACAGCTGTCGCGGGAGATGCACGGACGGGAGAGTTTGCCATTTTTGGACCCGAAAAGTGGGACATACTGTCCGGTGCACCGAAGGAGATTAAATATTACACTACCCTAGCAGCTAGTTGGCATGGTGTATATGTCCACAAACAGGATGGTTCTACCATATCGTGGGGCAGGAATGATCGCGGTCAGTTGCTTCCACCAAACCTCCCACGGCTTGTGAAGCTGGCTATAGGGAGCGAGCATGCCGTTGCTATGATCGAGGGCACAAATATTGTGGCATTCGGATGGGGTGAGCATGGTAATTGTGGACCAAACACTGATGCACAAGGCAATGTCGCTGGACGCTGGAATGAGATCCCGCTGAGTGCTGAGGGCAGCAACACAGTCACTGGTGTAGGAGCAGGATGTGCGACAAGTTGGATTATGACGGCCTAAAGCAGAATGTTAAAAGTGGGCGGTGCGCCAAGATCATTCCTTTGGTCACTTTACCAACTCGTTTTAAAGGCCACAATCTCAGCGACCAAGTGACTGCAATTTAGCCATACAAAAAGATTTTTCAAGTCATTCGCCAGCCATATCAATCAAATATCCCTCGTATCTATTCTGAAGTCAGTATCAGTGTGATAAAACACAAGGATCTACATACTTGTGATATCCGCTGTGTCGGCGGTATTGCCATTGAGCTTTCTTGGTCCTGATCATTTCGTCTCATACTCGCCGCAACAGGCGTGATATCTTGGATACGCCCTCCAATGCTTGCCTGCAGCGCACCCTACGGAACTTATTAGCGGTACTGTTCGGGAAAACAAGGGGGGGAGTTGCTGGCATACCTGATCCATATGTGTGTCCCAACCAAGAGTGTCTTCGTCTTCGTCACCATATCTCGGTTCATCCCATTGTTGGTCGTCGTCAGCCGGGACGAACAAGGATTCGAAGGGAACCGACTGGTGTGGCGGCTGTGGCAGGATGCTCGCCTGAGTTCCCTCCCTGGCTCCTGACTGTGAATGCGGCTGGAGAGAGTGAGTTCTCGGGACAGATTCCGGGATCTCAGGTTGGGGATTTGCTGTCGGCTCTATTGGATGGACAGTAGTCGGCCGTGAATATGGCCTTGCGGATAATTCTCGGTTTCCGTTTGTGGATCCGGACGACGCCTCTCCAGCCTCCCCTCTCGTCATCAACGTGAACGCGCACGCCATCCCTCCTACTTCGTAGGACAGCTGCATTGGCCGGCATGGACGGGTATATCGTGCCACAATATCTCCATTCAAAGAATGTGCATGGATGACGATAGCCTTAAAGTCCTTGACGTTGATAGCCACATGAAGATTATCCTCCACTGTGAAATGGTCGAAATCTTTGGTATCGATAGCTACAGATGTATGAACGGGTTGCTTGAGAATTTCTGCAGGTAATTGGTTAGAATTTTAGATAATTATAACCAATGAATCCATCTGCCGGCTTCCTTACGTTTTCCATCCACAAGTTTTGTAGTAAAGCTCGTAAATACCACTCTATTATTCTCAGAGAATATATCCAGCTGCTCCGCAGTAGGCGCAAAATGGTCAATAATTTCTCGCAAATACTTGGAATCTATACTCCACTGGTTTTGAGTTTTTGATTTGTCGAATAGAGCATGCTGAATCTCCGCGGCTTCATAGGTTAATTTGTATGTCTTGACGACCCCTAGGCGACCGTGCATTAGTTTTCCAAGTTAGATAAAACAAATAATCAAATGGCATAGCAAAGGAAAGGTTTCCACCGCACCCTGCCTGCAAATCATCTGGATGATAAATCTGCATTGAGTTTCATTAGGTCCGTCCTGGAGCCGGACTTCACAGCGCTCAATGGCAGTCTCTTTGTCTTTGAAGTCACTGACTCGGCCCCTAAACACTGACAACAGCGCCTATATATATAACATTCTTAGTAGATAAACATGCGATGCACACAACAAGGCTCTAAAAAATAAACGTCGCCCACCAACCTTTATATATATTTGACAGGTGAATTTATCTGCAGCATTACCAGCCGCAGCACCGGATGCAACGCGTCTCGCGCCACCAAACATGTACTGCGAGAAAAAGGTCGAGGCATCAAACTTGAAAGACGCATATGCCGACTTGGTCGGATTCAGTGCTGAGAGCCGGAGCTAAACCTCCGTTGATTTCCGTCAGCAACACACAAGATAAGGTCTTCAACATAAGAGGTACCGAAGGAAAAACGAGTTGAAAATTAAATTTCATACAAAGGATGCCTCAGCTTCAATCGATACACTTTCGTTGAATTTTGCAAGGCATATAAGCACATCATGCAGCTGAAGCAGAGCATCTGGAGGCAACGTAAAGCGGAGAGAAGTCATGGTGTAGAGACCTGAGAGGGATCCTTGATGAACATTGAAGTAGGGATGTGATTCACATGGCTGCCCGTCTTGGATTTTATCTGAGCGTTCCCGTATAGTTGAATTAGTGCTTTGAGCGCGTTATGAGTGATGTCTTGAGCTCTCAATGAAGGAAGGCTGTTAAAATGAGATTAGGTAATCATCAAGGACGGCCTTTGTTGGAATGAAGCGAGGTATACAACAATAGTCCGAAGATGCCCAACTATGAGAGATTAGTTTTTTTTATTCTTATATATATATATATACATCCTCTGTCCTTGCAATTAAATGGATCAGTTCTTTCACCGGGATCGAGAATATTGACCTGTCAAAATAGCATCGACAAGAGTAGTTACTATACATACAGCAAGCACGTATATATCAGGAATACCAATCGATGTCTACATACTCCGCATGTGTGAGGTATAATAAATGGTAGGGTAGTGGTATCGGTAGTGTTCAGAGAGACAGGCACTGTAACTAATGCCAAGGTACCCCGTATGGGGTACGATAATATGGAAAAGGGGTTCAGATAACTAACCATTTACAAGATTTACAAGATGCGGAACAGCAAGTTCAAGTGGAAAAGAAAGCAGTAAGTGTAATAAAGAACAGCGCACACACAAAGGAAAAAAAGAACATACGAAAGCCGGGATTCGCTGGTGGTCCCTCGAGCCCCAATCGGAGAAGAATCTCCCGACCCATGGGGAAACAGGGCGTGGGGATCACTGGGTCAGCCTGATTTATTTTGGGAGGGCGCAAGACGCATGCCTCGAGGAGTGAGAGACTAGCCAATGGATCGAAACGTGGACACACGGCCACAGACATAACTTTGCAGCCTGTGGAGAGATGTTTATATAAGCATCGGGTTTCCATCGTAACCTTCGGATTATGCACCACTTTCACTGTGCTGAAGGTGGAAAACTGGAGGAGAAGACGAACGGAGGTACCGGGATCCACTTGATCTCGACACGGGGGAACGAGGATATCTTGATAGCAGCGGGGGACGACGGCTTGGACTAGCCCCTTGCACTTCCAACATTTACACATATAGCCCTGACAACCAGCTCTCACGGCCCTCCCTCCATGGATGCGGAATTTCAGACGTGGTGGATCGTCTATCAACTAAATACCAACGGCAACATAACTATGGTCAGGAATATCTGCTTTCTTGCGCTCCTTACACGGCGGCTGCAAGGAAAAATTGGTTCTTGACACCAACAGATTCTTAATAGCATTGTTCTGATCCATTTGCCCGCACTTGTGGATGAAAAAAAGGAGCATACTCCTGTATCCAATGTGTTCTCGATCCTTCCACTTCACTTGACCATGAACATTGCCTCCCAAATCAAGATAGCAACATTGTGGGTTGTCGAAGCGATGGAAAACATACAGGACTCCCTCCACTCTGTCTGTCTAGAAATAGAATCTAAGAAGCCACTAACTTTCATAGATTATTGAACTGTCCAAAAGTGAAAACACAAAATCATGATGAAAAAATCAAACTTGCAGTGGGCAGAGAGCATGATCCATGTGATCCATCATTTTATCTGAAAGCATTGTCAATAGGTACAGCTCCTGAGAATACATTCACACCATCTCAGGTGGATGAGAGGAAACAAAAGAAAAGCCAATGTCTGACAAATCTGATCCCAATCTTGAAGGCTAAAGGTACAATTGTTTCAGTGATCTATATCTGTCTTCACCAACAGTGCACAAAGTAAAACACTGACTCATCAGAAATACCCCTCTTTGTCACAGATGAAATATGATCCAGAAGGTTGGGGACATCACATTCAACATTCAAGAGACACAACACCAGTCCATTCTGTTGATTGTTTCTGTATAGCTCTTCCAGCTTTGATCTTGCTGCTTCTGGATCTTGAAAGTTCCATTCAGACACCCAAACACCTTCAGGCTCCATGGCACAGAGATACTCATTTTTGCCATGACAGTCACAGTATCAGCTATCAATCAGGGTATGGTAAGTTCAGTTATCATCAGAGATGTCATTTATTGCTGAAATTGCTTTGTGGTCAAAAGCAGTGTCTGAGCCATTGTTGAGATGGACCAAACAATGGCAGTGATCAAAATCATCTATCTCCCTGTTAGTTCCAACGAGTTGATGTGTCATATGGACTTACCCTCATTGTTTCCACCCACACATTCCGGGGGTTTCGGTCCAATGTTACATTGTCAGATTGGTGGGGTATATCCATAACTTCATCATGACTAGATCAGACCTCTCTTTCTACCACTACACTCGACGGGCTGTGAGGGTCTTCGACAGTACAAGGTTGGGACTGTGTAGCTGTAGGATTAGGACGACAATGGGGATGGGGTGATGCATCAGGGCGTTGATGCGGACCGCTCAGGGTTGCATGAGCCACCCTTCTTGATGAATGAAGGTTGATATTACGAGCATTGGTTTTGCTGCGGGTGGTAGCCATACCGTCAGAGGGAAGGAAATCAAGCAGGAGGAGTCGTTGAGAAAATAAGGACGAAGAAGGAAAAGAATCGAAGGGGGAGAGCACGCCTATTTAAATACCCACGCCGGGCTCACTCGCTTCGCAATACTGCGCCATCCGCGGCTGGAACTGCGTTCCGTGGTGACTACAGGAATTTCGATGGGCTGACCTAGACAGAGAAATAATTCCTATGCCTTACCCCTATTGGGCACCGATCCTTTCCCCTTACCCTTCCCTGCGGTAGGGGGACCCCTAGGGGTATACATGGCAGTTGCGGCGCGATTTCATGCAATACGATACCGAACTACAGGTTTGGTGGAATCGCCGAGTCTGTCTGGAACTGAAATGAGCCACGGATGGGAGAGCCATCCTGGGGACCATGCTGGGCCGGGCTAGGGGTTTCTCTGCTGCCAGGAGATCACATGTCGCCTCAAGAGGCGTTGTCATCGCACGAAGGGAAAACTGAGCCGCAAGACGAGATAGAGACCGGTGGGTCCAATTAGAGATCCTGCAGAACTCGCGGTCCCTGCCAGCGACAAGCAAGCCAACCATATAAACTCACCCGTCAAAGAGTCCACGGAGACTTCGCATTACCTCGACAACATGGAGCTCCGCGGTCGGCAAGACATTGGTGGGCTGCATGGCTGAAGCTGGTGTATAAGGGGGGATTAGAGGTACCAAGTAGTAGAGCGGACAGATATCCAAGCATCTCGAACACAAGAAGGGGAAAATGGTTGACCTAAGATAGGGCTGACTTACATAATCACCCCTCGCCCTCCCATCTTTCCCGATTCGGCATGCGGGTCAAGTAGCGCACTTCGCACTCCGTACAGTGATAAGCTCAATTCCACAGAGGTTGAAGGCTGTGGTCATGGCTAAGGGTGGATCAACTAAATATTAAAGAAGAAAATGTATCAATTCTCTAGCCTTCCCAGGTCCTCATTTTAAAATGAGTTTAGAATATGTCAAGAGAGTATAGCACTGTTTTGATTAGATCGACATGGTTCTTCATTATTGCTATATTGCTCGGTTAAGAACGAGAAACGTAAGCAACTTAGAAAATAAGGTGATTAAGAGAGTCTGATGAGGTGTAAATCAACTTGAGAAGGATCAAGAATGTCTTTGAGTGATCACTGACCCATTCTCTTTCCCACTGATGCTCGGTGGTACATCTTCTCAGCTTCCTCCATCCTACCCTGAGCTTTATAGAGATTACCAAGATTGTTGACAGTGTTCAGAGTATATGGATGATCTGGTCCCCACACCTCCTCATACCCATTTAATGCAGTGGTATATCTTCTCAGCTGCCTCCATCCTTCCCTGAGCTTCATAGAGATTACCAAGATTGTTGACAGTTCTCAGTGTAGATGGGTGATCTGGTCCCCACACCTCCTCACACCCATTTAGTACTTGGTGGTACATCTTCTCAGCTTCCTCCATTCTACCCTGAGCTTTATAGAGATTATCAAGATTGTTGACAGTTCTCAGTATACATGGGTGACTTGGTCTCCACACCTTCTTATAACCATTTAGTGCTTGATAATACAGCTTCTCAGCTTCCTCCATTCTACCCTGAGCTTTATAGAGATTACCAAGATTGTTCAGTGTAGATGGGTGATATGATCCCAACACCTCCTCATAACCATTTAGTGCTCGGTGGTACATCTTCTCAGCTTCCTCCATCCTACCCTGAGCTTTATAGAGATTACCAAGATTGTTGACAGTGTCCAGAGTATATGGATGATCTGGTCCCCACACCTTCTCATAACCATTTAGTGCTCGGTGGTACAGCTTCTCAGCTTTCTCCATCCTTCCCTGGCCAGTATAGAGATTACCGAGATTGTTGTAGCACGAGCTTATGAGGTGTAGTTTTTCTTTTGGTATGTTGAAGTCAGTCGTACTACTGACGAGAGCCAATAGTTGATCACTGTGAGGAAGCAAACGACGTTCCAGCGCCCAATGTTCTTCGGCCTCCGAAGCCGGTGCTGCACACCCTAAAATAACCGTTGCGAGTATTCTCATCTCATTCTTCTCTGTTAATTGAGTATGGCACCACTCATGGACCACAGGATGTACATGGTATCCTACAGCATTTTCTCGATGTTCTGCGAGCGAGTAGTCCAGAAGCGGTTGAACAGCTTCGAGGAATGATAACTCATCTGAAATCACTGAACGAAACCAATCAGGGATTTCATCCTTCCCGTGTATCGTTGTTGAGGAAAGCAATTCAAACCACAGGTCTGTATGTGAGAGGCACGACCACAGCTGGAAAAGATACGCCGCATTAGGATTGGCCTGTTTCACCTGTTCGAATGAAATTTGCCAAGTTGAGAGGATGCTACGGGAATAATCAGGTGGCGGCCGTGCCAGGTTAAAGAGCCTTTCAAAAGCCTTGCGGTACAATTCTAAGTACTTGTCCACTGAAAGCCGATGTTGTCGCAGGTAGGATCCCGCAAGGGTTAGAGCAAGTGGAAGTCCGTCTAAAGCGGTAGCTAGTCGCTCCCAACCCACGATCGGCCTTCGAGCCGTTGATTCTAGAAGCTCTTTACTCTGATCCAGATTCATCCTTGGGACCTTGACACTGTGCCAGGTAGAACCCAGATGTGGGAGTCGGGTTGTCACCAAAATAGAACCATGGTCGGCTCTGGGGAAGTATCTCAATATATCAAAGGCGTCGGGGTCGGATGTTTCGGGTGTCCAGTCCCTATCGATGTTGTCAAAGATCAGGAGCCATCGATCATTTCCTCGCCGGCTGAGCCACATCAGGACGTCTTGGACTACATTTTGCAGCTCCTCTGTAGGCCCTGATTTGGGACTATGCTGCCGGTCTGGTTGTTGATGGGTGGGAAGTCCCTCCCTAATGCCTGCGATGCTTTGGCTAAGACTACTGTTTGTAGAACCATCAAGCCAGAAAACTGCGGTGAATTCTTTACGATATTCTCTCGCAAACTCGATCGCGAGACGGCTTTTTCCAATACCACCAACTCCGTACAAAACGAACAGTCTCCGTTGTCGTGGATGCTGGAGAGAGAGCAAAGCGTCTTTGATCTGCTGTAGCTCGTTTCGCTTGATGAATGCACTCGACACGGCAGGGATAGGAAGTTCAAAATCGATGATGTAATCCTGATGGTCTTACAGAAGTAAATTAATTATTATTGGCTTTCCTTATATAGAGCCTTTCCTCCCCCGCCTGGCACTTCGGACCCAAAAAGGGAGATAAAGAATTGAGAAAGCAAGCACAATGAACTTTCAAAATCATACACACTTTCAGCGGGCGCAGTATAGAAATGGCTTGCTAATGAAATAGAACATCACTCACTGTCAGTAGTTATGGCGGGCACCTCATCCATCTCCACACCTGGTATAACTTTGAGAACCTCCTTAGCAGTGGCAGCTGCCGTAGCTGCAGCATAATTCTTCCAAGAATCGTTTTTGTGAGAGTCAGCGTAATTGCAGATACCCCGTATCGTGGCGCATCCAAAGGTGTTCATCAACCCCTCAGCCTCCATTTCTATTGCAAGAACATAAGGATAAGTCTCCGCAATCTGTTTCCTTTTCGCGCTATCCTTGATGATCTGATTACCCGATGCTATTGCTCCAAAATGTAAAACAGGAATATGTTCCCGTGCTCCTCGCGATTGGCGAATCTCGACCTGCTCGGAGTTCTCTAGGCACTTTTCACATGTACTACTGTCTGGATCGATATGGCCATAGCCGCTCTTAAACAGGCAATCCTCTAGGGCCGGTCGATCGTAGCTCTTAAAGAAAGGATTTCTTTCAATGGCGTGAGAAATGTGTCCTAGAATTGTACTTTCCTCGTCCGATTGTAGTGATTCCAACTCGTTGAACGCGTTTCTTAACAACTCTGGCACTCCATTTAAGAAGGGCTGGGACTCAAACCCCATCGGTGTGACTTTTCCGCGGTCGTGAACCACAGCTCCTCCGGACCGACCATCTCCCTTGCTGATGACCACATCTCCTAAGCGGATATCCTTTCTATCGGGCACACCACCAGCGGTCCCTACTAACAGACCAAAGCGTAGTTTACGAAATGTATTCAGTAACTGATTCGCGACGAACGCTGCTGCTGTCGTGCCTATATCGCTCTGGCATACAATGACGACATTATGCGCACAGATGCGACCATATGTATAGATATTTCGATCAGCTTCTGGCTGCAGAGGACTGCGATGCAGCTCATCGAGCATGTTTCTCGCTGCGGTCTTCTCTTTTGGGAGGGCACAGATCCAGGCCACCGTGTAGTCATCAAGCGTTAACTGCCTGGTTTCTTTCAGCGGCCAAGCCATGGTTGTGGAGGTGGCTTCGTCAACTGATGAGTATCGATGATAACTGGAAAACTAAAAGAAGATCATAGAAGTGATACAAGGCTTGGGAGCAAATCTTAGGATGTGCCGAGAACCTCGCTCAGCCGCGTGTTTTTTGAGCGCACGTTCTTCGCAGCGCGACGCTTGGATTTTTTAGCTGCGTATCACAAATATAAGGTAATTGTTTCTTATTTTAAAGCGTGGTATCCGCAATGGAAGTCAGTCGAGGTATCAAGAACTTAGAGGTTCAAAGCTTTAAACCTAATTTTCAGCACATCAGTCTCGTCTCAGCACGATGGCAAATGGATGTGGATTCGGCCATGCTATGCAAGCCTATGAATGGTGTAGGGATGCTTTGGGTAGCATTGCATGGACATGCCGGTGATTTTATATGATTAGACAGTAGTACAGCGGTGTCCAATAAGTCAGCTTACTAGTGGCTCGGTGCTGAGAACCCCTCTTCTTACCCCTCTTCTTCAAAGATTCCTCCATCAACCAACATCCCCTCTATACATCAAAAGATGCCCTCAAAACCAAAAACATTGTGGAAAGAACACTCTCCAGCTATTATTAATACTATTTTGAACCTTTGAAAGTGGGAACATTCATTTCTAGATATAGCTTGAATTTTAGAGCTGCCTCACTCCACCATAGACTGGCTGTGTGACCATGCATGGGACTGGGACTAAATTTTTTCTCAGTCCCATTATTAGATATCTTAGTCCTGGTCCCATATAGACTGGCGCTGGGACCATGAATTACACATTTGGTTTGGTTTGGTTTGGTCCCAGTCCATTTCTTGGCATGATTTTAGTGGGACCAGGACCAGAATGAGAGTGTAAAGTGACTAGAATTATCAAAACATGAGTGAAATGGGACTAAAAAATCTTGATATTCCATGTAAAGTGACTGACTATCAAAATCAGAACATGATCTGGGACTGATCATGATTTTGACTCAAGTTTGGTCCCATTCTGATGATTATATAATACATCAATCTGATGATATGATTGGTGGAGATATTACCCCTATCTTGCTTAGTGCTGCTGCCAACCTACCCACCGCTGCCAATCTACCCACCGCCGCCAACCTACCTACCGCTGCCAACCTACCTACCGCTGCCAATCTACCTACCGCTGCCAACCTATCTATCACTGCTAATCTATCGCTGCTAATCTATCGCTGCTAATCTATCGCTGCTAATCTATCGCTGCTAATCTATCGCCGCCAACCTACCTACCGCTGCCAACCTACCTACCGCTGCCAACCTATCTATCGCTGCCAACCTATATAGGGTAAATCATGGTCTCATTTGGTCCCATTTTGTATCATGATTTACCCTATATAGATTAGCAGCAATAGATAGATTAGCAGCAGTGGGTAGGTTGGCAGCAGCACTAAGCAAGATAGGGGTAATATCTCCACCAATCATATCATCAGATTGATGTATTATATAATCATCAGAATGGGATCAAACTTGAGTCAAAATCATAATCAGTCCCAGATCATGTTCTGATTTTGATAGTCAGTCACTTTACATGGAATATCAAGATTTATTAGTCTCATTTTACTCATGTTTTGATAATTCTAGTCACTTTACACTCTTATTCTGATTCTGGTCCCACTTGAAATCATGCCAAGAAATGGACTGGGACCAAACCAAACCAAACCAAATGTGTAATTCATGGTCCCAGCAGCCAGTCCACTGCTGAAGCTCGGCGCCGAGCCTCTAGTATGCTGACTTATTGGACACCACTGTACATACGATACAACCGACTAGAACTTTCTACCCTGTATCTCAGTTCTCTCTCATAAGGTGGGTTTGTTGCAAAATATACCCGGAAGTAAGATAATCCGTTCCGTCACTTCTCCGTTTAATGGCAAAGCAGTTAATGTAATAAGGAACAGCGCACACAAAAAAGAAAAAAAAGAACATACGAAAGCCCGGATTCGCTGGTGGTCACCCACCCAACTACTAACAGGCCGGCGAGTGGCTTGAGTACGGCTGAGCGGACGGGAAGCCCTATTTTCCACTCCCTATGTTCGTATGTGACAGGAGAAGTGATTCTCTCATATTTTATAGTGGCAGTCTGTCAAGCTTAGTTACTATTGCCAACGAGTGAAAAATTGGGGAGTTGGTGGGGGGGCAAGAGGAATAAAGCTAGACGAATGATTTTAACAAACACGACACCGACGGTTATTTGATTTGATTGATATGACTTGATATTTCGGCAGGAGTTGGGTGGACAGTGGGAGAGAACCGGAGAAAATAACGCAGCGAATTTGGTATTCAAGAGATGGATGGGAATAGAGTTACGTACACAAACAATTTGTAAAAAATCTGCACTCGGTAACGGTTGTAGAGAAGGGGGGATGGGAGCGACGAGGACGCAAAAACAAAACGACGAAATTCACACATAAACCAAAAATAACAATTGAGGGAATGAACAAGGCGAACAAGAATCGTGAGAGATGTCAAAGAAAATGGGGGGAGGGAAACATCGCAAGGCGCAATGATAACAGATATTATGGGGCGAGTGAAAATGATATGAGGCCCAGAGGGGCCCCCGGCGGGGATAGCAGACGAAAAACATGACCAAATGATGACGAAATCCTGGTAACAGCTTTGTGGAGATAAATAACAAAAAGGAAAAGTAATGGTAAACTGGGGAATCGTAGAGATAAAGCGCGCAACACACAGAGAGACACATATATAGCATCGGTCCCCCTCTCCTCTCTAGCTCACTCTTACTCCCACACACATGCACACATAGTGAAAGATGAAACCCAAACACAAATGCAGAACAGAAAGAGTAGAAACAACCCACCAAGACAACCTCCCCCCAGATATGTAATAAGAAGCATGAGAACCAAATTAAGTAAGCCAAAGGGAGAGAGGAAACCGCCCTTCAATGGAACAAGGGCGCGTGTCAAGCAGTAAAAAAAAAAAACAGACATCAGGGAATTGCTCTTTTTCCGTTTATCCCCCCTCCCTACATTTTCCCTTCTGCCTTCTGTCTCCCTTTGCACTTTCCCCCATCAAATCAAGCCTTATTGGTAGTTACTGGATTGATTTTCTGGGGCTACAGCATCAGCCGTCAGTACCACACTGTGATACATAAGAAAACAAGACAATATAATATTTATAGGAAATTAAGAAACTGCAAATTTTGTTTTCCCCCGTGCTCAAACAAAACCACACACATGAGAAAAAAGAGCATTTTTTTATGTTTTTTTTTTCCTCTTTCATTCCACCCTCCCTTTTTTATTTTCAATTTTAATTCTTGTATTTTTGTTGTGTATCGGGGTAAAACTTGAAAGACTTGACGGAAAAGATTCAAGAGGTGAGAGAGACAAAGACAGGGACGTGCGAACTATCACTCACGCGGTTGGTATACCTGGTTTCCCTGGCCATATGGGGAATGAGGATAGTTGGCTGGAGGATATGGTGCCGCCATCTGGCCATTGCTTGGGGGATATACGAGGCCAGCTCCAGTTGAAGCACCGTACTGGGCAGGAACCTGGCCGTCCGCAGACTGATATCCAATAGGCGGTAGCTGAGGACGAACACTGGTAGGATACGATGCTGGTTGCGCCGCTTGCGAAGGGTCGGTGGGTGCGTTGCCATCGACCTGCTGGCTTGCCTGGGCGGCAGCACGTTCTCGTTCCTCAGCAGCCTTGCGTTGGTTCTCTTCCTCCTTCTTGCGGGCCTTCCACTCCTTGCGGATTTCTTTGAATTCTAAATTTAATTTTGCAAGACGAACCCCAGAAGGGCGGGGTCGGGTGATGATGATGATGTTAGCCAAGTTACAGATAAGCTCGAACGAACCAACCAGACGGGACATATATAACGTGGATGACTTTGGGGAGTTTGGGATGGTGGGTAGCGGCGTCTTGGCGTCGGGTATGGTTTTAGCTAACAGCGCGCCGTTGCACGCTACTGCGAAGGTCTCCACGTGTGGTTTCCAGCACCAGTGCAGTGTAACGCGACTAGTTTAATGCACGAGGAAAGCTAACCACTTCAAGCATTTTGCGACCAAGACAAAACAACAATCGAGCGGAAAGCATAAGATCGCGTAACGAGAACAAAATAAGAAGAAACGCGTTCTCCGAAAAGGTAGGAACAACTAACCTTCTGGCGTTCTTTTCGCGCCATGCGATTGCATTGTGACATGTGCATTAAGGTGGTTCAACGTGCCATATGCTTTTTCGCATCCATTCCAGCCGCATTTGTACATTCGTTCGATTTCTTCATATCGGCGGCGGGGGCGCTTGTGCTGCTGGGCACCGGGGATGGGAACGAAGGAGTATACCTGGGAAAGAGAATGAGTCTGTGTAGATAATAATCAGATGATTTGTTTTGATTTTGGCCATTTATTGAAGGTGGTTCGAACGATCCGGCAGAATATGGTCAAAACATTCCAGTGAATTTTCTCCCTCACGTAAATTAAGGGGGGGTTGGTTGCCAAAACTTGATAAAAACGTACCTGTCCTGGACGAGGGCCTGCGGTCGCAGCTGGAGACGCAGAACCCACCGTTGTTCCAGGGGAGCTATATGGCCCTGGCAAGCCATGTGGAGGCTGTCCATACTGATGTGGAGGCCAATCTGGGCGGCCATACATCTGTGGAGGGGGATGACCCTGGTATTGAGCCATTTCGTGGCCCTGGGGGTTATATGGGGAGTACGGAGGAGGATACGTGGGGCTCGATGCCGCAATTGAGGGATCTATAGGAACGGCGGTGTCAGATTTATTACTCGATGGAGCGCGATGGTCACTCTGTTGTCCATCTTGTAGGGGCATAGACGGACTTGTTGCTTGAGCCATACCTGCCGCGCCGCCGGGCTGCGTGTGAGGCGCGTGATGGTACTGTGGCTGACGGGTCAAGTATTCGGGATAGGGTCCGGGAGGGGGACGAGCCGTGGACGGCGGAGGGGGTTGAGGTTGAGTCTGCGGTTGTTGAGGTTGGGGTTGGGTAGGCGTGGGCACCGCCGGGTTCAGACCGTAGTCCGGCTGGGGAGTATTGGAGGACGAAATGTTGGATGGTCGGCTGTCTGTTGATGCAGTGTATTGGGTAGCCGGGCGGGCTTCGGGCTGCGAAGTATACTGACCGGACGCAGCAGCAGCAGTCTGTTCTGCAGCCGGTCGTTCAGATTGTGGCTCCGCCAATGTTGGATTCGGAGAATGCAAACCTGGCTGCGCGTAATCAGAGGCCGGCCTGTCCATATAATGACTTTTCTTGCGTCTGAAAATGGCAAAAGATCCCTCTTATTTCCCCCTACAAAAACACTGATGCTAGTCTCTCTTGCGACTAGCCAGCGAAACACGATATGCGCACCTTTGGGGAAACTGATTCGCTTGGCGCAACTGGAAGGGAAAAAAGGTTTCCTCACAGGAACAGTAATGAACTTCTGTACGTTACGTGCTAGTGAGAGCCAGTGAGGCGTGTCTGGTCACGAAACAACCCGCGTTATCAGAGGGGGGGGGTTAGGAGGAATAGCAAGGAACAAGTTGATGGAAGCGCGTCAGGGAGCGACGATGTTTGCTTCCTGGAGGTGTCAAAGACCCGCCAAATACAAGGCGAACAAGCGGAAGATTGTTGGCGTTGGGGACTGCGTGGCCTTAGTCGTGAACTCGATCAACCACTAAGAAAAAACCGGGGAAGGAACTAGAAATAAAATAGAATGATGACGGGACGATTGAATGATGGGGTGAAGGTTTGCAAGTGCGTTTGGGAATGTGCTATGGTTTTCTCTTGGGAAGTGTTGGTCTTGTGCGAGGGTTGAAATCGCCTTAGCCGGGGCCTTAGGGATTTCAAGCTGAGCAGGCTCTAACCTTGACACCATACACGAGGTCGGAAGAGAGCGACAGGCTTCGTCAAACCCAGAAAGACGATGGTGTGAGGCACAGTAGTAATAAGCAAAAATAAAAAGCCCCTAAATAAAGTACCAGGTGGCAGCAACCGCAGTTCAGTAGTAGGGATTCCGGGAGTAAATAAGCGTGGTATCGTCTGGTAGAATCGCGGGGGCGGTGGGAAACTACTACGAGGCCGCTGGCTTGTGACGGGACAAGGAATGTCGGTAGTGGCAGTGACCTAGGGACGGACTGGTATTACAGTGGTTCGGTGGTGATGGGTAAGTAAGTGTGGTGGTCGAGGTGGGTTGGTGACTGGAGAGATGTGGATGGGGGCTAGCCTGGCCAGAAAGCTGAGTTGTTCCAGCTTGACGGGAGTTAAGGAGCAACGGGAGCAGTAGCAGGTTGTCGTCTGAAGTAGTGCTGAGACGAAGGTTCGATCGTGGCAAAGCGCTTGGTTTTGATCTCGGTCCAAGACTCGGCCATAAAGCGAGCGTCCCTGGAAAAAAACGAGCCAGGCAGGAGGGAGCAAGCAATGTGACCTTGGGGCCTGCCTGCTGCGATGGAAAACCCGACAAGTTGGGCGGAGTCAAGGTGGGAAAATTTCCGGTGGATCAAGCAAAGTGTAAAAAAAAAGGAACAAAAAAAAACAAGCAAAAAGTTGTTCTCAAAGTGGGTAAGCAATTATCAACCCACAATTGGGCGGTATGATGATTACCGGACAATCGTGTTTTTTTTTTCTTTTTATTCCTTCTTGTTTTTCTTTTTTCTTTTTGTCGCTCAATGATAGGGTGCGGTGGGGAGGTCAGTGGAGCTCGTTAATATTTTAGTATCTTTACTCTCCCGCCCAGTGGAGCCTAGTTGGAGGACCGACAATTGCGATACAGATGTACTTTTCGGATTATTAATCCCGCTGGCCAGCTTTTGGCACGTCCGTAGTGTGCGGTGGTTGCTGTCCTGTGCTTTTCCTGCGATCTCTCCGTGTACGCCTCCACCTGCCCAATTCACTGGATCCCCAGCAATAAACCTCCTTCGACACTCTGGAATTGCGTTTACGTGGGCAGGAGAGGATACACGTTCGGTTGTCGCCACTCCTTGGTATTTTTCCCTCTCTTCTCTTCCTTGTGATTTCCTCGAATTCGCAACCCTGGCCGTCTTAACCTGCCTGCGATATTCCCAGGGGTCTGATAGGCCGAAGATGGGAACGAGGGGGGCGTTAATTGGAGCCAAGAGGATGATGTGGGGGGGCTTGCGGTGGTCCTGCTGCTTGTTGTTGTCAGGTGTCGGCACAAAAGGAATTATAACAGAACAGGGGTCTTCTTGGTCGGGGAGGGGGGCTTTGCCGCCACCGATATCCAGAGTAGGAAGATAAAATGGTACAAAAAGGACACCCAAAAGTTTAAAATCAGAGGAAATCGATAACAATCCCAAATTCCAAGCAGCGAGGTAAAATTCAAAGGGGGGACCCACTCTCCGCCCAAAAAAGCTGACCAGACGGATCTTGCCAAAATGTCACGCCAACCAGGCCACAGTCTAGGGTAAACTCAATAAGCCAATGACGAAATTGGCACAATTCCCGCGGTGGATAGGGCTTACTCTGATGATTACTGATGACTCTCATGAGAGAGCAAAGTATGGAAAGCTTTGTCTTTTCCCCCTTCCTCTCGATAGTTTTTTTCGATTTTTCCGAGATGCTGGTGACTTTTCTTCTTCCCTTCCTACCCTAGTGTGGAAAACACCACGCGAATTGGGAGAGCGCGAGAGACTAAGGCAGAAAACGACGGAAGTCAGTCTGATTGAATCTCCGGAGAACGCAGCAACAGCATCATGTTCAGCCCTCGGCCATCTGCGTGGTCTGACGAGTACCTTCGGGCCGGGAGGCCTGTGGGTGATGAGGGGTTGGATCAGGGGGTCAAGGAGGAGAAGCGCAAAAATACTTACAGCAAGCGTGGAACTAACTGCAATAGTCGCAGCGTTGTTTTTGGGGCCTGAGTTGGACTCGTGGCAATGCACCAGGGGCAGAAGGTTAGCGACAATAATGGGCTGAAAAGATGGAGCAAGTTTGCTAACTAGGATGAGAGAGGAATGGTGTGGAGGACTAGGGCGGCGACTAAGGAGGCTGGTGTTTAGTCACGGCTGACTCAGCTCCCAGAGTCTGTGAGTCAGATTCATGCATACCGGGAGGAAGATGGAACAAGTCGCTGGCAGGCGGGATTCAAGGATGAATGAATGATTTCGGATTTCAGTTGGTTTGCCTTTGGTCCTTCAGTCTACGGGCTGTATGCTATCTTTGTCAATTTTATTCCTGCGTATGGAATATAGGCCATTCATAAGCTCCTTCAATCTGTGCTTCGTTACCCTGAAGCGAGCCATCTGGTATAAGGTTTGGTATTACATATGCATAAAATTACGAACCCCTTGCCCCATCCAAAATCGAAACTTCGAATACTTCTTTGCAGAAAATAGCCTGCACCCCTTTGGAAATTTAGCTTAAGGTCATTTTTTATTTATGTCTTGAGTTCTCTCTTCCTTCATATATATATATGCATGAATGAAAGTACCATATCCTCAACTTTGGATGCAATTCGTCGTGCTTGGACGTGTATTCTACAGTTTCAAAACCGAAGGGCTCTGTCAGGGGGTGATCTGCTCTGTGATCATCGCGAGGAAATGTGCTGTCAAGGGACAAAATGAAGGTAAGCAATGAGAGGAATTGATGGCAGTTCAATTTCAATCTCAATTTGTTCTTGTTCACTCAGAACAGGAGAAGAGTGACGCTGATCGCTGGTCCTGCCCCGCCACGTTGCTTGTTCGGACGTTCAATAATATCCAAATCCTCGTGTTTTTCAAACGCTCTCTTTCCTGCTGCCTGCATTTTTATTGATTTTTTTATTTTTTGGCTTGGGAGGCCAATCAAACAGCCCTGCAGGAGCTGAGCGCTTGGAAGCGCTCCACTCAAAGAGGAAGGTCGAAACGCGCTTCGTTGACTGGTTGATAAATGACTTGGAGTATTTCTTCTCTGACCTCCCTCTTGTCCTTTTTCTCTCAGTTCTCCATCTTCATGCAGATCGACTATTCTTCATGGACATCCACACTTCACTTTGTGACTTTGTGGAGAATGAGATCAGCGCACATACCACCAACGCCTCCCTCACCTCCCAGAGTGCCAGACTTCCTGAAGCAGCAGAGAAACCAAAAAAAAAAAAAAGTCAGTTAAAAGCTGCTCAAAAAAGCTGTGGGGCTGCGCGTTCATGGCAACCTGCCAAACAGCAGATTCAAACCCTGCTTGCTTGAAATCAAGCCCCCTGGAAGATTGAAGAAAAATGACACACGTCGTTTACGCGAGGGAAAATGGGATTGTGATATCCGAAAATAATTAAGAGCAAGCCGCAATTAATGTCTTCCTCATCGACTTGTGGATGAACCCAAAAAGTCAGGAAAAAGAAAAAGAAAAATGGCAGAAGGGAAAAAGAAAAGGGATTTCCATTTCTGACAGGTTTGGGGGATTTTTATTGGCGTAATCAGATTGTTTCCTATCCATAGCAGGAAAACAATTGACTGGATGTCTGGCTTTTCCACATGCCTTTCACTCGCTGTATGTTCAGCCTCAGAAAGGATCTTGTGGCTGAAAATAACTTCTGGTGGATAGCGCCCCAAGCACGGCGGGCACCATACCTGACAAGCAGCAACGAAAACAGAAGGAAAACGTGACAACGGTTGCGTTTTCCCCACTTGGGCTCGTTCACATCCCCTTCGATGCTTTTGGGCGCCATCCTTGGGCCTTGGCTGTACGGGCCCTATGAAAAGAATGGACCAAGGAACTTTGCCGTGTCGTCCTGATTGGAGCGCTAAGTTGTTGAATTATCTAAGACGCTAGAAGCTTATGGATGAAATTGGCGTTTCTGGCTTAGACATGGGGCAAAATACGCCCGCGTATTTTTCGTAATTTCCCATACACGTTCGATGGTTCTCCGCTCTTTTTTTTTTCTTTTTTTCTTGGCTTGCCTTTTGTGTTTTGCCGATATCGCTTGCGGCGGTCAAATGCCTCCACTCGGTGCTATCTCAGAGTCGCCAAAGAGGCGCCGCATTCCCACCCCATACGAGGAAGAGGTGGGGGGAAAGATTTGGGAAATTGGAGGACCGAAGTGCCGGCGTTGAAGTTCGGGCATCGGTGGTGGAAGAACTACAGCGCCATTGTATACCTTGTTCCCAGAGAAAAGAATCAAGCCTCAGTTCTGGAAAGATCTAGGCAACGACAAGGGAATCGGGCATAAAGAACAAACTTCTCCCTTGATCTTCGAGAAGGTGCATCCCAACCTCTCCGATAAAGTTCGCGACGGATATATCAGTTGGGGCGAATGGCGAATCCATCTTCTCGGGATCTCGGGGAATGCTCACGACTAGGAATAAGCGTTGCTTTTTTCCCCTCCAAGTCTCCTGTATCCAGCATCAGCAATCTCCACTCCCCTCTCGTTATCAAATGATCATCCATCACCAGGAGCGATCCAGGCAGCTCGTATTGAGAAGAGGTGCTGGTGTACCCCACACCTTCAAAGGTGTCCACGTCCAACCCCCGTAACTTTGCGTTCTCTGCCAAAGATGGGCCCTTGAGCTCTCGGTTTGGGATCCTTGAAGCCCCCTGCCAAGATATACCTTGGAAATGTGAGAACTGGAGGAAATAATCATCCAAAACCCCTCACAGCACCACAATCAAGAGCTGACATTTCAACAGCCCTTTGGTTGTTTTTGGGCGGCGGTGTAGCAAACCCGTGTCTCGGACTTCGTTGCCCCGTCCCCCCCCGCATTGCTCGCACCTGATCAACCACAGGTTGCTTGTTATGATTTGCCCAAAAAATGAGCCTGGGGGGAGGCCGCTTCACGTGACCGACCAGTATCGAGCGGGATTCTCAAGCCCTCCTGGTCGTTGGCGGAGATGAGGCAACCCTGCTCGTGAGGGTCCCGTTTCATCTGCGCAGACTGCACTGCTGCTGACACTACGAGTCGATGAAAGAATGAGGCTCCGTCATCAAGGGTGCGATGATTGGCTCCGTTGTTCCATTTTTCCTCCCTCTGGGTAAGCGGCAGCGATTCCCCGGAGCTGCGGATGCGTTCTTGTGATAAAACTGAGTAGTGAACACTGACCCATCCGCTCAACCAATATGGGATGTTCGATCGTTACTTTTTTTTTTTTTTTCCCAGGGCGGTGCTCAACTTCCATATGCACTCCCTCACTTCTGGCTCCTGGGCTTTATTCTTGCAAATTCTCTCACTCTGAGGACCCATTGCCTTCCATGGGAAAGTGGTGGACATGCCAAATTCATGCTTCCCTATGTCGAGGCGAACCCCGTTTCAGTGCTACCTCCTGCCAAGCAACACCCTCACATCCCCTGCTTTGCATGGGGTGATGGCGTGTTTTCCTTGAAGCTCGCTGCTAGTTTCATGCACGTTGACCTTTAGGTTCAGCTACACGAATACAAGATGTTCCGTCATACTTTACCGTATTCGGCTACATCTCACTCGAAAGAGGGCCTCAACAGCAACTCCCCCGTAATTTTCGTTATTGCGGAAAGGAAAAAGAAAAACAACTCCCGCGCGCCGTGGTAACCAACTCCCGGAATCTGCGATATTTGCGCTTCGCAAGACAGGGTTGTAGGGAAGGGAAAAGCTGACGCGAAAAGCAAATACAGGGGCTAGTTCTCGCTCTTTTGGGGGTGAAGGAGAACCAGGGGGAACCGATTGTCTGCAAATCACCCAGCTCGTTCATCAAGCAGCGTCTTGAATCCCAAAATACAAACAAGTTCTCCATCAGACCGCTCTGCATTGTTATTGATTATTTCCAACCAACCCCCATCACAGTGGATCTCAATAATCAAGAAATAATTCGTGAACTATTAATTTACCATGATGCTGACAACCCTCTTTTCATTAACCATTCTTTTGATAATCTGCATAATGGTAAGATCGGCTCCTCAAATGGATCAACATGATTTCAAGTGAAATGATGCGCGAGTGGTGTACATTATTGTTGACGATTATGCACATTTTCATTTCTTTTCTCACACGAGCCTGGTCAAGAGGTCGCCGAACTTCAACACATCAGCAGGGCCTCGTGAGTAATTGACAACTGATCTTGAATCTGACAATCGTCAAAGCCAAAGATCGTAGGTTTAGCAAAGAAATGTAAAAAGGGTACTAGAGTTTGGTCCAAAGGGCCCTAGAATATTCTATCTTCGATCGATTGATCTCCCAGACCAACGCCGCTCCTTCTACCAAACCATCATCCCCGCCAGCGTGTTGTAGCACGACCATGCTAACTTCTAAGCCCAGGGGCGAAAAAAAAAAAAAAAAAAAAAAAGGGAAAAAGGAAAAAGAAAGAAACACCCAACACTTGGAAGTTGGAACTAAAACGCGGGCACTACCCAAGGCCCTCCCTCTTTTTTAGCTGATGCTTCTTCCACGCGGGTTTCTGTCCAAGCGCCCTGGGCTAGCTGTTGTTCCATACCCCTTTCAGCCTTTCAGCCTTCAAGGCTTTCGTTGAGGAAACCAACGCGGCTAAGGGTTTTAACCTCATGCCTCTAAATTTTTCGGCACGTTCCGAAAACTTGACGCGGAGCGCGCTGCGTAGGGAGTTTAGGAGAGCTACTACTACTCATGGTGACGTGCAGGCCGATGGTTAGGCGTAGGCCTGTTCTCAACAAAACATATTAAATGTCCGAGTGAAAGGTAAAGATTCAAAGCCTATATGGAAACATAACATAGTCACTGGACTGGGAAAAAAGAAAGCTCCGAACGACACGAGATTGTAGAACATCATTCTGCTCGGCTACAAAACAAAAAAAGTACGCATGGGCATTGACGGGTTTTGCTGAATGAGCCCCTATGGCAATGTCTGTTCTATCCACAAACCTTACGCACAGCATTCCATTCCGTACATGGGCATGGATGCAATGTTTGAGCATTCGGTAATTCGTATGCACTTTGCCTTCATTTGGTGATTGGAAACAATAAGCGAAGCTCATCTAAGTTTCGGATCAGAGATTGGACCGGATCTCGAGTCCGCAGCAAAGCACATGTAGAGCGGGTATCTTCATCGCCCTTCCCTTCGCAACCAATCTTTGACAACGAGATTTCAGATCTATCATCCGTTTCCATGTTCCCACGAACTTTGAAGTGTGTTTTGAATGGCGCAATTGATCGAACCAGGTTTTGCCGAAAACAGGGAAGATGACGTGACTGGAAAACAGAGTTGGGGCGGACATTGTTTCCTTGGTCCAGGGAAGCCAGCAGAAAGTCAGATCACAATGCGCCCCAGCAAATGGAGGGAAACAATAATCTGCGAAGCTTGCCCGGATACAATTTGGTTTTCCCACGTCAAATAAACTTCAGGGAGCTAACTCTACCCAATCTCGGGCCAGCGATGAACCAAAGTTTTGGTTTCAGGCATGGATGTGCCACCATACCGCCCCCTTGTACAGTACATTGCATGTCCCATTCACGGAGAAGAATAAATAAAAAAATATGAGCGCATCCGCGTGACTCTGCAGCCCGCATCGCGCATGTCCCGTGGGACTTGGGCCCAGGGAAAATAATCATAATCGTAATCGTAATCAAAATAGGGGAGAAAGGAGAAAAGGACCCTGGCACCCTGAACCCTGGAACTCAACTGGCTGTACTCCGTATTTTGAGGATTGAGAAGGATCAATGGAAAGAAAAAGGGGGGTTGCTTGCGCGTCCACGGCGAATACTCTGTAGAATCGAGATGTAGCTTACACTGTCCCCCTCTTCGCCCCAAAGCCCCATCCAGGGCGTTTTGATGAGGATGATGATGATAATGATGATGATATTTCCAGCAGTTTTCAACAAAACAACAAGGTGTTCACACAACGATAGCCACTCATCGACATTGGGAGGCAACCAGTGGGCGCTGCGGACACAGCCAGGTAACTAACTCACTTCTGATTGGTCTTTCTCGGTTTTCGGTTTTCCCTTTGTTTTTTGCGATTTGTGAGCAAAACAAGGAAAAATGATCCAGAGGATGCTCCAGACATCAACGGGCGTTGGATTTATGCAGGAGCATCCCTTTGGCTGCCGGTATTGGTCAATACCAAAATTACGAGACAACCTCGCTTGTTTGACGTTGCAGCATGGGCTGAGATGGTTCAGACGGGGAGTTGGGGGTTGAAGCATGCCCATTTCTGCGCTCTCTGCATGGGTATGGGTCTCTCGAGTCTCTGGTCCTGTTGACCGAGTCAGTCGAGAAGTTGGCGTTCCTGGGCCGGAGGGAGATTCTTCCAAGCGACTGCTTCTCCGGCTTGCTTTCGACAAGCCTGGAGCGCATGGACAGCTGAATCCTCGTGTGCTGTGTACAGCAATCGACGAAGGGAGAAAAACTGCCGAAGAATACGGTGGTCAAAGCACGTTTCTCATCCAATAATGAACGGAGATAGTCGACTCCTCTGGCGAAATGGTGCATTCACGGAGTTCTCCGTATGGAATCCCGTCATTCAATTATTTTTTCTCCTTTCCGCCATAAGCCTGACCCCATGGGTGGAAAGCATGAGGAGAGGAAAGGCCTGTCATGTTGTTCTGCTTTCCTTCTTGGCCTCATCATCCCTGCCTTGACCCTCTCCACCAGAACGAAATAGGAAAATGGACGCGAACTTGTCGTTGGAGCGGCGTTGATGCTCTCATCAACCAAGCTGACTCTCTGCTCCAAAAATACCTGGAGTGCCGATTATGGATGATTACATGCACAGATGTTCAGTGTCATTTCTACTTTTTAACAGGCCTCGATCCCAGTGGCGGACAGCTCCAACAAATATATCTAAACCCTGATGCTTGCCAGCACCCCTGGACCCATGGGTTCAATGTCAAGACTGGCAGCAGACAGCGTCAGATGTGACGTCAGGTGGAATTCTATGGGTGTGAGAATCATTCATTGTTCTTGAACAACACAACACACAGGTGGAGGCTTGTCTCAAGAGACCTTGGAATCAGAAAAAAGAATTTCAAAATGTGGGCAAAGAGCACATTCAACGACCCATATTAACCCACCCGTGGAGCAGATGAGGCGTATTGGCGCCTCAATTCCCTGCAGAACACCTCTACGAATTTGATTTTGATTGCCTGAGATAGAGAGGCAATATGATGAAATGATACATCGCATTGTATCAGCAGGCCCATACTCAAAAACTAGCATTCTTCATTTTACACGGTGGAGTGAAGTTTTTCGCAGTGTCACCGCGAAGAGTGCTCTGCCAACATATCTTGGTTCTTGAAAGGGTTAGCAGGTTGGCTGTATGGCCTTGCGCGCTGCATCGACGCTGCTGCAGCCTTATCGACCCATTTCACGGAGCGCATTCCTGCCAAACGATCCCATTGACCTTGACGTCCTGCAAGGCCGGTATATCCTGAACCCGGTGCTGCCAATACGAGAAAATTGCATGAAATAATGATAAAAAAAGATTACACTCTACGTATGACTATAATAGTGATTGTTGTAAGAAACTGCGCTTGGCTGGCGACGCGCCTGCTTGCGCCGTAAATATTAATCACCGTTTCAATTATACATGCATAAACTGAGCAAGGCTTCATATAGCTCTGACGTTCGTTGTCACTCACTAATCCAGCTACCCTCATTCCCTGGTGAATCTACTTGGTTTGATTCAAAAAAGCAACACATGCGCAAGAATACCCTATTTCGTTATATCGTCTCCTGCTATCAATGGTGTCCGTACTGCAAGCACGGATACCAACCACCAAGCATCATTACTGCTCCACGGACACAGAGAAGATATGAGCGCAACCTTCAATGAAACATACAATCAGCGCCTCATGAGACAAAGTTCATCACCCACAGCTTCACCCTTTCTACCATGCCTTGGCTGAAAGAGCGCAGAACAACTTAACCCAGCGTGAACTCACTACCCTCGTATTACACGGAATGCAGCCTCTACGCTCACAGACGAGCGACTACTATCCCACATCAACCACAGACACCAACCTCCTGATCACTGGCCCCAAATTCCAACCTCTGTAGGCGCTCATATTCCACCCCAGCGCAAAAAAACGAGTGCTCGAACAGCCTACACATGGGGATGATCTCTCATCATTCCTATGTTTCAATAAGCAGAGAACAGCGCCCAAGGAGCACAGCTGTAAACTTGTCTCTTCACTCCGTGTTGGAGCGTAATGGGCGAACCCCTTTCTGTAGAGGAGGTATGCTGGCCATAGAGCAACACTGATAGCATCTCTATCTAGCAGCTCAGGACTCGGCGTAGGGAACAAACACTGAAATGGTGACGGATGGTTCTGTGATTGATCGCAACACTCAGAACTACCATAGGGAAATATAAAATAAGAACGTGTGCAAGAATAAGAGTTTGGTGTCTCGAATTCTTCATCTATCTTTGTCCTTTACTGTACTAGTTAATACATCCATTTTGATATCAAAACCTATCATCAATATTGAAAATGTTTAGGCTCGGGCGCGTATCTGACCTTTCCGAATGAAGGAACTTCAGATTCCACCCTCTCCAGTTCAAACGCATTCTTTCTTCTTCTTTTTCATCTGGGTATATACTAGATTTCTTCCATTTACCATTTACTCAATGATATACTTTGATTATTTCATATTGGAATTCTCATGTGGTTGGGAGGTTTTTATCTCTATGTACTGTACGTACCGTTATATATATGCGGATATACGTTCCACACATATATATATATATACATTATTTGTGCCTATATTATATTGAATAGTTATTACTCTAGGATCACGCACATTGAGAAAATTATATCGAACCGATCATTATCTGGCAACTACGACATACATTCCTTTCTCTTTTTGTAAAAGAGTAGTTAAGTCAATTTTGCCTCTGATCAAAACCTGTTTTGTGTGAACATATAGACAACTAGATAATAAATAGTAGTGAAAGAGAAGCAAGCAGGAGTCCAATTTCAGGCACACTTAAAAATCACAACGGCAATACTTATTTATAACCTCTGTATGGAAGAGCAACCAAGCAAGTAAACAAACTAATCAATAACCGAGCCATTTTTAAAAAAACGTCGGTCATGCTACAAACCTAGGCCCGTGTGAGAGTTACTACTGTTGCTCATCGCCGAAGCAATGTAAAGCAATAATAACGTATCGAAATAACAAAATTGATGGCAATCGGAGACAAAAGTATTAAAGGCGGTAGGGAGCAGAAAAAAATAAGAAAAAAGGAAAGTCGAGTCTAAAATCAATTTTCGCCAGAGACATAGGCACGCATAAAAGTTGCGTAGCCCCATTTTCATCCTCTGGAAGCGCGAAGGGGGAAAAATACACAGGAAGTTATGCAACTGGGAATGAAGTAGGATAAGAAGACGCGAAAAAGAAATTTAAAAAAAAAAAGCGTCGTCCGTGGCATGGTAGCCAGTTCGAAACGCGAGGTCTATCAATATCATGAAAGAAACGCCGTCATGATGAGTATAAATATCTCTAGCAAAGAGAAGAGCAGGAAGGTATCGATGTCGATATCGGAGAGAGATATCCCCATTTGTCTCGAGGACGGGGGAGCTGGACAAGGTCTACTACGATACGATGGCTTGATGCGGCTGCATATCAAGAGTTATTATGGCCTTACCAGCGGCGATTATTGCCCAAAGGTGCGGCATTTGAAGCGGTGAAGCCACCGCGACCGCGGCCACGACCACCCCATCGGTTACCGCCGCCGCCGCCACTGCCGTAGCGGGCCATTTCGGCAAGGCGAGGATCGATCTGCTGTTTAGATTCAGAGAGAATAGCAACCAGATCACGAGCCTGCTTAGCATCTATTTTTTTTAAAAATTAGCATCATGTTTGATACCCGCGGCAAGGATGGGGGAATTCGAGTAAAGTAAACGTACTGTCAGTGGTGAACAGGGTAATTGCAGTCCCCTTGGCACCAGCACGACCTGTCCGGCCGATTCTGTGAACATAATCTTCCGAATTATTCGGATAGTCATAGTTCAACACATGAGTAATATCGCGAACATCTTCACACACACTTAATGTTAGCGAAAGCGCACAATTGAGAAAGCAAATGGCCTGAGCCCTTTTCTCAGTCGTGTGAGACTTGATGCATCACTCTCTTCAATCTGTCGAAGATTCATATTTCAATTGTCCATGGGCTGGAAATGAATCGTGGTCCTGGAATAACCTTGGAAATGCAGCTTGAACAAGTTCAAAAGGAGAAGAACTCTTGTCTCCCTACTTGAAGAGACTACACAGTAGAGAGACGTAATCAGAAGCACTGTATGCTACACTGCAAGTAAGTCCAAGGTTCCCTCGGGACGAGAACCAACGATAAAACCGGAAAGCCGGGACGAACCATGTTTACCAACATGTTATAGAGTAAAAGCATTGGGTCATGGTCACACGACATCAATACGGGTTGGGGAATTCAATAACAGGGTACTGGGGAAGGGAGTATTGGGGGAGACCAAGGTTGCAGATTCATCATACCAATACCACGGGAAGCCACATCGGTGGCAACCATGATGGGGCTTTTTCCGGTCTTGAATTCGTTCAAGACCCAATCACGTTCATTTTGTTGTTTGTCGCCGTGGATAGCTATATACATAGTTAATACAATAGTGGAAAGATATAGATAGACCAAACTTACAAAGCGCAGGCCATCCATCCTGCCGGAGGAATCGAGTGATGTCATCAGCAACACGTTTAGTTCCAGTGAAAATGAGGACTTTGGAATGTTTATTGTCCTCCATAATACGGTCAAGATGCTTCGCCATGCGATCACGTTTCTCGAATTCTGAAACAATTTCCACGATTTGAGTAATCCTGTGGTTAGCAGACAAATCCATAGAGCCAATATTGACCTGAATATAGTCGTGGAGGAAGTCCTGGGCGAGTTGCCGGACATCTTTGGGCCAGGTAGCAGACCACATGCAAGTTTGTCGGTCAGGACGAATTTGTGAAACAATTTTGCGGATCTGGGGTTCGAAACCCATGTCAAGCATACGATCTGCTTCATCGAGGACAAGGTAAGTAACACGTCGTAGGTTAGTTTTTCCCGCCTCCAACATGTCGATCAACCGGCCTGGAGTAGCGATACAGACTTCGACACCACGAGTCAAGTCACGAATTTGAGGCCCTTTGGGGACACCGCCGTATACACAAGTGTTCCGAATACGAGATGATTTCCCAAATTTCGTAATCTCAGCTTGGATCTGAACTGCCAACTCACGAGTAGGTGCAAGAACAAGGACGATGGGGCCGTCTCCTGGAGCGAGCAGAGGCTGAGCGTTAATGTGAACAATAGCAGGCAAACAATACGTCAAAGTCTTTCCGGATCCAGTTTCGGCAATACCAACCACGTCACGACCAGAGAGGGCCATGGGCCACCCTTGGGCCTGAATGGCCGTGGGCCTCGCAAATCCTTGGGCTTTGACCTCTGACATAACGTATTGCGGGAAGCCAGCTTCATCAAAAGTCTCCACTGGTCGAGGAACGTTTTTGCCTTGCACCGTGATTTCATGCTCTTTGCGAAACGCATCGACCTCCTGAGTCGATCGCTGCGAAACATTAGGGTGTTCTTTGTAGAACGATTTTTCAAATTTGGGCATAGTTGAGAGGTCTAAGGATATTTCAAGTTAGTATTTTATGGAAATTGATAATGTCAGTGGTTGCAAAACATACCCCAATTTTGCGTCTTCAAGCCGGCGCCAAGGTTTGACATTCTGTCACCCCCAGTGCCACCGCCGTAGCCGCCAGCTCCTCCGTATGAGCCATAACCACCGCTGGAGTGCCCGTGCGAGTAACCGTTGCTATTTCCGTAGTTACCACCTCCGTAGCCACCGCCTCTGTTGATCCCGTGTTAGCTACTGTAATGTTGGGATGTCCAAGGACCATGTCGCACAAGTGGCGAACAAGAAGGATCAAATAATCTCTCAAAATCAAGATGGGACATGATGGGACTGTATCTGCTTACCTAGAGTAACCGCCGCCGCCTCCACCACCATAGTGGTCTCGCGAGGAACCGTAGCCTCCACCGTAGGACATGATTCCTGACGAAGATATTGACCTTTTTGTTGGGATAGAGGGAAAAGAACTTGTTGGAAATGAGATGGAAAAAGTATCGCGTTCAGTTGACTTTTATTGGTCTTGGGTCTATCTTGCAAAAGCAACAAATACGGTCTACGCGCAAGAGACGTGAATAGGACTGCGATATGAATCGCGGCAGATAGCTAGGAAGGGACAAGAGAGAGGATGGGAGAGGATGAAGAAAGAAAGGAAAGGAAATTCCGACAGGAAAAAGGCGGCAGAAAAAAAAATAAAACAGGAAGCGAGTGGCGCGCTTGTCCCAAAACAGTTAGTTTAACCAACTAGTCTTTATTAGGAAGTCCTGGGTCTGACTGCTGAGTCATCGTCGTTTCTCCCAACAGCATGAATGTGTGAGAATTGCGTGGATTCGGCTGGAAATATGAAATCGCCGCTTGGTATCCGAGTCTTCCTAGGGGAAATCTCCGCCGAGGGTTTCCCGAGAATTCGAAACAAGGTAAAGCCGAACATGAACCGTGTTCAACTCCGTGCCTTGTCCAACCCAAAGTATATATTGCTAGCGCAGTTAACCGAGAGCTCTATATATCTACTAACTACATCCTTGACGCCCACCCCACTACAGTTGGTCCGCCTTCAGCCCCATGTCCCAGAACCCAATCTCAAGCTCTGTAGCTCGAATGAATATCTTGATCAATTCCTCCATCCGAGTAGGGGACACGTCCCTCATGTGTCGTTCTAGGAGCTCTGTTTTGTCGGGCAATGTACGTTAGGCGACTGTGGCATGAGAGGACTAAACAAACATGGACGGATGCCTTACCAGACCCGGCCTCCACTGCCTTCACATAGTCCTCTGCTACGTAATTTTCAATCCATTTCCAATACCTGTTCCCTGTAGGTGCGGTATTCTCATCGCAATGGAGCCTTTTGGCGATAGCTCCGTATCCAATTAGACAAGGTGAGAGTGCAACTTGTAGAGCTAGCCAGTCCTCCGATTGACCTATGTCGAGTATATATCTGCTGTAGGCAACACATGCTGCCACACGTTCATTAGTATGACCACATACTAGTATATATGTGCGTATGTATGTGTATGCGTATTCCTGAACATCAGGTCAATAATCACCTAGGCTCTCCTTGCAATTTTCGATGTCTTGCTTTGTCAACCCAAATGTTGCGCAGTAATCGAGATGTAAGTTCATTTCGCGTTGGACGTGAAGCACTATTTGCGCAGACTAGATCGTGATCATGCCGATTTTCGGTAGGTCTTTGTCAGAATAATGCTTGAATATGGGCGTGTGACGGTTTCTCTCACCATAGATATTCCGTCGATATCAGTATGTTTCGATGCTGCAAGTGCATTACTCCGCGCAAAGTGAATCTTTTTGTCGAACAGTCAGTATTAACGCAGTCAGGGTAGTTAGCTCTGAACGTTATACCCTACCAAGTAATGGTAATCTTGGATCAGATAGCCCTTGAACTTTTCCACCGGCAGCGTTCCTTTTCCCAAACCGGCCACAAACTCGTGTTCCGTAAAGGCTTTCCATACTGGTTGGACGTCGGGACGATCCAGTATATACTCGACAAATCGGCCGCTGTTTATTTATTTGCTCAACACCAGTTAGTTTTGTGCCTTATCTCGACCCCAGCGAAGAAAAGGTGAAATATTGTTGAGGGGCGACAATTGATACATACGGCGCAAACGGCAGTGAGTACACAGAATGGAAGTGATTAATCGGCCCATTCCCCTTTCCCATATCCACGCTCGTCCTGATGCCGGCCTCGACAAACCTGCAAGCGGCACGAACAGCCCGCACCACATCCATCCCTTGTGCGAGATTTGCTGCAATCGCAGAGGCAAGGGAGCAACCAGTCCCATGGGTATTCTTGAGACAGCTTATCCTAGAGCTTGCAAGGGACCTCGAGCAGGTCCGTCTACACAGCAATGAGCTCAAAAAAGTACGAGGTCGGGTGTTGTTCCTCTCTGAAAACTGGCCGTTAACGGCATATGGCCACCTTTGAGCAAAACATATTTCGGGCCTAGGGTATGGATCTGTTTTGCTATTTGGATCGCATCTTCAAGGTTCTCAGGATCTTTGGTAGCCGCCCCTGAACCTTGGAGCAGTAAGATGGCTTCGGGTATATTAGGGGTTACGATGGTTGTCAATGGAAGAAGTTTCGTCTGGACAATATTCACGGCTTCAGCAGGGAGCAGCTCTGAGCCACTAGTAGATACCATAACCTTCCAAGAAAATCATTGTAAGATATAATTGATATGCATGGATTGGGGGTTGGAATCAGGAAGTCCAATATTACAGGGTCAAGCACGACTTTGGAGACCTTGTGATGCCAGAGAGTGTCGGCCACCATCTCCGCAGTTTCCGCAGATGCCAACATGCCTGCATGGAGGATAGATTGATTAGAAATATGAGGACGATATAATCAATTGGTAAAAGTAAGAGCCAAATATTGGGATTCGAAGTGAGGAGACAGCAAGGGCAGCAAATAAAAGTGCGCTTCCTCATATATACGATGAGACGATAAACATCGAATACTTGTAAAAGGCTAACCAACCTAACTTCACCACATCCGCTCCAACATCTTCCAACCCAGCATTAATCTGCTTCCTTACGAATCCCACGGGGACGACGTGAATATCCTGCACACCTAATGTGTTTTGCGCCGTCAATGCCGTCGTGGCCGTGAGGGCATAGCAGCCATGAGCGGTAAGCACCCGCTGGTCTGCCTCTAGGCCTCTGGATCCATAACAGAGTCAGTCAAATCCGTTCGTGTTTGTAAAGTACTTTGAGTCGTGTTATGAAAGATAATTATCTTATTCAAAGGCGACGTGCAATCGATTTGAAAAGCGACAACGGAAATGAAAGTTTTAATTGAACATACGCTCCACCAGAACTGTCCGAGCCCGCGATTACGAGTACACGCTTTAGTTTCATGTTTCGTATTGATATAGGAGTATTGTGTTTTGTATGTTGGGGAAAAAATCATGGGATTGAAACAAATTCCTTCTGCTTGACATCACCACGAGTTTAATTCTTCGAACTCCCCGCTAGTAGAACAAAACTTTGATGAAGGATGGAATCGAATCAATATCTATCCCTGCTCGGGTTTACATATATCCACGCCTTAAAAAAAAAAAAATAATGCTCAGTTCTTTCCGAATAACAGTACGGGAAATGGATAAAATAAATCATAAAAATTCAATTCTTCTACGCCGTATAGGTGAGTCTGATCATAAAAAGAAGATTAAACTATCAGGAACTGCTGCAAGAGTAGGCACGCGGCCAGATGCTTATTTATAGACAATGGGTATAAGGAGAATGCCTAACAACGAATAGGAAAAAATGGGCTCAAAACAAAACCCCCCAAGAGATCAAGACTTTCATCGTAAAGCAAACCCAAAAAGAACCTCCATGTCAACCCATTGCCGGCCACATTTCTTCAAATACGCGTCCACAACCCCCTTTAAGGTCCCAAAACGTGACCGGTTCCACTCGACCATCGCGATAACCTTGTCCCGCTTCTCTGTATTAGTTTCCTTTGCAGCAGCCTCTTTTGCCTTGTCTACATCCCACAGTCGCGCAAAGTACAGCAGTTGGTTATATAATTGCTTATCCGTATATTCGAACCCCATTTGGCCAAGGCAGCCTTCCGCACGGCCACGGGGTCCCAGACATCGACGACCGTACACACTCATCTGGCGCGTGCGATTGCCGCAGGAGGGGTCATCACAGACAAGCCAGCCTTCATAGTACTTGGATGTTTGAGCGCGTATCTGGGTTTCGAGTTGCGCAACTATAGATATAACAGAAAATGGTTTCCCGCAGGTTGAGCTGGGACATATGAGTCCGTTGGCAGTGCACATCTCTGTTGACAGACACAGACCTTCGAAACAAGTTCGTTCGTGACAGAATCGACAGCGAAGTGTCAGCCTGACGGCGTCTTTGAAGCGGATAGAATCTGGGATTTGCGATTCGAGAGGGAATATTTCCATGTTCTGTTGATCGCGGGAGCTGGAAGTATTGATTTGGTACTTTTTGACATCAAGACCGAGGCATTCCGCGAGTCGCACCGCGTCAGTGCCTGGTATAGGGGCACAGAGTCGTTCAATTGGAGGGAATATTTGTTTGAGTAGGTAATATTCAACGTCGGGTTTGAGGCCGGAATCCGGTTTCACCACATCTTGCAATGTGTACGATCGCTTCGCAGGCGCTAAGGAAGACGTGTCAGAGTCTCCAGTGGTTACGATGTAGGCAATAACATCGTTTGGACGAACGGTCTTCCCTCGGGCTAGCTCTCTCAAGGCTACTTGTGCTGCGGGCATAGTCTCCTTGTTGGGATACTCGTTGGGGCGTTTTGACAATTTCTGGAACATGGTGTTAGTTGGATCTCAGTTTTCTACAGCACAGCGAGGTATTACAAACCATGTATATAACATATTTCTGCAAGGGGATTGAATATTCCTTCATTTTTTCCGTAATGTCGCGGAGGTAGTCGTGCACCTTGGTAAGAACCACATCTGAATCTTCACCGGACAAGATCTCATGCAGAAGTTTCGAAGAAACCTCCTTAGATAGAGCGCAGTACTCTCGTCTTTTCATGTCCAAGCCTTTGACTTCGAGTTGCTCGACATACTTGCCATCAACCTCGGTCATGTTAATAGCCGCATACTTCTTCTTTGCATGTAGAAGGAGGCGACGGAAGACATTATCAATGTCAATCTCGAGCAACTGGTATCGTTCATTTACTAAACGTTTAAAGGTATTGCCAACTTTTAGTGCGTCCTCCATGTTGTCTGCATTGGTGTTGATCATTACGGAGTCAGTGTCACCGTAAATAACTTGCAGCTGGTTGCTCTCCGCAAGCTCTTTTGTACTTCGAAGAATCTCGCGACCTTTAAAGGTCGTAAGCATAGCAAGTGGTCGAGCGTAGAATCGAGACTGCGTGTAACCTAGACACCCGTACATAGAGTTGGCCGTGAGTTTTAATGCCATTTGCTTGGTGTCCCAAAGTGCAAGATCCTCAGGACTTGCGCGTTTGTCTTTCATGAGTTTCTTGACTTCGCGTCGACGGTTGACAAGAGTTGCAATGAGTCGCGGGAGAATTCCCATAGATTGGGCCTTAGGAACTTCAGGAACATTTTCCTGATTTTCATTTTCGACCTAGAAAATTACCCATTAGCAATCATGTTTTTGAACGAGATAGGAAAGAATAACTCACAACTGATGTCCGGTCCACAGTTGTAAAACAGATGTTGAACTCTTGAATAATGCTGGGGTACAAGCTATTGAAATCCATGACAAGAATGTATTTGTCGTAGAGGCCTTTCTCGGGCTCAAACACCAACCCACCCTTATATTTGTCCTTCTTTTTCTTGTCCGCTCCATCCTCGTCTTCCTCATTCGCTTGTGACATCTGTTGCTGTTTACCTGCATACTTGTCAGGGCAGATGTACTTGTTCCGATAGAATTCATGCAACAAGATATACTCGTTCCGCTCAGCCCTGGTACCGCTCAAAGTCCTCGCCCACGAATTTCCTGCCAAGTTCGTGAGCACTTTAGTCAGGGGAAGCATTTGAAGCCTAAGAACGAGTGCAGCAATAAAATAAGTATCAGCTTCACAATGGTTGGTGTAATTCATCAGCCCCTCCTTTGAGGTTGCCCAGGATTTTAATGCTGCTTCATTATCGATGTCCCGGCGCAGATTGCCATCTCCAAGATACAATTGACACATCTCCGTTAGGCTCCACGATTGACATTTCAACATCAAAGACTATGGACAGTTAGCTAAAAGATAGATTTAAGAGAAATACGGGTAAAATTTACCTTCCCCATCTCATTGGCAATGTCACAAAGCAGTCTTCCAGCTACAAGTTTCCTTTCTGCAAAGAAACTGGAACCTCGCGACAGGCTTTTTGGCCATTCACTTCTCTTCAACCTCCCAATGCGATGCCAACCAGGAGTCTTCTTTTCAGACAACCTACTCAGGAAAATGTTAAAATCGACCTCTTGTAGTTGATGACCCATAAGGACATCGGGGTCCATCTTCTCAAACAGAGCCATGAACTTGCTGAGTAGAAATTGCTCGCTTTTCTCCATCATCAATGTGCCGCGATGTTTCCGTGTTTCGGCTTCGAACCCAATCGGGTAGTTATGACCAGAAGGCCTCATCACTGTAAAAGTCTTGCAAGGCAATTTTTCAGCGGGCGTAGTATCAGTAAGCAATACATTCTCGTAAACACGAGCGCTTGCAACTAAGATTTCTTGTTTGTTATCTTTCACATTTAGTTGCGTTCGGAATGCCAGGCTCATCAGCGTCAGTCGTGGGATTTCCAAGCTGTCGGAGTTTGGAGCCACCGTGATAAGCTTAGGCTCGGAGACCTGGCATTCTAATTTGCACCATGATGCCCCATTCACGGCAGTGAAGTCGGCATCTTCGAGTTTAAGCCAGCAAGGACCCATGATATTTTTCCAGAGCACAAACTGCTCGAAGAGTGCCGTATTAGTTCCGAAAACGCGAGAGAAAGTCTCCCCCTTGACATCAAGAGGGAGAGCGGGTTTGTCATAAGAATACATGACTTTAAGATATTCCCCCTCCTTGGGAACGTCAGCGAGCTCGAATGCATATTTCCTTGTCGATACTTTGCTCTTGTGCGTGCCCGCCTTCGTCCGCGACATAAGGTCATCCACTTCGTTATAGACATCTTCCATGTCGATTTCCTCTTCCGTTTCACGGCCATGACGTACTCGGTATTTCCTGGGAAGAAAGTAAAGTTTCCGTAAGACATTGTCAATTTTAGCAAAGGCGCTCACGTAGGCCCCTGTTTTCTTATTTTTAACTTTTCCAAAAAGACATAGGCTGCCATTGACTTCGACATAATCTAGCCAGAAGAATAGGAGACTTCCGTTCTCCTCAATAGCATCCTGGGCGGCAAGTTTACCAAATGTCTTAAAGTCAGTAGTTGCTGGGCTGCTTAAAACGTTTAATTTGCTCGTGACATCGTTCCAGGACGAAGGATCAATGCCATCTGGATTAGCTCTAAGAGGAGAAGAAGTTGCAGGAGAAGGATATGTCGGCTCCTTGACTTTTGGAACCGGTCGTTTGCCCGTCATATTAATTCTAGCGCCATTTACATCGTGGTGCGCAGTCGTTTGTGTAACCGCCATTAATTCATCCTCTTCCTCCTCTTCTACCTTGATATTATTCGTGATTTTCCGATCAACGGCCCGTGCAACTGGAGATGATGGTGTTGGATCACTCATAAACACGTCGTCATCGTGTCCAGCATCCAACCACGTAGAATCATTCTCCGGATCCAATTCTGCTTTGGGAGCAATTAGTGGACTGGATGTATCGTTTTCTTTTCTGTCCTTTGGTTTCTTGGAGGCCGAATCCTGAGAAGGAGGCGGTGATAAGATCCGAATTTTCCGCCGCGTCTCCGATTTCACTGTCTTTTTGGGGGGAAGACGAGAGGGGAGGGGCTTGGTGTCGACTTCTTCAAGGAGGCCTGCCATAAATGCTTCATCTTCAGCAGTGGCAACAGGCTAAAAGACGCAATTAATAAATTAAATCTTAGCCCAGCCACCCTGTTAGCAATGAAGGATTTCCGTTGACATACCTTGGGTTTTGAGGCTTTGGACGTTGGGCCGGTGCTGAAGTATTTGCTAATACCATTGTTAATCTTTTCCTTCCTCTGTTGGTCCTCCTCTCGTTTTCTTTTGGCAGCTTTGCCCGTCAATGGTAACTCATCGCCGTCGCTGTCACTGTAGTAGTGTTTCGAGTCGTTCCATTCTTCACGTCCATCGTCCGCATATCCTTCTCCAGTATCGTCAATCACGAAATCATCCTGGTCAAGACGCTTCCGCACAAGTTTCTTGTATCCGTCTTCATCGATTTCATCGTAAATGTCCCCTTCGTCTTTGACTTCGTAAGTTGCTAGGCGTTTCTTTCCGGCGGCTCTGAGTGCCTTCAATTCGGCGAGCTTCGCTCGAGCTGCGGCCATTGGGGAGAATAAAAGTTTTCAATGGTACTTGGAAAATGTCATTAAACGAGAAGAAGATATGAGAAAAGCATAAGACTTAGAATACTATGCTGTCACCATTGTACCGTCATAAACATTTGCGAAGATATGAAGTTGGCTGAAGGCACGCCTCGGCACGCGAGGCCCTTTCTACGCGTGAATCTACACGCTAGTGCGCGTTCCAGTCCCCACACTCCGGGCACATCAAACTACCAACAAAATTTCAATAAATGGGCATAGATTCCAGAACCCGAGAGGTATGAAGAACACAAACCTAGTCTTAGGATAGCTTCTCAACAATTGCATTTGTTTCGGAGACCGCGTTACTTTATTAAAAAGAATGCTTTGTATTCCAAAAGGGATCATCGCAGATTCCGCAATAATTGTGAAAGAATATGAAAGAAAAAGAGTGTAACAAACCAGGATCGGGTTGTTCAAAATACTCGGATTTCTAATTATTTTTGATTTGAGAGATTGGATTTAAAAACACGAAATCCTTGATAAGTCCCATAGCCCGCTAAAAAGAAACCTTAAGTGGAAAAAACAACCCATGAAAAGAGACGTGCTCGTCAAAATAAAATTTATGCCCCAATTTTTATGTGTTTAGTTCATTTGCTTGATAAGAGCATTAATGTTCTCCTCACGGTTACCGACATCGCCACCTTCAACGTAGTGCTTGAACTTGCGGGATCTGAAACCACCAGTGGGGTTGGAGAGCTTGAAGGGCCACAGGAAGTTGGAGGCCTGCTTGAAGTTGGGGCCGACCGTGTAGATCTCATGAATCAGATCCTCCATGCAAACGATGCCGTACTTTCCGAGGTTTTCCTCAATGATCTGATTGTCGGTGAGGGGAATACGCTGCTTGTTGACCTTTCCATATCCACGTTTGTAGATGAGTTCGCGGACACTTTTCAGGTTAGGATAACCGTAGGCAATGTAGGGGTTGACGATAGTAAGCATCTCCTGAGTGGCTTTGGTAAGACGGACGAAGACGCCATTGTTGATCTGGAGGAGCCGAAGAAGCTGCAAAATCTTGCGAGGCTTGGGGGCAATCTTGTTGATACTGTGGTGGCCAAGTTAACTACTGGTTGAATACTAAGTAGTCCTCGGGTTGATATGGCGGGCTTACCCCTTGATACGGACAACGAAGACAAGCTTGTGTTCAGCGGGTACTTCGAAGTTGCCCTGCTGCTTGGCTAAACGTGCAAGACGGATCTTCTCGCGCTCTGCATCGCGGTACTCTTTGACGTACGACTCCGCGCGCTTGAAGATAACAGCACGCTTCTCCTTGTTGGCCTGTTGCAGAAACCCAAAGTTAGCACGAAAAATACCAAAGAAGTGGCTCTGGTAAGTGTTGATGACTAAAGAGACGGTTTCAGCCCCGAAAGATGGTTAACAAAGCGACAACATCGACCGCTAGGTCTAGTCGCGAAGATTGGTATTTATCATCATATAAGTCCCATTTCCCTCGAACACACACAAAAAACAAAGAAAGATAAATAAATAAAAAATATAGATTAAGGAATGCTGGTAGGGTTAAGAAGAGAAAACTCCTCAAGAACATACCTTTTTCCGCTTGATGAGCTCCGCGTTGGCCGCAGCTCTAGCCTGCTCCTGACTCTTGCGCTTCTTCAGAAGCGTCTCAGGCACGAGGATTTGGTCCTTGGTTGGTACGGAGCTGATTTCCCAAAATAATTGGATTCAAGGTCAGTATAGTCTGTCCAGGACAAAAAGTACTTGGAATGAACCTCGTCGAGTGGAAGAACTGCAGCATATAGCGCCACATTCTCGGACTGAAGCTGTTGGGAAAGGGGAAAAACTCGACGGAATGTATTTGATCAGTGAGATACAGAGCTTGCGGGGGTTTTCACACGCTATTACTACTAACCCCAGCGTCCGTCACACCTCGCAGAGTGAAGACATGGTGCTTTCGCGAATAGTTCCCCAGTCTGAAAATTTCTCATCCGACAAAACCCAAAGCCAATGGCTCCGGAAAAAAATGCTAGCCTAGCATTCATTCTCGCGATAGTTCCTCCGAGCAGGAAATATTTTGAGGTTCAGTAGCGTGGGCTAGCAATGGTTTTCAGGGAGAAGGCCGAGCCTTCAACCCCAATATCCCGACACACATTCTACCTCTATAACCCGGTCAATTTGAAAAGGAAGAGGTAAGGAAAGGCGTCAGGATTTGATCGAGCTGGCGCTGAGCATCAAAAACGCAGGGCAAATTTGACGTCTGGCGTCTCCAGCGAGAAGGACGAACTATATCTGAGCCTGCACACACACACACACACGAATATCAGCGGGAAAGAAATGGGAGGGAAGCATACGTAGCCATGTCGAAGGAGGGACGTTTGTCGTCTGTTGGCGATTGGAATTGTCGTGCCGATGGAGTCTGTCGAGGTTCAAAAAAGCGACAAGCAAAATGTTCAAGAGCGAATGAGTTTGTGGGTGCGCATGTATACGCTAGTATATATTAAGTTAGTGTCACTCCCAGCAACTGAAGATTAGGGCTATTATGTCATCCTCTATAACATCCCGTCTATCGCTCGAGGAGGTTTACGTTAAGTCCAACACCAACGGCTATCTATTCTATATATCCTGTTCAAACACCACATATGTCTACCCGTCGCGGCGTCGGCCTTGGAGCCTTCGTAAACCGCAACCAGTCGGCACAGTCATACGCCACCCACGGTGCCAACCTCCGCACCACCCACCTTACCTCCCTCCAGAATCAACTCTCGGTTTTCCAATCTCTTCTCCATTCTTTTGCCCTTGAGCACGCCTCAACCATTAAATCGAATCCAACCTTCCGCGCTGAGTTTGCGCGCATGTGTCATGCTATCGGGGTCGATCCTTTGGCAGCTAGCAACGTAAAGGGCAAAGGGAAGAAGGGTATTAGCATACCTGGTTTGGGTGAAGGGGGTAGTTTTTGGACGCAGATACTAGGCGGTGATGTGACCGATTTCTATTTTGAAGTTGCTGTGCGTGTTGTGGAACTTTGTCGAGAAACCAGAGGGGAGAATGGTGGCCTTATTGGAGTTGAGGAATGCAGGGCGCGGGTGGGGAGGGGTAAGGCGATTGGCGGGGGCCTGGAGGTTTCTGAGTGAGTTTTATTCTTTTCTTGTAATCCATTCCTTACCACTTAACGCTTGTGAAAGACTACGGTGAGAATTCGGGAGTATGCAAATAGTATATATTCACATTGTATTGACTTGACGGGGACCAGAGACGACATCCTTCGCGCAGTCAAGTCCCTCGAACCCCTTGGATCAGGATTCGCAATTATAAAAGTTGGCAGCAAACAATTCATCCGCTCAATACCCAAGGAGCTCAACACAGACCAAGCCACAGTACTGGAAGTGATTCAGATCCTTGGTTTCGTTACTGTCTCGATGCTGCAGCTTAATTTGAACTGGGAAAAGGCGAGGTCGCAAACCGTCATTGACGACCTTTTGGCTGATAGCTTGGTTTGGGTTGATACTCAGGGCGCGGAGAAAGAATATTGGTCGCCTCAGAATTTGCTTGATGATGGCGATTGAATTAAGCCGTGTCATCTGCACACGTTACAACCGTCTTGCAAAGAAAGGCGCTCAAACGCTGGAAGTCCTTTTGCTGTTTCCTCTAAGCCCTCGGGAATATAACGGTCGACGATGGAGGGTAAACTTTAGCTTGATAGGGGATGGAGCGTCAACACCTGCCGCGAAAGTCTACTACCGCGACCACGGCCCGTTTTCGAGGCAGTTGGATTCGCGCAAGAGGGCAGAGCGGCATGGTAATCGCATTTGTGCGTTTGGCGGCGATAGCAGCCTCCTCCAACATCCTTCAACAGGGGAACTAGGGCGCTTCCGGGTGGATGGAGGAGGAGGAGGAGGAGGAGGAGGAGGAGGAGGAGGGGAATCTGTACCTGCTCAGACGAAGACCAGGTATTATTTTCTCTGTTGAAACATGTATGAGATAGAGAATACACGATCTTCTATTTGCGGATATACAGTTTTTTCTACAAATGTGTTTATCTTATCCAATGAAACGGGGAGGCCGGTGCAGCCGGCATCTTGTTGATTTTAGTAAACCTAGAAACAATAGCAGTCAACTTACGCTAGAAGATACAAGATTAGTGGCCAATAAGTGTAGCCGCTACTCAACTTTAACCAAACACTTATGAATCCCTTGGAGGCTTTCCCGATGAAGCTCTGGAGCTAGATAGCGGTCTGCTCGGCAACAAAACATAGGCAAAACGCCTGCCTAGAATATCTAGGTTTAGAATTGACCACATAAACTCGACTCTATTTTATTTTTTGAAGCTACAGCACACAGCTAAAAAGAAAGCAAAAAGCAGTAGCCACCGTTGTAACAACATGAATATAAAATGGAAAATTAAAATCCGCAACGGAATAAGAGTCCAGTGAAAGAAACATCAAAGGCGTAGACGGGAAGAAAAAATTAGAAAAAAAAATTGAACATCGAAAATAATGGACATAGTCATATTCGTATAAATTGGAAAGTGGAAACCGAGCTGAAGGGAAAAAGAAAGAAAGAAAAACAAGTTATGCTTTGATCGCTCCTCCCAAAGCTCCACCACCGAACTGTTGCCCGCCGGGTCTCCGTGGCAATCCACCACCAGAACCTCCTCCACGACCAGCACCACCACGTCCACCGCGACCACCACTTCTTGCACCACGACCACCGTGTCCCGAATCGCGCTGGAAGGCATTGGCCATGCCCTGCGTCCGCTGTTCAAGGGTCTTCTCATTAGCCTCAAGCAGCGACATGGACTTGTCCGCTAGCGTAACGATCTGGTTCTGAAGTCTGGACAGCTCAACGCCCTTGCGGAAGATGATAGCGTCATTGACCTGGTCGAGGGCCGCGGCCAGTTCTTCGTGCGATATCATACGGCTGACAATAGCGGCGATCTTCTTGGGAGACAGCTCGAACATGTCTGCGAGAGTGGAGATGGAGAGGGAGTCATAGTACGGGGCGTAGGTGAAGAGGTAAGTACGCAGCCCCTCTTCCTGGATCTGCTCGCCGAGCATTGTCTTGATTTTGTCCGGTTGCGCCATCAAGTCCCAGATCTTGATGGAGTTTAGGGTTGCTGCAGCCTTCTTCCAATCGCCTGCAGCGAGCGCTTTGGCACTCATGATGACGCCGTCGCGAGTGTTTTCGGGTGGTCCATTAAAAACTTGGCGCTCGTTGTAGTCGAGCATGCGTCGGAAGGTCTTGGAGATGATGCGCCGCTTCAATTCGGGGGACGAGGAGGTTTGCGCCATCAGGGGAACTTCGAGAAACATGCTTGACGTGAGGTAGATGCACTCGAGAAGTTCCAGGTTGATGTGCATGTGGAAGGGGAGTTGGCGTTGGCGTTCGAGTTTCTCTTGTTCCGGGGATACGGACGAATAGCGCTGCATGATGATACCTTGAGCCAACAACTCCTTTTGTCTGCCACTGCCACAGACTTCGGAAAGAGTGTTTTGCGCTTCGTAGATTAGTCCTGCGCGGAACGCACAGAGACCGATCTGCACAAGTGTTCGGTTAAAGAGGATTTGGGTGCTGACATCGAAGTTGGAAATGTTTTCTGTGAGATGAGACATGAGCATTAGATCGCGGGCACGGTGGTATTTATCGTGGAGTGCAAGAAAGTATATCTGACACAACATAGCTCTGGCGCGGATAATGCCATCGCTATGCGCGAAGAGGTAGTTGCAGAGAGTTTGAACAAGTGCAGGAACATCGGTGCTGCCGTTCTTGCGGGGAGTGATGTTCGAGTCAAGCTTCGCTGGGAGTGTTGTCCAAGTGTTCTCTTCAAGGATATTGACAACTTGAGATGGTTTGAAGTAAACATGCTCCAGGCGCCTCATCAACACTCTGTTCACGCTCTCTTGGCGGGCTTCAGTCTTCTCGGCCTTGTTAAGCACTTCAACGTAGAGTAATGTCCGTACAATATTGTTATACAGTGATTGCTCATCGCTGAGTCTTTCGATATATTCTGCGGTATGAGGATCGATGTGCTGAAGCGATCGAGTAAGTTCATCATCTAGCCGCTCCACGAAAGATACAACACTTCCAGGTACTTTGAGGGTTTCGCCAGGAGCAAGCTGAGGCTGTTTCTCATCATCTTCCCACTCTTCTGCACCTTCAGTGACAATGAACTCGGGGTACTCTTCAAGGGTAGATATCAGAGTTTCCAGTTCTTGTACGGCGAGTTTCCATTGTTCTGTGCTCATGTAGTTTGCGGTAGAGGAGGAGGTAAGATCGAATCGAGTAGATATGAGAGTCAACAGAACGCGGATGGACTGATACGGAGTCGTGGCAACCTCTTGTAACCTTTCCATAATTTTGATCTGCTCAAGACGGTCGGTGTTCTTCTTTCCTCTCGACTCGACGATAAGCCGTAGGTGCTTGAGGATGCTCTCGGGAGTATACTGCAACGTCCTTCCGCCGCGGCCAACAATGGCAAAACCCTCTTCATCACCACCCAACAGATCCTCCGGTCGTAAGGCGCGAGGTTTATCCTTCTTCTCAACAACCTCTTCTTCCTCTTCCTCAACCATGTAATCCTTCTTGTTCGCACGATATTTATCGATCTCCGCAGCATATTCCTTGTTATTCTTTTTGATACGCTGCTTGACGGCATTAAAACCCTTAGCATTGCTTGCATTCATTTTCTTCGTCGATGATTTCTGCTCCGTGATGGTCTCGTTCATAAAATCCTCAAGATCGGCGATAGCTTTGATATAGATCTTAGGCGTAGATCCCGACTGAACGATTTTCACAATCTGCCGATTAAGCTTATCGAACTCTGTTCGCACAGAAAAACAAAATTACATCATCCAAGTCAGCCCTTTGGTCCTCTCGTTTTATCATCGCAGACACCTGTTCCCGTTGGGAACTTTGATTTTAGGAGATAAACACGAAGGAAAAAGGAAATAAAGGAGAACATACCGGTCGAAATAACCGCCCAATCGTTGATCTTCTCCGCATTCTCAATCAGCCGAATCGTCTGCTCGAGCTCCTCTAACCTCTT